GTTGAAGGGGACTTAGATTGAGGAGGAGGACGAGAAGATTCTGTTTCGTTATTGCCACTTCTTTTGCTCTTGAGCAACCAGTCTGGTATAGGTTTTTACGAAAGGAACGGAGGGGCGGCGGGAAGTGCAGGTCTCGTCTTCCTTTTTTTCTGATCCTGGAGTCGCCGATGCTGGGTGGTTGGCTTGGAGCTGACTTCTTTGCATGGATGAAGGCGAAAGGAAAATAATAGCAATAGGGGAGATAGAATGATTAGCGCGAATGGAGTTATATGATTTGACATGATATGACATGATATGAAAGTGCTTGCCGGTGCCTGTGTGAACTATGTGTGATATAGTGATTCGGAGACTGCCTGGTATGATGTCGTATGGCTGTTGTTGCTCTTTCCTTTTTGCTACACAATATTTGTTCGTGCAGTGTTGTTAAGCTAATCCAAGCCGGCGGTTGACGACGGAGCTAGGATGACACGTAATGGATGTTCTCTGACTTTGTTTTTAGTAGTTCACATCGCTTCCATTGCTTGTATGTTCTGTAAGTTTTGTTTGGCAAAAATCCGCTCATCATCTCATATATAAGAAGAAACAGTACGTTATGAAACTCTCAATACTGCGCATAATGAATGTTTCTAATCCATTCATTCACTTGAAGTCAGTAGGTTAGTGGATGTGGTCTGACCTCAATACTTCACCACCATCCAACGAGGGAGAAACATTTTCTGACCATTTTCGCGATCGATAGAAAGCAGTACATACATCTAAATATCCTGGAACTCACCACTCATCACTTGGCGTCATGATAGTAATGTTGTCCTTTTATTTTTCTTTATTTTTTTATGAGCCCAAAAAAATCACAGACTAGCTTAACTACTATTATCCCTAAACCAGAGGGCACCGCACTCGCAAAAAAAACATATGTATTCTTATTTAAGATGAAAGAATAAATAGATAAAGGGAAAAAAAAAAAAAAAAAACACAGGAAGCAGAAGAAGAAGAAGTAGAAGAAGAAAAACAGAAGGAGAGAGAGGCCAGAGATAACAACAACTAAACAAATCCCTTCTCATAGCTGACTTCATAAGTGATGGTTACACTACCTACCAGGTTCTATGTTGACTAACAAAGCAACTAGGTACATAATAAATAAAGAGAGGTGAAGGAGGTGGAGGATATGTTGGACACCGCTTGCTTGCATAGGTAGCCCTGCATAGGTAGTCTTACATAGCCTTATATAGTCTTGCATAGTCTTGCGTTGGGTCTTGCGTTGGGCTTGCGTCAGTCAATGACAATGGGAAGAGAGAGAGAAATCTATCAACGACGACAGTCTAAACAAGATTATATGGAAAACTACCTACCTAGAGGTACATGAGTCTAGGTTGCGAAAGTGAGTGAGTGAGTGAGTGAGTGAGTGATCGTTACTTAGGTACCTAGGTAAATACTCTTCTCCTCCTTCTTCTTCTATGGAAAACCTACTGACCTCTTTTTTTCCTTTTTTTTTTCTTTTTTTTCGAGCGAACTAGGTAGACTAACTGGAACTGGAACTGGAACTGGGTGATTCGGAGGGGAAAAAAAAAAGTTATAAACTGAAGGGTGAGTGAGTCTGCAAGTTGGAAATTACACCAGTTACCATGCGAAAATACGAGGTGTTTGTCAAATAGATTATATCGACACTACGAACTGAACTAGGTAACTCTGCTTCTATGTATGCTTTTATGTACCAAGCGGCGGACTCTCAATCAATGGAACTCAGATTCAATCATGAATTGGGGTTGTTTGCTTCTTGTGAGTTGTTCGAAACCGACGAGGTGTTAGGTTTGATAGTGAATTACTACATTATGTAGTTGCTCGTACATCTCTGTGTTCTCCAGTCTTTCTCAGACTGAGGCCATTCTTGGAGTTCGCCACTGGACGTTAAGAATTTCTGGGCCGTCACATCTTTTGTAGGCAGATACCAGGAACTGTACGCTAGAGTGGACTGGAAGAATAGCAATAAGGTTTGACAAAGAATTGCATGTGATACAATGCCATTTGCTTGCTTTGGATATGAATGTCATGACAACTTTTAAAAGCCTGCTCCTTCCCGCACGTTGCTCCCAAATCCTTACACGGACATGAATTCACAAATAGAAGCGAGCCAAAAGAACCCCATATGAAGCGAACAATTCAGACCCATTGTTGATTGTAAATCTACCTCAGTTGCCTCCTTCCCCAAATATGTCAATGATCAGGCGGGAGTATTGGTATCAAAAGGGTCCCCGTCATAGTATTCCGTATAACGCGAACCCGAAGCGAAGCGCTGCTCGTTGGTTTTGGTATCAACTCATTGAAGACTCAATTCCTGATTGGTTGTCGTGGAAAGCCCTTTTTTAATGGGTGCTCAGGTACACACAACAAACATGCCCCCCGGTCGAGTCAACAGATAACCGCGCCATGACCGAATTCGTGAAAGCAACCGGATATCATCCATCACACCTGACTCCGAACGCTTACTTGCGCATGGAGGAGGCGCGGCGCTTGCGGGCATCGGCCTTCTGGACCTTGGCCTCAGCGATGCGCTTGGCGAGGATCTGGGCGTACTCAGACTGTTATGATGGTTAGCATTTCTGAAGTGCTTTTCAACGAGCGGGTTGGGCGAAACTTACAGCCTCCTCCTTGACCTTCTCGGCCTGGCGGCGCTTGAGAGCGAGACGGTGTCTCTTGTGCTGGAGGCGCTGGGGAGTGACGAGGCGCTGGATCTTGGGAGCCTTGGTGTAGGGCTTCTTGCCCTCACCCTTGGGCTGGACCTCGCGGCGAATGACGTACTTGCGGACCTATTCGTCGTAGAAAGATTGGATAATTAGCCTTTGGTGTTCATCTCAGACTCTACCCGACGAACTGCGCGAGGATCATCGCAACAGCTCGGGGGCAGGCGATGACGAGATTGCGTAGAGAAACACATACATCGTCATCCTTGCTGAGGCCGAAGAAGCGGCGGATCTTGGTGGCGCGCTTGGGGCCGAGACGCTTGGGGTGGACGACATCGGTGAGGCCGGGGATGTCCTGCTCGCCCTGCTTGACGATGGCGAGGGCAAGGACGGAGAGATCAGAGCCGACGATGCAACCGCGGACGGACTTTCTCTTGCGCTCACCGGTGCGGCGGGCACGGTAGCAGGAGTGGCCGTCGGAAAGGAGAAGGCGGACACGGTTGGGGGCAATGACACCCTGCTTCATGGGGAAACCCTGCTTGTCGTTACCGCCGGTGATGCGGAGGATGTAGCCCTTCCACTCATCACCAAGGGGGTCGGCGGGGACCTCAGCGCCCATCTATAGTCGACGTGTCAGTTTCGGGTTCGGTCATCGTGGTTGGTTTCGATGTGTCGTCGATGTGTCGGGGTAACTTACGCGCTTCCTGTAGTTAGGCTGTTAGCGACATGTCTTTAGATACCAAATGCAGCTTGTATGTGATTTGCAACTTACTCGATGAAGTGACGGAGCTTGCGCTCATCCTCGACCTCGATCAGCTTCTGCGAGCCGTTCGCAGGGTACGAAATGTTCAGCTGTTGGTAGGCGTGGGGTCAGCCTCATGTCCATGTCTCCATTCCCATCAACATCGTCGCTGTGGTGATGTTCTGGCTCCTCTTTTCCCTCCTCCAAATTCCCATTTTCGCGACCTCCAGGTGTCGAAATTTGAGATTGGACGCTCGGACTCGTGAAAAAGCACAGAGACGCAGTCATGCCGTAGCCATGACGCCGTGGATATCGGGGAGTCGTCGTACCTTCATTTTGGCGGTATTTGGGGCTGAACGACCGGAGTTGGGTGTTGCGAATTGAGACGACTCGAGAAATTCCGAAGGGGAAGATTTTGTGTGGGTGGTGACCGCTTTTGCTCAGGACAATACGGTCGAAATCTTAGGGCACAATTTCCGGGGTATTGATTGGCTGTTGTTGCAGCCTGACCCGCTTAAAAATCTCCCGCTGCGCTTGGACCAACTGCCAGCCGCGAAACTTTCCACTTGCACAAGTTGACCCATGAGCCCAGGCCCAACAACCACCACCAAGCATTTGGAGAAGTGGGGCTGGATACGCTTTACCGGATTTGGGTTTTGTACCTTTGATATTCCCAAGTCTCAACGACAACGTTCACGACGACGTGCTATGGGATAAGTGAGATTGGGCCAAGCTTGACCGAATGATAGACATGGAATACGCTATGTTCAACGAATCTACAACTAAATAGCTCTTCAGACACAACATCTCGTGGTCTTTTTCTGTTGAACGTTTGTCCTTCAAGACACTGACAAACCCCAGAAGGTACTTGGCAATTTCCACTTTGACAAATCCAACCTCACCTCACTCACTTGAGAGATATCAACCTCAGAAAGCGTGACGAGACACTCAACTTTTTCGCAACACCCTTGAGCCTTACAGACCCGAGTTTGAATATCATCATTGGGCTCGACTCAATAAAATTACACAAGCTTAACATGGAGGACGACCGCGCCCAAGTCGACCTCGGCATTGCCGCCGACATCGACGAGATGAACCCTCCCCCTCCCCCCTCCGTTCAGCAAAAACAACCCAAGAAGCGTTTCCTGGGCCGACAAAGCGCCGCCGCCGGAAAGTCCTCCTCCTCATCCAACAGCACCTCTCAACCCGCCGGGGCCAACACTTCTATCGAAGACAGCGGCGCCATCCAAGTAGCCCAACCGCGCCGTGCGCCCCGGATGCTCAACCAAGTGCCCGACTCGATCCTGCACGACGCCGCCCTAAACGAAGCCATCGCCCTTCTGCCCTCCAACTACTCCTTCGAGATCCACAAGACCATCCACCGCATCCGCACTTTGAATGCCAAGCGCGTTGCCCTGCAAATGCCCGAGGGTTTGCTCCTCTTCGCCACCACCATCTCCGACATCTTGACGCAATTCTGCCCCGGGATCGAGACGTTAATCATGGGCGACGTCACCTACGGCGCCTGCTGCATCGACGACTACACCGCCCGCGCCATGGGGTGCGACCTGCTAGTGCACTACGCGCACTCGTGCCTCATCCCCGTGGACGTCACCAAAATCAAGACCTTGTACGTCTTTGTGGACATCAGCATCGACACCTCCCACCTCTTGGCGACCTTGGAACGCAATTTCGCGCCCGGCAAGTCCATCGCCATGGTGGGCACCATCCAATTCAACGCCACCATCCACGGCGTGCGCTCGACCCTGCAAAAAGCCGGATACGAAGTCATCATCCCGCAAATCGCGCCGCTTTCCAAGGGCGAGATCCTGGGGTGCACATCCCCTAACTTGTCCCAGTTCCTCACCTCGTCCGGCAAGCAAGTCGACATGATTTTGTACTTGGGCGACGGCCGCTTCCACCTCGAGTCCATCATGATTCACAACCCATCCATACCCGCCTACCGGTACGACCCCTACAGCCGCAAACTGACGCACGAAACGTACGGCCACGAAGAGATGCAGGATGTTCGCCGCTCTGCCATCCGCCAGGCCAAGACGGCCAAGAAATGGGGGTTGATCTTGGGTAGTCTCGGGCGGCAGGGAAATCCCAATACGCTGGGTCTCATAGAAGAGAAGTTGAAGGCCAATGGCACGCCGTTTGTCAATTTCTGTCTTTCAGAGATTTTCCCCGGAAAACTGGCGATGATGAGCGATGTCGAGTGCTGGGTGCAGGTGGCGTGTCCGAGACTGTCGATTGATTGGGGGTATGCGTTCCCTAGACCGCTGTTGACGCCGTATGAGGCGCTGATTGCGCTGGAGGAGAAGGAGGATTGGGGGAGGGGGGCGTATCCGATGGATTATTATGGTAGAGAGGGGTTGGGGAGGACGAAGCCTGCTGCTGTGGAGGTTTGAGGGTTCAGGCTTGGAGTGGTTGGATGTATCCGTACTTTGAATGAATTTTGGGATCTAGGCGTATGGCTATACAAAAAGGAGGTTTATCTGTTTTTTCTGCATACGAAGAACATTGCTTACAAATATGGCAAGTGAAATGTGAACAAGTTTTGGTTGTGGTTGTGTTATGTATCCAATTGATTCGCGTGTACGTATACAAGGTAGGTTATGTCAACCTTTTTGTTCTATCACAATGTACAAGAAGCCAGCCCTTTATTGCTCAACCTGGCTGCGTTTATATCCATCCATCTATCCAGTCCGTCCAGTGTCCTTATCCATCCTTGTCCCTTCCCTCTCTTGTTTTTCCGTCAATGCAATTCTACCTTTGAACAGATGCAACCCTTCTCAGGGGTAAATACGACGAGAGACCTGATCGCCAAGCAAAGCCCAGTTTCCTCCTATTCATCTCGCCTGCTGCTAGGTTATCATTAGCCGTAAAGGCGGAGCCCGTCTCCCTCTGCTGTTCTGTGTCCTGTTCTTGCGCTTGCACCACCCTCGGCTTGGCAGCAACAGCAGCGACCGGCTTCTTCTGATAACTCCTCAGGTGATCCTTGGTCAAAGCCATCAGATGCGGCACCGTGGCCGTCTCCTTCGCACCCTGACGAATCTCAGCCGCCGTCTGCGCTGGTAACGCTTCCATGAGAATATCTGCTAGCTGGTTATCCAGTTCCTCCTTCCGAGCAAAGCACGCTGCGACTGTGTTGAGTCCCGTGTCGGGCGTGCGCATCTCCCGATCGTACTTGAGGCGCTTTTCCAGGGGCACCTCGACGTCCCAGTGTTGTCGCCACAAAGTCAGGGGTCGTACGTCGCGCGGAACGGAGACGGCGAGAATGTTCATGATTTCCTCGGTCGTGGCCTTGATGGCCTTCTCGGTGGCGTCTACTTGCTCAATGAGCCAATCTAGCTTGGCTAGGCGTTGGAGTGCCCTGGCACGCTCCTCGCGCTCGACTGCGCGCGGGTTGGTAGGGCTGATAAGGTTCAGGCTGGTAATGGCACTGTCTAACCGGTGTTCAAGATGCTCGTCGGGCTGTGCTAATAGGAGGTGTTCGACCTTTGGGAGAGTCAACCTGAGCTGGAAGATGGTTTGCACCGCTTCTCTGAACCAGATGGATGTCGCAATACGGTTGAGGCGGTCATTGCCCTTGGGTAAGAGGTAGGTCGGTGATGTGGAATCTTGCAGGGCAGAGCTATGATACAGTGACTCTGTCGACCTCGCGTACCGGATCTGGAGAACGGTGCGAAGTTTCCTTACCGTCTTTAGCGACAGGAAACTTCGCGAGAGGATCATGGTCGTGATGGCGCCCACGTGTGACAGCAGTCCGTCGACTAGCACACGAGTAGCCAGATCGTCAACAGTGTTGCAGATAGCATGTAACAGTTGATCAAAGAGTTCGGCATTGATGGTCCACCTCTGGTCGAGACAGGCAACAAACACCCTTGCGGCATGTCCGATTCTCCTGAAGTCAATGAGGGCCTCGATAATTGCTTCCATAACGGGCTGCTCAAGATTAGCACGCTCAACGACTGTACGACCGTTGGCTAGGGCGACATCCGACTCGAGGGCCCAGCGCAAGAGTCCGCGGTCTTGGTACACATCCGAGATGGACTTGCTGCGCATATTCAGGCCTCGAGGATCGCGACCAGTGAGGCGTCGAAGCAGCATGTGGAAACCCTCGGCATCTCTCTTGCAGCGGTAGTGGTGTATCAGACAGAGGATTGTGCCTTGGGTGGGGCGTAGACGGCTCCTGTGTAGGAAATTGTCCACCACGGCGCCAGCCAAGACATGCTCGCCGATCTGAGTGAAGCCTGCTATGAGCATGTTGTAGTTGTGGATACCAGGCGGCACGGTGTTGATGAGAAGGTTATGGCAGACCTTGGCCACATACTTGTCCCGGCTTCGAGGTCCCTTCCAGTCGGCCAAGATGTTGCACGTAACTTGGTTGAAGCGCCGGCGCGCCTGGATTGTCATAGCTGGATCATAATGGGCGTGGTGGAACCTGGGATAGCCGTCCTTCTTCAACATGCGCGTTATGCTCCAGGCCGACTCGGGGTGGTCCTTGGGTAGATATGACTTGATGCCCTGCATCTCTGAAGCCTTGTAGGCGGCTTCCATGAGGTCGTCCACAAGGTTGGTGACCATGTCGATTTGCTTCTCCATCTGCTTTTCGTTTCGAGGTTCCCGGTCCTGGTCCAAGGTTTCTGCCATACTCTCTTCGTAGGCGATGGTCTTGTCGCAGCTGATGAGACCGTCTCTTCCCATACAAAAGTCCTTGCGCGGGTCCCTCCATGACATGCCGAGGGAGTCACGCAGCTTCAGGACAGCAGCTCTCTTCTCGGCAGCAGTGGACGCCAGACTCCTGACTGAATCGACATGGTAATCGCATATAGACTCGAGCACATCGATTGTAGGCTGGCTGCGGGTGCGGAAGGGTTCGGGTCGGCGGGCGGCAGGTGCTGAGCCGACAAGGCGTAGGAGGTCTCCGTCGGCGGCATCGTCGGTCATAAGGGTGGCTAGGTTCTTCTTTGCTTCATGGATCTTGCGGTTGAGCTCGCGCTGGCGCCGTTCCTTGTTCTCGGTGTCGGCGACGACGGCGGTGGCTGCGAGAGCCGTGTAGCAGGCGGTGGCTACATTGCTGCCGAGGGCTTTCCTGGTTCGCTGGGCGGCGGCGGATCGGGCGGTGGACTGGGCGAGGCGCACAGCTTGGAAGCTGTTGAAGCTATTCGGAGCGGGCAGACAGGAGTGGCAGCGACAGCCCCGGAATTGGGCTACGGTCGACCAGATCCCCTGCATCGTCGGGGCATATCTGGTCGATGCGGCAGCGGCATCAGGGCAAGGGGAGGGCGGGATTTGTTCTCGGTGACTTGTCGGCGGCGGGTGGATTTGAAAGATCAATTAAGAGGCCCGTCAAAGGGTGGGGCGTTTTGAAGGCGGGCATGTCCAATTCCCGTCTCCATCGCAAGCTAAAGTCTTTGCGCTGTCGGCCGGGCGTACAGTGTTGATTGCGCGCATTCGCATCAGGGGGGGGGGGGGGGGTGGGAGGTCAACAAAGCTCCCTTTTAGGGTAAGGGATACTAAACCCTTAGGGTTGACATCAGTCCCGGTTCCAGAAAGTGGACCGGGTTCCGTCACAGGCCATGTTGGAGGCTATGGTTCTGTCCGAGGTCAATTGACTTCTATTGATGCTCAACATAGACTAACATATATGTAGAGCAAGAAGAATTTCTCTGTTCGGTTTCCTAGAGGTAACTTTCGCGTGTTGCAAACGCTGAATACCAAGTCTTGAAGTCTTCCTTCAGAGAGCTCCGGAAGCTCAGACCATCTCTGGAGCTGGAGCAACAACTGAAGCTGCATAAGTGGGGCTAACAGCTGAAGATCAGAGCTGAGAAGGTGCCCCTTGAACCCCTCCACCACCACAGCAGAAGAGCTGGCTGGCAGCTCCCAATCAGGCAGAGTCTAGAACAACAGGTCACTGAAGAATATCACCTCCTCGAAAACATCAATATAAACCGCAAACTCCCATAATAATCACATATCTAACAACAGCCAAGATGTTTGCGCTTTACCTTACTGCTGAGCTTGCTGGGTGAGTGAACAAGAAGTCAGAAGAAAAACAAGGAAAAGCTAACTTACACCAAACTTCTAGAGTCACCAACCTCCGCCCTGACGACAGCGAGGGTAGCCCGTTCTGGTACACCTTCAAGGTTCAGTGCACCTCCTGCAGGGAGGTCCATGACAAGCCCGTTGGCGTGAGCCGCTTTGTAAGTTCCCCTCTAAAGACCTGAAGCATTCCCTTGCTGACACATTCGCCAGGAAAACAACGAGATGAGCGGCAGCCGTGGTGAGGCCAACTTTGTGTGGAAGTGCAAAAACTGCAAGAGAGAGTCGTCGGCTTCCATCAAGGCTGCCCCCGCCGCTTATGAGCAGACGGAACCTGCCAAGAAGCAAAAGCTTCTCGAGTTTGACTGCAGAGGGTTGGAGTTTGTCGAGTTCCAGCCTGAGGTTAGTCCATATTTGGTATCTTCTTGGTACAGTATACTTGCTGACATCGGATATACAGGGCTCTTGGCTTGCCGAAGGCGTTGACTCCAACACCAAGTTCGCCGACATTGACCTGACCGAGGGAGAATGGTTCGATTATGACGAGAAGGCCAACGACGAAGTTAGCATCAAAGAGCTCAAGTGGGAGATCAACCGGGCTTAAATCTGTAAACTCCCTCTCAAAGCATTTCTTGACAATATCCAGTCTAACCCTAACCTTCGATTTGTAAACTTCTTCGTAATGAACTGTTGATGCGATGTTGCTGAGAAAACTGGAGTGAAGGCGGCAGGTGTCAGGGGAAAAAAGTGACATTGAAGGGGCTGCTTGTGTTTTGATATTCCCCTTGGCTCGAGTCCCTTGATGGGTAGATCGATATTGGTCTTTACCAAAAGGCGAACGTTCAATCAACCGGTTGGCCCGTGCACCAGCCTTCGTTTCACGCCGTAAAAATCCAAATTGAACAATTTGACTTGCATCTCTCCCACTTCCATACACCACCGACATCCGACCTTGTTGTCCTACGACACGACGAAAATCACGATGAACGGACCATCCTCAACCCAGCTCTCAGCAACGCTGGACTTTCTAACAGACGCCGCCCATCTTCTGGCGACAACAGCGCCAGAGACGTCGGCGTTTCTCATGAACCAGAGAGGCAACCTTATGTTTGAAAACGAACTGCCCCAGTCCGATATTCATAGACAGCACGTCTGCAGTTGCTGCGGCCACATCATGATTCCTGGTCACGGCAGCACTTTGAAATTTGAACACCAGAAGGCCGCGCGCAAGAGGCTAAGAGCAGGCCAAAAGTTTACGAAAACGCCTGTCCAGACGAAGCAGCAGGATCAAGAGTCGCGCAAAGGACCAGTTAAGCGCATCACATGCGGCCACTGCACAAGGAAGACGGAGATCAAGTTCCCAGCCCCGGCTCCTGTCTCGAGGCGCAGCATCAACCTGAAGACTCAACCACAACAACAAGCGCCAAAGACAGCAGCAACAGGGCTAAAACCAAGTGCGGCGCCTACCCTGGGGTCTCTTGCTGGGCTTTCCGCACACAAGCCAACCCCTTCGTCCAGTGCAAATAGCAAAAAGCGTGCCAAATCCAGGAAAGCCGGACTCCAGGCCTTGCTCGACCAGTCCAATGCCTCCAAAGCCTCGAGACCGGGTCTTGGATTGAGTCTCGCCGATTTTATGCAGAAATGAAGTTGCTCTCTGATATAGAGACGCATGGGCCACCGATTGTTACCGTATTGGGCTGTCCTGGAATTTTGGACAGAGAGTTTCCATCAGCTCCCGTCTTGGATCCTGATGAATATTGCCCTGTGATTGGTGGTTTGGGGCAATCGTGAAGTACATAAAACTACTCTGGTTTGACTGGATTGCCGCAAGGAAAATTCCAGGTCACTCGAGCGGTTGATTTCTTCAAAGATTTCCAAGCAGGTACAGTTTTCTGAAAACTCGGACAGGGCTCTTGAAATCGTCAATTCTGAAAACCATCAGATGATTGTTTCCGGGACACCTGAACACGCACGAAGGCAAAACAACGTTCAAGGCTGGAATGTTCCTGAAGCTTTGGGCAGCGGCTCCATTGCACTGGGTACCCAATCTGGGCCAAGTCTGGGGTCAAGCTTATGTCACTTGGTTGCTTACTTGCTCCACCCTTCCTTGCCAGAATCCCCCGCCAAACCCGATCGCCAATTGCCCCTCCAAAATTTTCTCCAAGGACCCTATAAAAGTCACCATCTGCTGATCCATCCCAACGGCCGTTTGCGACAATCCACACAGATATACCACCACAGCATACACAATGCCCGAGGAAACTTTCACTCCTATCGGCCAGAAGGTCGAGGATATCGCGCCCGCCGCCGCCGACGCCCAGGCCGAGGATGACGAGCCCCGCGGTGTCGAGGAGATCGAGTCTCTCTGCATGAACTGCCACGAGAATGTAAGTTGGAAGCTGTCGCAAACAGTCGCGCCCTTCGAATACCGGCTAATCATGGCTCTCTAGGGAACAACACGTCTTCTCCTTACCCAGATTCCCTACTTCCGCGAAATCATCATCATGTCCTTCTCTTGCGACAAGTGCGGCTTCCAGAACAATGAGATCCAACCTGCCGGCACCTTCCAGCTTAAGGGTGTCCACGTCGAGCTTCGCCTGACCCAGATGGAGGACTTTGCCCGCCAGGTCGTCAAGTCTGATACCGCCACTGTCAAGTTCATTGAGTTGGACGTTGAGGTTCCCGCTGGCCGCGGTCAGCTTACCAACGTTGAGGGTCTCCTGACCACTATTGTCGAGGACCTCGAGGCTGGCCAGGCGGACCGCAAGGAGCACGCACCCGAGGTCTACGAGAAGGTTGAGGAGATCATCCAGAAGGGTCGCAAGATGCTCGCTGGCGAGGCCTTCCCCTTCCGTGTCTCCGTCGACGACCCGGCCGGCAACTCCTTCATCACCCCCGACATGCGCGACGGTGTTGGCAAGTGGGAGAAGCGCGAGTACCTCCGCACCAATGAGCAGAACGAGGCCCTCGGTCTCACCGACACCAGCAACGAAGGCCTCACTGAGAGCGGCGACATCGTCCCCGACACCGTTTACGCTTTCCCCGCCACCTGCCCCGGCTGCATGCACCCTTGCACCACCAACATGAAGATGGTTGACATCCCCCACTTCCGTCAGGTCGTCATCATGAACACCACTTGCGACGACTGCGGCTACAAGTCCAACGACGTCAAGACCGGTGGTGAGGTGCCCGAGAAGGGCAAGAAGGTCACCATCAAGGTCAGGAACTCGGTCGATCTCGCCCGCGACATTCTCAAGAGCGAGTCTTGCTTCCTCGAGTGCCCCGAGCTCAACCTTTCCGTCAACCCCGGCACCCTCGGCGGCCGCTTCACCACGGTGGAGGGTCTTCTCACCCAGGTCCGCGACGACCTCCACAACCAGATCTTCCAGACCGGCCCCGAGGACCCCGCCGCCGTCCACGCTGGCGACTCCCTCCCCGCTGAGGAGAAGCGTCGCTGGGACAAGTTTTTTGGCGACCTCAGCGCCGCCATCAAGGGCGAGCGCGAGTTCACCATTATTCTCACGGACCCCATGGCCAGCTCCTACGTCCAGAGCTTGGCTGACGACCCGGCCCAGCCCGATGAGCAGATGACTGTGGAGGAGTACGAGCGTACCGACGAGGAAGAGGAGGAGCTTGGTCTTAAGGACATGAAGACCGAGAACTACTCTGAAGACCACTAGATCAAAAAGAACCAATCATTGCTTGGTGCTCTTTTTGGGGAGAGGAAGAAATCTTAATGAATCTATACACAGCGACGAAGACGATGTCTCCTTTTTTGGGTTTCTATGGGTTCTCAAAGAAAAACAACGGGTATGGGTTGGTTGGACCGGGAGTTTTGAAAGGGAGATGATGCATGCATGATATAGCAGCCGTCAGTCATGTTTTGTCATGAGAAGATACCACGATCGATTTTGCTTTTTTTGTTTGTTTTCTTATTTTCCTTTAAATATATTAGGCGCCTCTAAATGGATACATTACCTATACTTACCAAGACAGACCCCACGCATCTTTTGGCTAAACTGGAAATGTGCTCTCTCTCAAGTTCAGCTTTTCTGATTTAGTTCAGTTGGGCTTCCCAATTGGTGTGTCTCGGTTACAAAGCCCACCCAAGTACATCATGTGGTTCATTGAGTCATATGTATACTAGACACCAGAGGACCAAAGACCACACATAGGCAAGGTCACAGCATGCAGTAGCACAGAGCGTGGCTTAGGCAGATGTCACTGAGAAGACAAGAGTTACGGTGACATTGATGTCGGCCGAAAAAGACGTCGTGAAGAGTTGCTTCTTATCTTTGTCTCGACTCTAGTTACTAGTTGCTTCTCAACACTCCTAATAAAAAGTCCGAGTGGGTGATATATTTAGTTCATTGAGCGAAACCTTTGATTGTACGGTTGAGATGCTTGGGTGAGGAAACGATAGTACAGATCGGAGCGATTGTTGTGAAGAAGTCCAAGATCATGCAATGGAATGCATTTGCTTGGCTTCCCTCGGTCTGTAATTTTGAACGGGTAAAGTAGAGTGGAGATGATAGTGCAGATGCTTAATAGTCCCTTTTACAGCGCTACATAAGTAGTCATGGGGGTTAAGCGCTAACAGACACTAGCAGACTGAACATTTAGCGTCCAGATCGCAAAGACGACGAGGGGAGATGGAGGTTTACCGATAGAGGTCAGGTACCTATCTATCCCATCACCACGATCTGAACTCAGGACATGACATTTAACTGTATTCTCAAAGTCGTGATGGGATCGCAAATTCGTAATATTTAGGGCGCACAAAGACTCGACGACCAATCACACGTGTAACTAACGTGATTAGCATGAAATCCTGCGCTACGCTGATGCGAGAGGTTTCCATTCAAGAGCCCGAGCGAGATGGATGGATGGGAGGCTCGGAGGCTCTCGAGATAAGGGCACCACCACCACCACCACCACCACCACCACCACCACCGTTCGGTAGATGTACCGTACCTAGGCATGGTTTGAAAACTTGATGTTCCGTCGTTCCGTCGCAAAAAGCGCTTTCGTGGATTAGTTTACCTACCTTACCTCATTACCTACCTAGCGTCCTCAGTCCCACTTATAGTTGGTTAGCTCAACTTCTTACTGCGATTTTTTTTTTAGTTAGTCAATCTGAGAGATGAGTGGTGGTTCTTGTCTTGAGCTTAGGTTATAGGCTGATGAGGTATTAACAAGTCCAACTGACTAACTGACCGACATGTCAGAAAGAAAATGGAACTCGTGTTTACGTGTAACAACCCAAACCCAAACCCCCTTAAGAGATCAGCAAAGCAGCCAAGACCATTGAGGATGGAGGCAGTGCGGAGATTGCGTCTTTTTGCCTCGAGAGCGAAAGGGAACTGACTAACACCTTATTTTATTTGTCGGTATTGTTGTTGTTGTTGTTGTTGTGCACTCTTGACATGTCTCGACAATTGTTAACACAGCAAGTACCTGAGTATTTAGGTAGTCATTGATCGTGATAATAGTTCCGAAGGAGACATCATATAAAGCGATCTAATTACGGTAAGTACATATAAGTAATAAACAGCCGAAATCCGATACGGCAGTCTTTGATGAATGTAGGAAACACAAAGCAAGCAGCTGTGTTCATTGACTCGAATGAATAGGTGTGCACGACTGATGCAGCATCTACCGTTGGCGACCGGGGCAACCGTCATGCTGATGAATGTCGGTCGGGTACTGATGCCAGCTAACAAACAACAGCGGTGATGGATGTATTCTCCTCTCCGCCGCTTTCTGATTGGCTGGCTACACGTTGTCGTCAATTAAAACAAGACTTTGAAAAGATTACCCACTTCGTCCCCCCCCCGTCTTTTTTGGGGTTTGGTTTCTGTTCTGCTTCAATGACCGTTCGATTGTGATCTCGTTGTTGGCAGTCGACATGGGTTGATGTTGGTCTCTCAACTTGAAGTTCAACATACAGGGGCAACTTTGTCTCTGGACATGGAATTGGATCCTCGATTCGCCTCTCTCCGCTAGCAGTTCAACTGTGATTTCTTTCTTTGTTGTCAATCTGACGGTTTCGACAAGTAAAGAACCGACGGGAGTTAACAGGCCAAAGCAGACACCTATAACAGGGGGGTTAAAGATAGATAGTCTTAACAATGCTCTGGCTCAGAGGGGCAACTGGTAGTTCAAGCCCGCAACACCTTAACAAATTCGCAATCAGATCTGCTGCATTGATGTCAGACACGGTTCCCTGTCAGTTTCCCCAACCTTTTACTTAGTTACATTCTCTCTTCCCTTTTTTTTTTTCTTTTCCGACTGACTCTGTGACTTTGCGGACTTTAACTCTTCCAACACTTGCCATCTCTATCTTTCCCCACCGCTAGAGGTAACTCTTCGCCAATCATCATCTTTTTTCCAGCATTCCTCTCGTAAAAAGAAGACAGCTCATACTCTCTGCATCCGTTAACTCCAAAAGTCAACACTATTTGACGACGCGTTACTAAGCAAACCACCAGATACTGTGTCCGGTGTTTAACAGTCTTCTCTCCATCTCCACACACATTACTACCACTTTTGCGTACTCTCTTGGGTTGGTTCAAACCCTCCCTCTCTCCCTTAACTCCTCAATTGGGTATTGGGCAAGATAAACAAACAACACCGAGAAGACGCGACACTGCTCACAATTGCGCTTCAATACAAAGAAGTCTGCATCACCCCCAGTTGAACCTGTCAAACGATCCCAGGCTCTTTGGTGGTTAGCTCTTCCGGCTTTGACAAATCACACCTCAGTTCAAAGCCAACAAGTAACCTGGGTCTTTCAGCAACCTGTCTACATCCTGACCAACACTCTAGCTGATTGGATCCTCCCTGGTGTCCCCGGTTTTCTCTGGCTCCAGAGGCAATACCATTCTGTGCTCGTCTTGTGTTGGTGGTTATTGTCGAGAAAGGACCCTGATTGCCACTCTCTTCATTCCTAAAGTCTCTTCTTTGCAACCAGGTAATAAACAACCCTTCATCAAGTTTCATCCCTGGCCTCGAGTTTCACTTATACCTACACTATCTGTTACCGGACTCTGGCGTGACTATTGCGCCGGCTGCATCCACTTGCTCCATTTATCAGTGTCCCCCTTCTTCACCTTCTCTTGCTTTCTAATCTTTCTGTTGCCGTTCCTTCCATCCCATCTTTTTACTGGCCACCCGGCCAACCGGAGCACATTCACCCAGCACTCGCCTCCCGCACAAACACCACAACCTTACAGATCTCTTGGCATCTCGGTCCTTCACTGCCGGCCGTGTTATTTTTTCCCCCTTCACCTTAAGACTCAAGGCAACTGCGTGGGGTATTTCTCTCCACAACCAAAGCACAACTCCCGCTCTTCAACCTCTCCACCACCTTTCCTGACAACGCCTCACCTGCAGATCATGGCGGACATGGTTGACACAAGCAAGCCCGAGCAAGAGGCTGGAAAGCCCATGGCTGTTCAAGACAAGTCAGAGCCAGATGTCGTCGTAGTCGACAGTGATAGCGATGCAGAGGTTGAACCTCAAGGCACAGTTGCCCAACTTTCTCAAGCCAAATCTCCCAAAAAAGAGATTCCCAACTCCGAGGCAGAGACAGACGGCAGTGTCAGTGGCAAGGAGAGCGAAAAGTGAGTTGATGATAATTCTTCAGAACTCGAACCGAGGCGGCATTGTCTCTGCCGCTCGAGTTCTTTGCAAGATCCACCCAAAGTACCAACAAACGCTCTTCTTCTTCCCGTTCCGTCTCCCAAAGTCGGTTCTTCCCCTCCAAACATTGGACTCCTTTGCGCCTTCAACCAACTACAGTCGACGGTTGGGTCTACCAACTGTCAACATATCAGCTTGGCTAACATGGATTATCTAATTAGGGCTGCTAATACTGTTCTTGCACCTTTGCAAACCTCAAGGCAAGTTCACTAAGTACACCTTACTCACATACCTTTCATTCCCTCCCCCACTTCTGCCTCAGAATTCATAGGGTCGCGTGGAGGGGTCCTACCGCACCCGGTAGCAGCAAAGACATCTTGTACCTTTCACGTGGTTGGCCCTCAAACGGGCAAAAGTCTGCCTGTTGGCAATTATAATTACCGTTGGTTGTCAGACCCTTCCCTTGTTGATGGCAGCCTAAGAGAGTCACACAATGCCTTTTTACGGCCATTTTGTGTGTGATCTCATAGGCTTCATAGTCATCAGTCCCTGCCCGCTCACATTGTTTACATCAACATCTCATTCAGTTGTTGCCTTCATTCACTTGTATACCCTTCATGCGCATTGTCATCGTTATCGCAGCACACTTTTCTTCATCATGGGCAGGTCGAGGCGATTTCGCAGTTGGTCTGTGATGTTTTAAAGACAAGCCCTCTTTACAACTATATCAAGCCCCTCTCAAACCAGGAACAACCTACTAACTCCTTCCATAGCGCTGACGATAATACCACAAAAGACGCCGAAATGGAACCAAATCCTTCCGACACGGCGGCAACTCACGACTACCTTGATGACGACGACAACAATGATCTCACACCCCCTCCCGAGAGCCCTACCCCGCCCCCGAGTCACTTCGAGGACACAGTCAGCCATTCCTCTGAGCCGCCTGTCGGCGCTGAGGATGAGATAGTGGTCAACAACGCACGCGCCGTCGAGTCGCCCGCACCAGCTGACCAGGAAGATGTCGAGATGGCGGACAGTGAGGAGAAGCCGCGCAGGTTGGTCGTGCTCAGCTCTAAGCGAAAGCGAGCAGGCACCGGCGAGAACGTTCGTGACAACATCTCAGAATCCCCGACGGCCGAGGAGTGGAAGCCACGCAAACCTCGTAGTGGACCCAAGAAGACGCACGGAGTCGGCAATGTCAAAAGTGTCAAGCTCGGTTACTGGAGGGATTCGATCGCGGAGGACAAGAGGGATGCTCACTCCGTCATAGGCTTCATCGACGTCCGAGACAGGTTGCGTACCAAGATCGAAACTGTGTCCAGGGACGGCCGTAGCCTCATTCATCGGTATCCGCTCCCACCTGGCCCTGGCGGTAGCTGGGTTACTTTTGACAAGATTGTTTTCGATCCTCACCTGGTCAACCTCGACCACTTCCAGGTCAAGGAGTACGTCAAGGTTCGGTACGAGCAGATGCAGAGCAACCACCCGGATGTCAACTCACAAGAGGCGATGCTTGAAGCTGTCCAGCAGGCCATAGCCAGAGTGACCGCCAACCCACCACCCGAAACCAACGCCTTACCCGCTATCGCGTACGGCCCTGATATTCCAGAGCATGCCCTCACGAGGCCTGAGCCCAAGAGACGCAAGGTTGTTAGTGCTGCACCTGTCGAGGACGTTCTCGCCGCCGTCGACTTGAGTGGTCGCCCGTCGCGAGTCGTGGTCGGCACTTGGAAACACTCCAGTGAAGCCCATCGGAAGGATCGGCACGCCGTCCAGGGTGTTTTAGCTCAGAACGAGAATTTCCGGTGCAAGATTGTCAACCAAAACCCTGACGGTAAGGAGGTCGGTGGAAACTTTCCGCTTGGCGCCGGTCAGATCTGGTGCCAGTGGGAGGATGTTGACTTCCTCGATCACCTGAAGGGCATGAGCAGGCCTCAGATCAAGGAGTACGTACGCGTCCGCCAGCGCATGATGGATATAGGCGAGCTTCCGGAGGACAGGGACAAGAACGACCAGCTGGCAGTGGAAGAGGCCCTCAGGCGTTACGCCCAGGGCTTGTCGAAGGATGAGCCCATGACCATTGACCTTGACTCTTCGCCCGCTTTGCCCATGAGAGGTACCCGCCAGCAGCAGCAGCAGGAGCGGGCCACAAACGGCAACATGAATGGTGGCTACGAAGAGATGGAGGACATCTCAAGACCCGCCAGTGTCCCGCCGCCTCAACACCACGAGAACAACTTCCGCCCCATCCGCCAGAGCACCCGCGCCCCCCGCCACTCCCTCCCGGATGTGCAGCTCCGTGCCGCTAATCGTGGCCCTCAGACGCAAACCGTCGTCGACCGTCTGGAACGCACCAACAGCATCGCCCAGCGCGAGATCGCCCGCGTCGAAGCCAGCCAGATGCGCGCCGACCAACGCGCCGCCAACCGCGGCTTCCACACCCCAGCCATCCAGCCGTATCCCATGCACCCTCCACCCCCCTCATCCCATTCACAACATCAACAACATCATCAGCAGCAGCAGCATCTTCCCCCCTACGGCGGCGGCGGTAGACCCTCCTCACGCGCAGCTTCCGCAGTTCCCTCCCGCAACGGCACCCCTACTACCTCTTATCCCCCCGGCGGCGGCGGCCACCATCAAGGTCACCAGAAGAACCCTCAACAAGGTCCCAACGGCAGCAGCACATACGGATCAGGATCATCGGACCGCAAATCCTTGTTTGACGATAACATTCAGCGCCTGAACCGGGTCTGGGCCGCGCAGGAGGCCAACAGGATCAAGTTCTCGCAGGCGGCGGGCGAGACGGTGCCGGGCATCAATGATGCCAAGATTTATGCGGGGATCAAGTATGAGCGCAAATCGTCGGGTCCGTTTGAGGGCAAGTTGGTGTCCCAGGGGACGATTATTAATATTGATGGGGAGGATTATGTGGAGTATCGGGTTTTGACGAAGCCGAGCTTTTTTTAAACTAAATTGTGGAAAGGGGGGGGTACCTCTGGGGTGGGTTACCTCTGGGGGTGGTTACCTCTGGGGTGGGTGGGTTGGAGAGAAGAGAAAGGGGGGGAGATGGGGGAGGGGAAGAAGAGAAAGAGAGAAAGAGAGAGAGAGAGGGTGGGGAGGATGGGAGGGGGGGATGAAAAGCAGGAGGGTTGGAGGGTAGGGATTGAACCTCGGCTTGGGAGTAAATGAGTGAGTGAGTGAGTGAGTGATGTTGAGAATAAGTAGGAGCTTGAGTTTGTTTTTCAATGAGCCGGAGTGTGGAAGAGGGAAAGAAAACTCAGGGGATGGATTCGCGGAGGACGGAGAAAATGAAGGAGGAGCGAGAAGAGAGATTTCGTCGATGAGAAGATTCTGCTTCGGTTGGACGAGCATGGAGAGAGAGATTGGTTAGGTCAACCATACTCTCTACCTAGGCTTTGTTGCTCAGGCAGGAAGTCGGCCGCAAACTCGTGGATATCCTCCGTGTTCACCACAACATGAAGAAGAAGAAGAAGAAGAAGCGCGATCATTTCACCAAACCGCGAGAGCAAGTGCAAGGCTACACCACCTATAACACCAGTGGATAGCTTTTTTTTTCCCCCTTGCGTTCGCGGATGGCTGGTTAGTCTGTCACTGCATGGAAAGAGAAAAAAGTCACTGGGTTTTTTTCGTGCGCCAAATACCACCAGCAAGCATCTCAACGGGTTATGGTTATGAGAAGAAAGTTGATCCGCACCAACATAGATAGGTTAGCATGGTCAGTCAGGTAGTATTTTATCTCGTCTTCCCTTATCTTTCTATTTCATCTTCTCCTTTCTTTTTCTTTCCCCGTTATGTTCTTCTTGTTTTTCTTTCATCATTTAAGGTTGCGTTCGTTTCACAATACCCGTTTCCTTTCATCATTTGAGTTGCGCTGTTTGCGTTTTCCCATTCCCTATGCCTGTTTTTTTCCCTCCGTTCTACTCATCATCGTCATCATCGTCATCTAATTACTGGATCACTATTCCAGGTAGCGTTTGCGTTTCTTTCCATCTTCGAATCTTCAGATCAATAAAGTTTAGTTCGGTTGTAGTTCGGTCCAGGTCAGGCTAGGTCAGGTCAGGCGCTTATAAGGCATCATCGGTTTCGTCTGCATTCTTCCTTTTTCTTGAAGGACGTTGAAAAGTTTTGCTTTCGTTGTATGTAGTAGCTGTTTTCGTTCAGTTCAGTTTCGGGGATGGAACGCTGAAAAAAAGGGAGAAAAGGGAAAGGAACACGATGGGGGGAAAAAACGAGTGTGAGGGAAGTAGAATGAGGGAAGATAAAAAGGGGGGATGAGGTAGCTTGACAAGTGGGTAGCATTTCAAGGAGTTTGTGAAGGGGTGAAGAAGGCTCCGTTCGATATTAGATCAAAATGATGAGATTGCGCGATATGCTTCTTGATGAACTTTCGTGTTTGTTGTGAGTCTATAAAAGGTTTGTTTCGGACAATCAGAGGCTTCGACTCTTCCGCCAATGAGGGTTTTTGGCATGGACCTGTCATTCTAGCTTTTCTCTCTAATGTATTGCCTGCCTAATTCGGGTATAGTCCTTCTATGATACAGCACTTTGCAACAACCTCGAGGCGAGTAACTCGAACTCAACCTCAATCAATCCACCACGATCATCCTCTACCCCCCCAAGTCTAGTTCCCCCTACCTCGCCCTCCCCTTCCACCCCTTCCACCACCCCTTCCGCCTCCCCTTCCGCCTCCCCTTCCTCTACTTCCCCTACCATTATTATTCCCCGATTTCTTCCCTCCTCCACCACCACCACCACCACCGCCCCTTCTCGGTCCTCCACTCACCCTCATATCATAATTCCTAAACAACTCCTCCTTCGCAAACCCGCCCTCTGCAAACCTCATATAGTTGATCACCCCGTGATCATTCACCGCCAGCAAGACATTTCTGTACCCATGTTTCAAGCGAGCATAAAGTCTTGCCGGGCCTCCCGCAAGCCATTCCGCCTTAGGGAAATCGGCGGGTGCGGAGGCGAGCAGACTGGAGATCTCGGAGAGGGTGGGGATGGACGTGTCCTTTGCGGAGATGACGCTAATGTAGAAGTCGGGGGGCGGGGGGCGGGTGCGAGTGAATTTCGTGGAGGCTTTGTAGATGTGGTAGTGGATTTTGTAGGGTGAGTTGGAATCGGAATCGGAATCAGACTCTGGAGATTGGGTCTTCTGAGACTGGTTGTCGGCGGTGGGAGAGGCGCTACTGCTCGTGCTCGAGGGGCGGAGAGAGAGGTAGTTGTAGATGGTGTTGTAAGAGCGGTAGAAGCCTGGCGGGACGAGAGGGCCGTAAGGCGGGGAGTCGGTGGGGGAAGATTTCGATTGGGGTAGGCAGGAGATGAGCCATTCTGTGACAGATTTGGGCTTGGATGCTGGTTGTGTTGTTGTCGTAAGTTGAGTGTCGTCCTGGACAGGAAGAGGGTTGGTCGGTGCCCGGATGACGTTGTAGCCTGCTCGCTTCAGGTGGCTGAAGACTTGGAACTTTTGCAAGCTGACTTTGCCTCTTTCTCCGTCTTCGCCAATGAGCAGAGCGTATGCTGCCTGGAGGGACAGTGGCAAGCCGTATTTGTACTCGTCATCCTCGTCCTCCTCGTCCTCCTCGGTTTGTTCTCCTTCTCCCTTGGCAGAAGTAGTAGCAGCCGCAGCCGGCGCCGATCCATCAGCAGGAAAAACCTCCTCGATCCCCCTCGTAGGCCACCACAGATCCAAACTCCCTCTCTCTACCAGATAAAGCGCCTCCTCAGGTAACAACCACTCCCTTCCCCTCGCCGGCCTATCCTTGGGCAAGCCCGTGACCGCCCTGCCGAGACTCTGGCTAGCCACATTAGTATGTTCCAGAAGCACCACGCGATCTCGCACATGCAGCGGCGGCAACTTCCTGTCCTTTTCCTCCTCGTCTTCCTCCCCTCCTCCCTCTTTTCCCCTCTTCGACTTCTGCTGCTCCCAATCCTCCGGCCAGTCCTTCCACCAATCAGGGAAATACCAACCCCTGCACCACCCCGAGGCCGATTTGGTATTATGCACGCGGGTATAACTCAGAACATCGCGCATAGCGTCGCGACTGGCGTCGAGCGCGGATGCTTGCGCGCGCGTGCCGTGCGACTCAAAGTCCTTTTCGCCCTTGCGGATGGTTTGCGCGCTGATGTTTTTGGTCTTGGAGTAGGTGGAGGCAAAAAGGCGGAAGTCGGCGGTGGGCGCGTCTTCGGCTTCTTCGACTTCGTCCATCATGGTGGCAGCATCTCCGGTCGCGTTGTTGGTGGTGGTGGAGGGAGGAGGGACGAGGGAGGGGTTATCTTCTAGGTCGTCGTCTAGAGGCATCTTGGCTGTGGTTTTGTGTGTAGTTTATTGGTTGGTGATGGTGCTCTGCTGGGTAAGGTTGTCAACTTGAATTTTTTCTAATTTTTTTTTTTTCAGGCTGGTGAAAATGTGTCAGTCGTATGTGTTGTCAAAGTGAGGAAGTTTTGAATGAGAAAGGCACAAGTAAAGAAGTTCTGCATGAAGTCGAAAAATAAAGTGGATCCGTTAGTTAACCTGTGAAACTTAGCTACTCCATAGCTGCCTGCCACGTACTCCACGTGGTAGTGTACATAAAAAGCTAAGCACAGCTTAACCTTTCAACAAGCTCACTAGGCAAGGTGGCCGAGTGGTTAAGGCGTTGTGTTTAGGTTATCTAATGATTAACTTGAAACCGCAATGGGAAACCTCGCGAGTTCGAATCTCGTCCTTGTCAACGCAAATATCTTTTTTTGCTGGTCTTTCCTTGCATTGTCTATGGTATTTCTCGCTGGTCATTGAACCTCCTTTTTGTCAAACGTATGTTCCTGGATCCACCGCAAGGCCTCAATGATGTCACAGTCAAGGAAGGGTCTGTGTCTGTTTCATCAACCCTCTTCATTCCGCTACCTGAACGCCTTCCAACACCATACGCCAATAAAGTTGTCTGATGTGACTGGCTGGCTTGCCATTGCTTGCCTCTGAAACTAATAAACGTACACATCCGCCCGACGTCTCATTGACAGCCTCCATGATTATCAAAAGACTCGTATATCCCTTTGACAACAATGCCACCGTTGTGTTCCCACCCACTTTATAAGAAGTAGAAAATTGTTACCTTTAATCATTATGATCTTTGTCCCTTTATCGACCTGCCGTTCTAGCCCCGGTATATCCTCCGATTAAGTCGTCATACCAGAAAAACCCAAGAACCCCCGCAACATGTCACCGAGCAACGCCCCGAAAGCACCCGCCTGAGTTGCCCCTTCCAACATACTTAACAGTTGTGTGAATAGAAACAAACCCATAAGCATGCCGAATCTGATACCAGCCTGTCGGTGGAAGATGTTCCAAATAAGAACCTTTATTGTTCGTCGCGGCTCAACAATAGCAGTGCTCTTCATGGCACTCCGTAGTCTCCCGAGGTGCCGCTCGAAGAGTCGCCGCGGACCGTGGAGTACTTCCATCACGTATGTGATCGTACCCTGTGCTGGTGGGCTATCGACCCTAGTCAAGGTCACGGCCGTACAGCATAATGATGGTGTGTGACAGCACTCTTTTCAACGCCACGTTGGCTGTTCGACCCCAAATTTCCCGGTGTTTGTCGGGCGGCCTCCTCTCTTCTCGATGGACGGGGTGTTCTACTCTGACCCCAAATTCCGTGGACGGCGTTATCGCACCGACAACATGCCCAGTTGCCGGTTATCGGGTTCCATTCACTCGATCAGCATCTTCTTCACTCCTCCCACCTCGCAAAGCCCGAGATGCCGTATTGCATCTCGCTCGTTGGATCGGACAATGACTCGGTCCGGGAGCATCGGATTGTTTGGGTCGACCTTGGATGCATCCTTTGCTGCTTGCTCAATCGCGTCCATTTCGTCCCTACACGCTTGCTGGTCCATTGGGCAAATAACGATCGGTTGTCGTAGAGTAATGTCCCTTGCAGAGTTCATGTGTGCCTGTGGAGGTATAAGTGACCGATCTGTCTGATATTTCAGTTGCTCAACTCACTTTGATACTCAAAAAGAACTCAATCTTGTACAATGTTGATGACGTTGTAAAGCTCGTAACTTCGTACATGGGAAACCCGGGTTTTCCGCGCTTGACAATGCCGTCGGGGTCTCGTAGATCTCGCGCCGGAAAGACAAGCCCCAAGTTTGTGACATAGCCTGTCTCGGTCAACTTGACCCCTACTGGTTGTGTGTGCTTTGCGATCTTGTTGACTTTCTTGGTTGGTTCGTCGCCCTCGGGGTTGAATGTGATTTCCTCCTCGATGGCCAATGTTATCTTATTTATCGTAACCTTTTTTGCCTTGTTCATCATGTCCGGATTTGGGGCCAGCTTGATAAAGACTGTTATTGGATCTAATGGCCCATAGCTCCATTTTGGTAGTGAGATGCCCAAGGTCACGATGCTATCCGCCGTGACAACCTTGCTTTCGGGCCGGTTGTACATTCCAAAAGTCGAAAGGGTATCGTATCGCTGTATTGGTATGGGGAAGGTGTATCTGTTTTGTGTGCTTTGGCCTTGTTGGACAGTAACCACGAGCTCGTAGTATGTTTCGGCGATTCGGCTGGGCAGTTGCAAGCTCGCAGGCGGAATTCGACGATTTATTTCTTCTCCTCCCCGGCCATAGGGTATAAATATCTGGAACGGCAGGTCCATTGCTATTACGCTCTCCGCCTCTTTCCCCGACACACACCGGAATAGCAGCACCTCTTTGCCCACCAGGTCCACGGTTTCGCGTCGCGGTGTGCCGAGATGTCGTTTCGCCATGCTCTCGGCAGCAGGGTGTATGGTTTCTCGTCGCTGGAGGCAGATGCGCACCATGGATACGCTGACGGGTGCGGAAAAGCCGGCGCTTGGTCGGATCTCGACTTTCCCTACTATTCTTGGCTATGAGAGCGCAAGTTAGCATCGGCGACGTCCGCGCAAACGAGAAGAAAACTCACCAACGTGGCAGAGATACCGGGGTAGCCCACCAGAAAGCTGCTGTTGGGTGGTCCCGATATCCTCACCGTGGCCGGAGCATATTGGGCAACTAATGCATTCATGGTGCCGTTAGCGCCGGGTGCGAAGTTGTTCGAAATAGGTTCGTCGTGTTGACAGTGAGGATATGGTCGAAGATGACGAGCGGATCATGAACGTGTTGTAGAGACCGGCTTCGCCGTGCCACAACTGGGCAGTCGACGGAGTCGTGAATGAGGGGCTTGGTGCGTAGCGCTTGGAACGAAGGTCACACTTCTGGCCCCTGGCGATCGCGAATGTTTGTATCGATAAGGCTGGGGTTCACTTGCAGGGTTACTGCATCCCATCCGGGGTTATCGAAGGCAAATGCAAGGCCGCAATTGATGCGCGTTGTCGCTGTGGTGCAGCTGTGCGTAGGCAGTTTCGTCGCTTATGCTTTGGCAAGGGGAAAGAGGCGTCGTGAAATTGGTGAGACGGACAGAACAGACTAGTTGGACAAGTATCGTGGGCTTAACATTCCTCGACTAGTGAGCGGATGGCGGAAGGTGAACGCTACACTCAACAACTGTTTTCTGACCGCAAGCCTAGGTAGGTAGACTAAAGAAACCTAGTTCGACTAGATGGCCAAGCGGTACGCTCGCACAACCGCCGTCGTTGGCGCAGCGTTTGCTCACGTTAGGGCGCGGGAAAGCCCTCTGCTGTCCGGGGGCGTTGGGGGCCGAAGAGAAGTGGTCGTCGTCCAAGTTGAGGGCAAATGTGAGGGCCCTATGACGGGATCGATATAGTCAGTCAGCTTCGAAGACGGGTCGCCTTGTCCGTCAACAGTGTATGGGGGGGCCAATCGCGGCAGGAGGTCGTATTAGCTAGGTAGGTATCGGAACGGCAAAACACCACGTCAGATGATGGATGCTGTCGATTGATAAGTGAATTCCCGGGCTGGAGGGTTGCCCGTAGGAGGGAGGGGAAAAGGATAGGTGTGACAAGATGCGAGGCCGGCAGGCGCCAAGGACAGTCGCGGCTAGAAGAAAAGAGCTTTGCGAATGACTGACAAGCTCAATTCTCAACTTTTCGGTCAGGGTACGACGTCAAGAGCCGTTAGCCGGATATGACCAGGACTAAGTGTGGATCTGAAGAGATAGTAGTGTAGGTAAAGGGAGGAAAGCTGAAGGAAGAAAGTGCCTGGTCCTCGGAACGTCACCGAGGATTATCCCCAACCTCAAGGGCCCCCTTCCTTGGGCGGTGGGGAACGCGGATGGCGGTCACTAACCGAACATGTGCAAGGCTGCACTGTTACAGCGTTGGCATCCTTCAGCTTTCTTTCCTTGGTGGTAGTGTAGGTGACCAGGGGAACAGGCGGGATGGACAGTCAAAGTGGAGAAGTGGAAGTTGAGGTGAGCTCCGACTGATGGACATGAGCGAACGTCCATCTGAACTTTCAGATTCTCTTCAAGATTAAGATCAAAGTTAGGTACCAATCTCTATACACCTAGTGTATGTGTAATATAGCACTCGATTACCCCATCTCGGTTCTTCAACCCGGATTCTCACATGTCCAACCTTGGAACTTGTTACTCATTCATTGCCAGACTTCCACTCTAAAACTTGACCACAGTACCTAATCCCCATTAATCCAGGAAATTCAACCATGATGATGATCAGACCATCAGCTTGGGCCGTTTCAGTTCGGTGCCTGGCCATGACGTCCTTGATCCCTTTGCGCATCCAGACCAGTATTTCCGCTTGAGTAGTGAGACAATGGGCCATGATAGACTGAAACAAGTGCAGGGAGAGTTGGTCAGATTGTTTATGCCTCTTTCAGCAGGCAGCGGCATGGCAAGCAAGGGCCAAGGGGCCAGGCGGGAGAGGGGGGGCGGCCGATAGGGCTGGTATGGTCAAAGCTTCCAGCTGCTGCATGCAAAATCAGATCAATCAGATCCCGCCCGCCCGGCCTTCAGGTCCAGCCCCCCATCAGCGGCCCCCCGGCAACCGCCCAACCACAAGCGCTTGGCGTCGGCAGGCTTCCACTTGTGGTGCCGCAGGCAATTCTGTTCCGCAGTAGGTAGCAACTGCACGTCACACAACAATTGACCAAACATCACAACCCAAACACACGGGAACCTCAAATCGCGACTGATCAACCATTGAACCAGCCAGAGAAAAAGATCTACACCCGCCATCATGTCTGTAACACTCCACACAACACTCGGCGATCTCAAAATCGAAATCTTTTGCGAAAGCGTCCCCAAAACAGCAGAAGTACGTCCCTTTCCCTTTCCCTTTCCCTTCCCTTCCCCTCTCCACTCACGCGCAAAGGCACTCACAAGCTAACCTTCTCCTCTCCAATTCGCAGAACTTCCTAGCCCTCTGCGCCTCCGGCTACTACAACGCTTCCCCCTTCCACCGTATGATCCCTTCCTTCATGGTGCAAACCGGGGCACCCGCCAACCCTTCCCCGCCCGAGAACCCCAAGGGCGGCCGGTCCATTTACGGCCCGACCTTCGAAGACGAGATCCGGCCAGTGCTGCGACACAACGAGCGGGGCATCGTCAGCATGGCCAACAAGGGGCCCAACACCAACGGATCCCAATTCTTCATCTTGTTCGACAAGGCCCCGCATCTGGACGGGCTGAACACGGTGTTCGGGAAGCTGATTGGAGACGAGAGCTTGCAGACGCTGGCAAAGCTGGAGGGATTGGAGGTGGATAAGAAGAATCGGATCAAGGAGGAGGTGAGAATCGAGACGGTTACGGTGCATGCTAATCCGCTGGCCAAGTGAAGAGATGAAAAATTGGGATTGGAGCTGGAGGTTGGGATGAAGACACGCCGGGCCAGCCAGTCGACTGGCTTACAACAACTATCCGAGACTGAGAGGGAAGGCGGATTCGGGCGGATTCGAGAAGCAATCGAGTACCGACATACCACACGAAGTGCCGCTGCTGCTGAGCGCCGCTCACAGAAGCGAACGAGACGGGGAAGGAAAATCAAGCGGACAGCAACCGAATTCGGAAACCAAACGGCGAAAACGCTCTTACGCAACCGCACACACCACACCACCACACCAACCCTCATTGACCTCTTACACCCGGACACTGATACATCCCTCAACATCTGTTGTCTACTCGCGCTGTCTGATCTCCCCACGCCGCGCCATGTATCGAAAGTGTTGTACCGTCACAAGAGAGCAAGCAGCGGAGGACCACTACGCGCGTGCGGTGTGCGAAGTGCTGACCTTTTTACACAGGCGGCACGCTCTTGGTCTGCGTATCAGTGCCGCAACACTTTGAACTGCGAGCCTGGAGTCTTACTGGGTAGAAATTGATGACGACCGGACAACGTTCATCTCGCACCACAGCTCCTCTTACTCTCACCTTCTCTCTGGCTCTCCCATCGGACTATCAATCGACCGGCGAGGAAGGGTGGTTGTGTAACATTCCAACGTCAGCTGTCGTGGTTTTGTTTGGTATCGGAGGCCTCTGTTATGGCTATGCCTCTATACGACCACGATGCGGCTGGTGGCTTCTGGATGAATATGCGACGATGAGAATTATGACGAATAACTTCTTGATGCGGTTATATACGACCTAAGCTGTGCTATGCTTTGCTAAGCTCAGCAAAGCAAAGCAAAGCTAAGCAATAGACTTCATGATTTTCAGAAGAGCTAGAAGGACTAGGAGTGCTAGAAGGGATCAATAATTGCACCAAAGTCACACCACATGGACAAACAGTATAGCTACCTAGTGATGGATACGTAATCACGCACCCCTGAACGAATAGCAAAATGAAGGATTCAATGATGAATATGAAGTATCATCACCACACAAAACCCGGATGTTCATGCATCCATAAAATCTAAATAAGATAGATAGTACACACACAGGAACCAAACCAGAACCACAAACAAGAGTAGAGAGTATATGTAACATTCACCACACTCGAAGTAGGTGAACAAGAAAAGTGATAAAAGAGGATAAAGTAATAAAAGAGAAATAAGGAAAGTGAGTGTATCGTTCAGACAAGTAATGATAACCGATCCTTCTCTTCTTCTTTCTCTACCCACTCACTCACTCTAGTACCTTACACGGTTATTTACTACTGGATCCCTTTTCTTGCTGTAAGCCGTCTCAACCGACCAACCGACCGACCGACCGACGGACCAACTCCTCATGCACCGGCACTGATTTAACCACCTAACAATATCATCATTTTTTTTTCTCTCTTTGCTTTCTCTTCCAATGAAACCCTCTAACGTAACATATGCCTACGACTATCTTTCCCCGCCATCGTTATTTTTCTCTTTGCTGCCTTGGTTTTTTTCTGCTCTTTCACCCAAAACCTTCACCAGGCCATAAAAAGCAAATCATTCCAAAGCAACAACAACAACAACAAACAAAAAAAAAACCATCAATTTTCTAAACCCGACTGCTGTTCTTGACGCGTGGGTGTCGTCTGAGTCTGCGTATTATTGGTATACGGCCATCCAGGTAGATTTGCTCTAAACACGTCCGAAGGGGATGCCATCCTAGGAGGAGGAGGCACCGGCATCTGCTGAGTGGGACTGAGAGAGTTCCGCTGCTGCTGCTGCTGCTGCTGGTGGTGGTGGGTTCGGTGATGTTGGTTTTCATGATGGTGATGGTGATGATGATGAGGAGGAGGAGGAGTTCCCGGAGAAATGTGACGAGGCTGATGAGAATTCCTTAATGGAGAAGGAGACAAAATGGAAGGAGGCTGATGATGGGAAGAAGAAGAAGAAGAAGCATAAGAAGCATAGGAAGCGGCGGAAACAACAGATGAAGAAGAGTTACGATCTCCGGGATTCTAGCCCTTCCTCCGCCTCTTCGGATCGCGCTCAGGGCTTTCCAAATCGTTCTTGTTAATCTCCTCCGTTGCAGCCGAGGGGGAGGGGGTGTTGACAGGGGAGTTGTGCTCGAATATCCTTCCCGAGTCGAACCCGCCGCCGGGGACGGAGAGGCCGCCAGTGTTGGAGGTGCCGGCTGTTGTGGCAGTACCACCGTTGGGAGTGGGGGTGGCGCCGGTGTGAGTAGGGTTCGTCAGATCGAAGCCGTCGTCGAGATTGAAGTTGAAGTCGCCAGTGCCGTCACCGGTTCCGTTGGCGCCGGGTAGCCCGGAAAACTCGTAGGCAGGATCGGAAAAGGCGTTGTCGTTGAGGTATTGCTCAATGTCAGTGCTGTCAAAGTAGCCGGCAGCGCTGTTAGGGTTGCCGTGCTCGTCGAGACCGGGGATGCGACCGGAGGGGCTCAACGGACCGAGCAAGCTCGTAAGTCGATCGATCTGGCTGGCTTGTTCCTCCTGGAGCCGTTGAAGGGCGTCTAGCTCCTCGTGGGAGTAGCTGGGGAATGGTGGCGGCGGCGGCATGGAGCCGAGGGCAGGAGAAAGTGTGTTGGGTGCAGTGTGGTTGGGGACGACAGGGGTAGGTGGAGCGGCAGCAGCAGCAGTGGTAACAGGTACCGTGGGGATAGTGGAAACTGGCGGCATCGTAGCCGTTGGGGTAGGTACCGTAGGGCTTGGGGCCGGTGACGAACCGTTAGTCGAGGGAAGGTTTCCGGCCATGATGCTGAGCATTTTGTTGCGCTGGTCGTTGCTCAGGGCATTCACATGCGTCTTGGTCGCCATATCTGGCAGGTCAACACCTCCCGAGGCGCTCACAGCATTCGTGTCCTGAATGAGCTTCATCATCCCCTCCTGAGGGTTGTTTTGTAGCTCATTCTTCATGAATGTGGAAGATGGGCTGTCTCCCGGCGTTGTGTCGAAGAGTTCTGTGACGGAACCCATCTGCTGCGCTTGATATTGGGGATGGACCGGGGCAGGAGAGGCTGATGAGGCAAGCGAGTGCACCTTGGCTACACCCTGCTGGGGGATAGGGGGCAGGAGACGCTGTTGACGCTTCGGTGTTCCCATGGACGTATTGTTGTGGACCTGATGGTTGACGAAGCCGCCGAGGTCAACCACATTTGCCTGGGGCATTTGATTCTGATTGTGAACCTGCGCGTTAGGAATGATACTTGCCAAGAGATCCTGCACGCTCTGCGTCCCTCCTTGCTCCTCCAGCGACTTTCGGAATACGTTGGCAAGAAAGTTAAGAATGGCGTTAATCGAATTCTCGTGACGTTCATGCTGGTTCTGAAATGTGAGGGCCTGCTGGAATAAGGTCGTATGTTCAGCTCGAATCTTTTGTAGCAAGCTGGAGATGGCAACCTGTTGCTGTTGTAGCCGATCTAGTTGAGACTTGACTGCTACCAGGTCCTTCTTGTGTAACGGGCCAACCTCACCAGCACCCGAAGAACCACGTCCGACTTGGGCTGACGAGTAATTTTGACCAGCGTATGGGTCTTCGCCACCGGCATCCTCCTCGCTATCCGCCTCTCCCTCGGCCTTGGGCGTAGTTTTGTTTGGCTTGTTTCCCTTTCCTCCACTCTTGGGTTTGTTGATCAGCCATAGAAGGTTGGGGTGACCGCGCCTAAAGTAAGGATTGTAATACTCGCTTGGGCTCTTGTTCTTTCTTTCAGATGCCTTCATCGAGTTATCCGAAAGGCCTACTCGCTTATGGAAGCCATACATGTTGAGCTGCCGCACAAAGGAGGCATAGTTGTTGTGTTTGAAAAGCTCCGGGATGAGGGTCTTGGCGAACTCATCTTCATCAAGGACGATGAAAGAGTCACCCTTATCAGACCAGCGAATGAGATCCGTGTTCCGGGACTCATCCAAGAAGCTGAGCACATGACAAGGTTAGTGTACTGTATATATACTTTTGAATCATATGGGTTAGGGTAATAACAAACACACCTGCTCAGTTTCTGGACGAAAGGCGGGATCTGCTTTCTTTTGGCCTGCGCTTCCCGCTTGGCACGCTGCGCCATCTCTTCGAGGCGCTCAATGTTGTCGTGCTCGTCCATTGGAGGCACGTTATGCCCCAGGGGATAGGCAGCATCGTCACTAAATGAGGCCCAGGTGTCGGCCGCCCCGTTGAACTGATTGGTAGTGACAAGGGCCCGACTTGGCGGGCGCCGCGCGAGGGCAGTGGAAGGTGCTGGAATAGGCTGCGGAAACGGTGCTTGCGTGGAGATCATTCCAAACGAGTTGAGAGGTGCCGCTGCTGCGTCTGGGGGATTATTCCACCGGAACACCTGATCCGCTGGAGCGGGAGTGAACTGTTGCTGCATCTGCTGAAGAGGAAGGGGCACAACAGGCGAGGCGCCCGGGGCCGGTCTCTTTCTCGGGTTAGGAGAAGACATGGCGGCGTAAGACGGAAGCATGCGCTCGAGATGGTACGACGAGACGGTTTACTAGGAAAGCCACTACGGCGCAAAAATGGTTGATGTTGAAAGGCGCGGTAGACGATGGGGCTGCCTACTAACGACTTGTCGATGTAGGATATTGGTCTGGTCTCTCGTGATATTGGGCGTACAAGCTGGGCGATACTGTCCAAAAGTTGTACGTATCGTGGGTATCGACAGGAAAACCAGACCAACAGATACGATCGCGGGGAAGCGGAGTGTTAAGGGGTCCTGCTCAGACTGGAGAAGGATAAGAAGAGATTGGAGATTGTTGGTCCTAGGGAAGCACACAGAACGATGCGGGCGTTATATACCCTGCAGCGGTTTTGAAATGTCGCGATCAAAGGATACCAAAGACTCTCAGCCTCTTTCTGGGGGCGAAGGGCGAAAGTGTAAGCGAATCTGCGTCTAGTAACGATCAAAAGTGGTGGTTGACGACCGACAAGGACGCCGTGAAGGAGGCTGTTTGTCGCACGTCGATTCTCTTTCAAGCCCCCACCGGAGTGCAGGAAATGGCCTGGGATAATTGACGATTGTTTCTGACAGAGCAGCACTGCAGGCGTAGACAGTACAATGGTCCAATGCGCGCGGGTCTTGTTTCTTGTTGTCGAGGTCCTCGCTGGAGATATTTGATGATTTGTTGGATTTTTGGTTTTTTTTGTTTTTCTGATTTTTTTTTTTGGCTTGTAATTTCAGGCGCTGGCTTCAACGACAACAGCCAACCTTGTCTGTGTTGTTTTTCAGTTACCCAACTGAACACCACCAAATAAAGACTCTTGTCGTCCCGCCTTGTATCCTGTCAATGTCTCTCTCACACAATCTCTCTCTGGTCCCCAGTCGCGCAATGATCCCTTCTTCAGATGATTTGGTCCGTGTCCTGTCTTCGGCCGGCCAAAGCTGGGCGGGGAAGAGGTCGTGGGGGATCGGATCCCGGAGTTGGGCGTTCTGAAAATGCTCGAGTAATGCAAACTGCGGAATCGCGGTAGCGGGCGGGACGCTGGGTGGCCGTGTCCGTGGACGGGGTAGTGGATGGATGGTCCGGAAAGGGGATCGGACGTTGGCTCGAGGCGGCAGTGGTGGTGGTGGTGGTCGTCGTCGTCGGTAGTGAACGCAAAACAGCGAAAAGCCGCGGAGTGGTACGGGCAGCAAGCAAGCAAGCAAGCAAGCAACTCGACAGAGTGGAAGCTGATGTGAGCGAGGTTAGGTCGTTCGGCGATTCCGAGTCCGTCCGTGATCCGTCGGGGGTTTGGGGACTTTGTATGACGAGAAAGACGTGACGTTGAAGAACTAAGCCGGCCTGCCGTTGGTTGTTAGTGATGATGTGTGTCGTCTCTCGAGATTGGATCGTTCGGCGGAGCATGCAACAGCGTGATGGCGGCGGCAGGTGCGCTGGAATGGTGTGAACTCTGGGCTACTGTAGCACAGTATGGTAGCATCCGCACCCAATGCTCCAGCCGAGCCCAAGTCCAGCGCCAGCTTCCACTTTGGTGAAACGATTTCACTGATCGCTCGATCGATGGCAGCTGTTAGCACTGTCCGTCCAATCACCTGTCTTGGAGATAAGGGAAATGCCACTCTAAACGTGGGGTCTATCCGTGCCAATTGCTCCGGCGTCGCTTTCTTGGCGGGTCCCTTTTTGCCGTGACCTTTGAGGTTCTCACCAAGAGAAAAAAAAAATTGTCTCTTGTCCGTGAAAAGCCCGACCCGACACCGACACCGACGCACAGGATACGTTACCTACCTACCTGCCAGGGAGACAAGCGAGCGCGGGACCTGCTCCGGGACGAGATCCGCTAGGAGCATGTTTCCCGGCTGTGATGTATCACATACCAAAAGCTACCTATCCGAACGGAAACCCATTATGTAGTTACCACCGACACTTGTTGTATTGTATTGTCTTCACAATGAGATCTGTCCATAACTATTAGACGGACTCAGTTACCTAGCTACTTGGTCAATCTGATAACTCCAATCTCAGCTTCATCAATGACAATTGTCAAAGCAAGTGGCCGTGGTTCATGCCAATAACCGGAGGTGCAGCATAATGGCTCGGGGTTTCTTTCTTCGGCCATGTCACTTAGACGAGCTAGCATGAGGAGCTCTGACAAAGCCTTGAATTGCAAAGCTGCCTGTGAATCGAGCTTTGAGCCTGTGAATCGAGGTAGCAGTAATGGGTAAGTAACAAGTGGAAGCCCAGCAGGCCCAGCCGTCCAATCCAAACACGGGTTGTTGTCAAGGGCTTGCCGGCATGGTCATGTACTTGACCCTATCGTCAGGTCTTGGCACCCCGGCCTTTTCTCCATGGAACCTTTCCATGAGCATCTACAGGATACTTTTTGCATGAGCACGATATGGATCCCCATGGCCGTTTCCTTCTTTTCCCCTTCTTCCGTCTTCTCTTCAAGTCTTTGGCGATGGAGTTGAGAGCTGAGGGGCTTCCCAAGGGTATGGAACAAGGTGTCCTTCAAGACGGTTGATATATCGGGCCATGTAACTGTTAGTGTTTGTTAGTGCATTTCGGCAGCCAACAGAAATGCACTAGCTCCAAGCCTCAGAAACGTCACCCAATGGCTCTTGAACCGTGGCAATTGGTGGGTACGGGGTACATAAGCTTATCTTTTCATGGGAAAGGTTTGACACCTTCGGAATGAATGCCGTCAAGTGCGAGTGGTCAGAGTCTTTGAGAAACGTTGAGGGTATCATTTGGGTTGGCTATTCTACAAACTAGACGTACATACGCACACTTTCATCACACCGTTCTTGAGCTACAGGTAGCAATATGGAATATGACAGAACCAACAAAGAGACCAAGGACGGAGGCAACTTATCCGCTAAATCAGTATCGGTCCCGTCTTCCCCGGTCCCAAGCTCTTGAAGAGCCTCCCGTCTTAGCATCTCGGGTGGCCTTTTTCTCCTCTTTGAGCGTCCTAGCTTTCGCCAGAGGATCAATAACCACCAACTCTTCCTCCGCCTTCTTCCGGTAACTGAGGTCTTTCCCGAGCTTGTCAGCAGCAAAACTCAACTTGTGAGACATCCAACCTTCATCACCGCTATCCTCATTGTCCTCCACCTTGTCCCAGGCCTTGCAGCTTTGACAGTTAGCAATGAAGTGAAGATCGCACACTTTTTCCTCGTCTGCTTGACCGTCTTGTTCGCCATTCTCTACATCTGGATTCACCGCAGGCTGGGCCGCATTCTTCTCTGGTGGAGCCGTCTCAATCTTGGCCTTGAAAGACTTGAGCAGGTCCAAAGCTTCTTGCTCTTCCCGGGTGGGATTGTTACTTGCACCTGGCCGGCGCTTTCTCCCGCGGATGGCTGTATCCGGGATCAGTTGCTCCAGAGCCGACTTCTTCTTCTCCTGCTTTACTGGCTCTGAATGGATCGTCCTTTTCATTGACGCTTTGAGTGCCGCAATCTCTTCATTCGTCTTTTCAAGGAGGGACTTCTTCTTGGGTTTTTCAGGTTCTGGGCTCGAATGCTCGCTGTAGTGCTTCTTGGGCAGCTGCTCTTTCTTCTGAGCAACCGGCAGTGGGCTTAGACTCCTCCTGCTTTCTTTTACTGGTTTTGGCTCTGGCTTTTCTTCCCGTTTTGGTACATCCTTTGCCACTGGTTTGGCGTCCTTTTTGGCAAATGACTTTTTCGAGGCGCTTTGCTTGCTTGAATCGTCTTGGTCAAGATCCGCCACGATCCTGGTATCAAACTTGGGTTTCTTGGGAAGAGGAAGCTCTTCTCCATCCTCATCACCGACCTCGTCTCCAAAGCTGAGTAGCTGCTTGCCGCCTTTCCTCTTCTTTTGCTTCTTCTCGGCGGGAGTGGGCCTAGAAATTTGTTGTGGTCTGGGTTTCTTCTCCCTCTTCTGCATGTCATCGAAGGGGTTGATGAGGATCTCGATACGCGTGATCTGGATGGGATATAGGGGCCGCTCACCGCCCTCTTCCACCTCGGCCTCTCCGATCTTTGCCAAGTTGTAAATCGTGTCGCCGGCCACTCGACCGAACATGGTGTTTTTCCCCGTCAGCTCGTCCGCCTTGCCGAGCGTAAAGAAGAACTGACTGCTGTTGGTGTTTGGTGCCCCTTCGTTCGCCATACCCAAGAGACCTCTGCGGTTGAACTTGAGACGCGAGTGGAACTCGTCCTTGAAATTGACGCCATGAGGTCCCGCATTCTTTCCCCTTCTCTGGTCCATCGGCCATGGGTCGAGGTCACCGCTGAGCGCGCCATTATCGTAGATCGACTCTCCTCCATGACCGGTGCCGCTGGGATCACCACCTTGAACGATAAAACCAGGGATCAGGCGGTGGAAGATGGTGTTGTCGTAGTAACCGTCGAGTGCAAGCTGCAGGAAGTTTCGGCATGTCAATGGTGTTTGCTTCGCGAATAACTCGACGGCAATCTCGCCCTGTGTTGTGTGAATAATCGCAGATGCCGTCGGTTGCGGCTCGAGGTTGTAGATGGCCGACATGTTGCTGGGGTTTGCCGCGCTTGGCTCGGTGTGTGATCACGCGTTTATGTTATTTTGCGGCCGGCGCATGCGATGATGGTGTTTTGAAAGTTTCGGCAAAAGAGTCGTGTTTTGGCGGCGACGCGGCAAGTGCTTGCGTGGTCAAGGCAAGTTCAGTTCATGGCGCAAACTGAACTGAATGAGTGCAGTGTGGAACTCTTAGTTTGCTGGATGCAGTTCAGCCTCAGCTTGAGACGACTGGACGATCGCAGTTGGGCGGGAAGGGAGGTTGGAGGTTTTGTGGAAGGTGTGGCGGTGCAACGAACGAATGTTTCGAGCGGGGGAGCTGGAGTGAGTGTTTGGACAGCCAGGCAAACCCTTTGTAAGGAACTGACTGCCCACCTGAAAGTGGAAGCACTGTCCCTGCGGATGACGGATGCGGGGCTGCCCTGGCTGTCACTGTCGGGTACCTTGGGAGTGCCCGGCCCGCTGCCTGCCAGGACCTGCCCGCTATACACTACAGGGCACCGCAGCGCAGTTGGAGGGCAGGAACTTGGCCTGGAATGGGCGCTTCGCGTTGTCACTTGTCAGCCAGCGGCCTCATCAGCCTATCAGTCCAGTCCAGTCCAGTCCAGGCCAGGCCGAGGACGGGGACTCGGAGCTTGGTTGCGTTGCAACTTCGAGACACCAACATACATGTTACCTACGCTACCTTGGCTCCCATCTCCATCCGCCAACCTCATTTCGTCTCCTCCATTGCATTCAGCATAGAATCCGATCTTTATCCTGAGCTGGCCTCGAGGTCTTGACTACCGACGTCCGCACTCTTCCACAATGGCCGACCCCCGGGTACCGTCGTCATACAACGTGACGCCCAGAATCCGCTACAACACCGTTGGTGGTGTCAACGGCCCTCTCGTCATCCTCGACAATGTTGGTCAACCGCCACTTCTCTCCACCGCAATGGGCGTGTCTAACAACTGCCGCAGGTCAAATTCCCTAGATACAACGAAATCGTCACATTGACCCTCCCCGATGGAACGCAACGCTCCGGTCAGGTTTTGGAGGCGCGAGGTGTGTTTCCCTCTCGCCATATCTCTTGTGCTTCTCTCTGATCAACAGCTGACAGCCATGATGCTCTACAGGAAACCGCGCCGTCGTCCAGGTAGATAACCGCGACACAAGTTGGCAGACACGCGAACAATGCGCTGATATCATGAACAGGTCTTCGAGGGTACTTCCGGCATCGATGTGAAGAAGGTGAGGCAGATATCCACATGGGACTAGCGAACAAGAAACTGACGAGGAACAACAGACCAAAGTCGAGTTCACCGGCGAAAGCTTGAAGCTTGGTGTATCAGAGGACATGTTGGGCCGTATCTTTGATGGTTCCGGCAGGGCGATCGACAAGGGTCCCAAGGTGTTGGCCGAGGAATATCTCGACATCAACGGCAGTCCTATTAACCCCTACGCCAGAGTAAGTACCTTCCTTGGTTGCTGAATTGCGAAGGCCGGGGACATTGTGCTGACAAGACATAGGAATACCCTCAAGAAATGATCTCGACGGGTATCTCTGCCATCGACACCATGAACTCCATCGCTCGTGGTCAAAAGATTCCCATCTTCTCGGCCGCCGGTCTGCCTCACAATGAAATTGCTGCCCAGATTTGCCGACAGGCCGGTCTCGTCCAGCGCCAAGGTATTACGAATAAGGGTGTGCACGATGGTCACGAAGAGAACTTTTCGATTGTCTTTGGTGCCATGGGTGTCAACTTGGAAACCGCCCGTTTCTTCACGCGCGATTTCGAGGAGAACGGTAGTTTGGGCCGCACCACCCTCTTCCTCAACCTTGCCAACGACCCGACCATCGAGCGTATCATCACCCCCCGTCTCGCCCTCACGACGGCCGAGTACTACGCCTACCAGCTCGAGAAGCACGTCCTGGTCATTCTTACCGATCTCTCGTCATACTGCGATGCTCTTCGTGAGGTCTCGGCTGCTCGCGAAGAAGTACCCGGTCGTCGTGGTTTCCCGGGTTACATGTACACAGATTTGTCGACCATTTACGAGCGTGCCGGTCGTGTGGCTGGCCGCAACGGCTCCATCACGCAAATTCCCATTCTCACAATGCCTAACGACGATATTACCCATCCCATTCCCGATTTGACGGGCTACATTACCGAGGGTCAGATTTTCGTCGACCGAGGTCTCCACAACCGTGGTATCTACCCTCCCATCAACGTGCTGCCCTCTCTCTCGCGTCTGATGAAGTCGGCCATTGGTGAGGGCATGACCCGCAAGGATCACGGTGATGTGTCGAACCAGCTGTACGCCAAGTACGCCATTGGTCGTGATGCCGCGGCCATGAAGGCTGTGGTTGGTGAGGAGGCCCTGTCGAACGAGGACAAGCTTTCTCTCGAGTTCTTGGACAAGTTTGAGCGCTCGTTCATTGCCCAGGGTCCTTACGAGTCTCGCACCATCTTCGAGTCTCTGGATCTTGCGTGGAGCTTGCTCCGGATCTACCGCAAGGACATGCTCAACCGTATCCCCAAGAAGATCATCGACGAGTTCTACTCGAGGTCTGCGGCTGACCGCAAGGGCAAGGGCAAGGACAAGCCTACGACCAAGGATACCAGGGACACGGCGGCGCCCGAGGAGGAGAACCTGATTGACGCATAAACAGCATGTTGGCTATGAGAAATGTCGGCGTGGTGCCCGGCGAGGGTTGGTTGGTTGATGATGATGATTTGTTGAGTTGTGTTTCGTGTGTATCTCAAAGACATGGGAGTTGCGCTTTTGCTGCGATATTGTAGATTGGAATTGAACAGTATCACGCTTCATTTGTCCCTTAGATGCTGAACCCCTTGACAGGATCACATCCATGTGGTATAGCACTACACACACTCCAGACTGCCTGTAACGAGACCATTCACTGCAACAATGAGCGGAACAAGGAGAGCTGGATCGGGAAGTCTTGGCATGGCTGAAGCTAGAGCTTATTCGGTGGGGAAGAGACGGCTGGCGACCCCGCATGGTTCTCCAGGACGCCACAGCCGCGCCAATGGGGATTGGAGACGGACTCCATCATCTGATGGTTCGCTTCTGCACGACGTCATATCCGTGATTTTACCCCGGGATGTTTGGAGAAAGTAAACAACATCAACATCGAGGTTTAGGTTGGCTTCACTGTTCCTCTCGCGGTTACTGTCAGTCAAAAGTGTGACATTGAGAGAAGCAGAGTTAATTTCAAGTCAATTCTTGGTAAACAGCCAAGACATGACACGAACAAGCAACAACACCAAAATCTCAACGAGACAAGGCCGATGATCTGCTCCTTGCCGAGAGTCTTCCATGATAGGCACCTATCTTGGCTTGGAGATATACGTATGGCAACACCAAGCCCACCCGCCTGAATCCGGGAGGTTGGGTTAGAGACCAACACACCAACGACCCGATATGTATATAACACCAATGTGTCTTGAAGGTAGCGGCGAGAAGGGAAGGTGGGTCGACGTGCTCCCCAAACTGACCTTGCCTGGCGGAGAATATATCACAGAAGATGCAAAGAGGCGCCGAGATCCACCAATCACGGTACAGCCTGCATATTAACCGTTGCTACGAACCGAGATGCGAATACCGGCATGCGACTACTGACTGCATGGTGGTGAGTTGAGTTTTGTCACACAAAAAGGCTGGCATCTCGTGGGCGTTTTTACGTGCGGAGGAGCATGGGGCATTTACCTACAGTATGTAGTGTAGTATCCTGCCTGCTACATAGGTAAGTCAGTCTTGTTGCCGGGTGCAGATCACATTCCTTTTTGTCTCGGAGAGTGTGTGTGATCTGTACCCCAACAAACGCAGGTGTGTGTGGTGCAGGTGGAGAGCAGAGAGGGTCGGGATGAATATCATCCAGGAGTTTTATTGTGTAGGAACTGGAGATCGGATCGCTTGGTAGCTAAGTACGCTACCTCAAAGGTGGTAGTTTACCCCAGATTCATGGGGGGCTTGGGTGACATCCAACGTCTCCTCGAGGCGGTCACCAACCTTCCTCACACGTACCTTGCTTGCTCGTCTCCTCGATGTTCAATCTAATGTTGATCCGCACCAACGGGGGGACCGCATTGACCGACGTGGTCCTGTCTCAGCTGCCAATGGGTGGGTGGTAGGACCTTGAGTTTTTGTTGATATTAATTTCCTTCCTCCCTTTTTTATATCTATTTTTTTTCCCTCGGCCTTCCCCTCACTCTGTGTTTCCTTTCTCTCTCGTCGGGTCCCCTCGTTTTATTTTCTCCTTCACGGGTGCTACAGGTCCAGTCTCTCGAATCTCACCCTCCAACAGACATCACCACCATCACCGGGACTCTCACCGAAATGCGTCTCCACGCTCTACTCCTACCGGGGGCCCTCTCCCTCGCCGCAGCAACACCAACAACAACCTCATCAAAACCCATCCCCTCCCCCGACGCCAACGGTAAATACTGGCTCAACACCACCCACCTCTCCCTAGCCTTCATCCCCTACGGCGCCTCCATCACCAACCTGATCCTCGCCGACAAACACGGCAAGCCTCTAGACATAGTCGCCGGCTACGACAACGCAACAGCCTACACCCTAGACGCCGCCCACCCGCACTTTGGTTCCGTGCCCGGTCGTTATGCGAACCGAATCAAAAATAGCTCTTTTACTCTTTTTCCCGATTCCGATTCTGATTCTGAAGGCGAACAAGAAGGAATAACATACCACGTCACCCCCAACGAAAACCCCACGCCCGATCATCCCAAAGGAGTCGACACCCTCCACGGCGGTCCAGACGGGTGGGACTACCGCAACTTTTCCGTCGTCGCCTACACCCCCGGTTCATCAATCACGTTTAGGCTAGTCGATCCAGACGGGAAGGAAGGGTTCCCAGGGGAAGTAGTCAGTTACATCACGTACACCGTTTCGGGAAATGCATGGGATATCAACATGGTGGCGATGGCGACTACGAAAAAAACGCCCATCATGTTGAGCAGTCATACGTACTGGAACTTGGACGGGTTCGAGCGCGAGGATGCGCTGGATCATGAGTTGTGGATGCCGTTTGCGGGGATGCGGGTGGGTGTGGATGGGATCTTGGTTCCCACGGGGGAGATTCTCGGGAATGAGAGGGGGGGTGTGAATGATTTTTGGAGTCGACCGAAGAAGATTAGGGAGGCTTTGACGGAGAAAGGAGAAAAGGGGGAGAAAGAAGAAGGGTTGGAGGGGAATTGTGGGACTGGTTGTACGGGTTATGGTGAGTTTTTCCTCGTTCCTTTTTCTTTTCTTGGTTCTGTTTTTTTATCCGTGACTGAACTGAACTGAACTGAACTGAACTGACACATGAAAACCAAAAAAACAGATAACTGCTACATTCACTCCCTCCGCTCCCCGCCCTTCGACGACTGGCGCCAGCCCTCCCAAATGGTCGCCCGTCTGTCCTCCCCTCACAGTGGCATCAAGCTCGAAGTCTACTCGGACCAGGACGCGTTTCAAATGTACTCGTGCAACCAGCAAAAAGGCGACGTCCCCCTGAAATGGACTCAGGGCACGGACGAAAGAAGGACCATCCCCAAGTATGGATGTGTGGTGCTGGAAGTGCAGGATTGGATTGATGGTATTAATCACCCTGAGTGGGGACGGACGAAGAAGCAGGTCTTTGCTCCTGGGGGTGATCCGTATGTTTTGCAGGCTAGGTACGTTTTTGGGGTTAATAAGTGAGAGAGTCAAAACAGGACAGGGAGATGAAGAGACATTGGAAGGAGATTATAGTTAGTTTAGTAATGATATGTGAATATGATCCAGTTAAAGACCGGCTGGCTGCTCATGGATACTATGAAGTGTGAAACGATGGTCAATGGTGGAAAGTGGTGTAGTAGTATTAAACCGAACGCGGTGAGGACGGAAATGGTATCGTAGACTCTTCTCAGCCTTCATTAAGGAAAAATAGTATGCCAAATAATAATTATACCCAGTCAAGCCAGCCGGCATGCCTGTCCCATTCTCACCAACCATATCTGCCTCTCTTTTATGTCCCGATGCATCCTATCCCATCCCATCTCATCTTTCACTCACCACCTATAGCAGCTTTTGAGTCAACCCGTCTGAGTGAGCCTCCCTGCTGCTGCCCCTCGAAATTCCGTTTCTCCCTCAAGTGCTCATAGGTTTCCATCTCCCAGGCATAAGTATATATATCTTTATTATATATATCCACCTCTCTCTCATCACTCATCCTTGTTTTCCACTTTCTGCTCATCATCAACCAGGATGACAACAGTCAAAGCAGCCGCATACGCCTCGCGGATAGCACAAGCCATGCTATTATCACGTCAGTACAACCTCCATTTCTCCACACCAGAATTGGAAGAAACTCACCAAGTCTTCGAAATATCAGCAACCACAGCACTCAACCCCCAATGCGCGCACCACGCCCTCGCCAAGACCTCGTTATCCGGCACCCCAAACGCCTCCACCACCAGCACCCGCTCATTATCCTGATCCTGCCCAGTGTGGTCCGTCGCCGTCGTCGTGCGGCCACCAGCGCTCATGATATTGCTCCCCTTCTTACTTCCTCCTCCCAACCCGTTACTCCCCAACCCAAACGACTTGGGCCCACCATGTATCATACCGCTGCCGTCCAGACTCGAGTTGATGCCTCCGTACACCCCGTTCCAGTCGCGCACATGCACTAGTTTGTCCGCTCTCACGGACTCGTACACGTAGTCAAAGAACAACGGATGCGGCCCGTCGCTGCACGGCCAGGCGTGCACAAAGTTCACGTCGAAAGTCAGTCTCAGAGGCCACGAGTTCCCATCAATGGCAAAGTGGATGCTGGCGTCAAACCACTTCGGGCCATTGTCGCTGCTGGTGGCGCCGCTGGTGATGGAGTGCTTGCTGTCGTTGGCGTTGGACGGGCGGAGGTGGAGCATTTCGATGCGGACGAGGTCGGTCAGGTAACCGTCATAGTCGTAATCTTCGTCCTCGTCCATCTTGGGCGCTACGAGCTCGTATTCCTTGACGGGGAAGACCTCTGCGGGAGGGCCGAGCGGATCGGAGCGATCGTTCATGGTCTTGACGTCCTCCGGGGTAACGGTTTGAGAGCGGGCGGGCGGTTTGCGCTGCCGGATGCGCGCTATTTGTGCGCGATCGAGGTGCACCGTTGGACGCGCGGGGCCGACCCAGCCGCCGATGGAAAGGCACGTAGGGGCGAGGACCTTGCCGACGATGGAGGCGGCGGTCCAGTAGGTGTAGCTGCCGCGGTATTGGAAGCCACAGTGCGGGTGAATGTGGGTGAGGAGGGCGAGGTCGTCGGTGGCTCGGTCGGGGTCGATATCCACGAGGGAGTTCATGATTAGGAAGGGGAAGGTAGTGCCGGGGAGGATGAGGCCGCTGAAGAAGGCCATGGCGTGCGAGGATATGTGGCCGGTGAGGGTACCCTGGGCTTCGTGCTGTTTGAGGCAGGCGATGGTCTCGGAAAGATTGGGCCACTTCATCATCTGGATAAATCGCTTGAGCATGCGGACTTGGCGCTTCTGTAGCTTAAACCGAAGACGAATCTGGTCCGGTTGCTCTCCAATGCGGTCTACGCGGATGTTTTCGCGCCAGCGACGAGCAAGAGCAAGGTTCCATTGTATGCTCGGTGGAATCTGGGCAACAAGCTTTTCTTTTGCTTCCGCAAGGTGTAAACCGGAGTTGATGCGTAGGTCAAGCTCGACACTAAGAAGAAGCTGGTGGAAGAACTTGTGGTAGGTCGGAGCATTCGCAAGTGAGTTGTCGTAGATAAACTTGGTGGCGACCTGGTTCTTGGGCAAGGTAAAGTCGATCCAGTCTGGTCGGGATAAAACCATGATAAGATCGGTTATTTGCTTGTCCAACGTCTTGTGGGGGCTCAGGTACTTGTCGGGGTCTCGGAGAAGTCGTCGGTACAGGTTCTTGTACATGAGATCCTCATCATCGTCCTCCAACCCCCTTTCCAACTCCTGAAGCCTCTCAAAGATGCGGTCCAGCGTAATCTCTCGTGGTGCTACGCCGGAATCCCGAAGTGGTATTGAAGGCGGAATAACGCTGGCTAACGATACCCAATGGTTGAGTGTAATGGTTCCTGCACGTTTTCCAAAGCAAAAGGCATAGCTTGGCTGCTCAAAAGTCTCCCATGGGTAGTTTGCGTAACCGGACCCCTCTTTCCGTAGAGTCATGAGCTGGGTCATGGCGTCGTGCAAGTTGGCGGCGTCGGTGTCATCGCCATGATTCCCTGCAACGGTAGCGTAAAGAGTGTAGCAATGATCGGGAGCGTGCGGTATAGGCCGCCTATGACCTCTGAAAGCCGGAGCACCCCTGGATATTAGCTGCATTGCCTGGGCCAAAGACAGCTCTTCCTCACTTGACATGCCTGATGGCGGCCAGTCGGTAAGCGGACCTGGATCATGACGATGGATCTCGTAGTCACGGCCTTTCCCCTTGCCATTCGCGCCGGGCCGCCTAGGTCGGCGACGATCGCTTGTGAACTCTGTAGGCAGATCCGATCTCCTTCGGGGTATAACTGCGTCGCCATCACTTGCTGTCCTCCTATGACCTGCTTCCTTTGTTACCTGTACAAGGTGTTAGGTCTGTAGTCATATCTCGAGGTGAGTGATTGTTGACTGACATCTTTGAAGTTCCTGATTGCCGTGCTCTTTGCACGAATCAGATTCCAGAGACTCTTCCTCTTTGACTCGGCCATCGCTTCGCTCCTCCCCCTTCAAGTGCCACTTGCGCCTGTGTCGCCGGCAGAAGTTGTTATGTCTGGTTTCGCGATTCTTCAAGGGCAAATCCAAGTTGAAGGCTCAAGGCAAACATGGCACATTCGGATAAGGCGCAGATCAAGCAGGCTGAGTCCACAGGGGTGTAGTAGTAGTAGTTACTGGTCAGGTCTGGAGAGTCTCAAAATGTTGAGTGAGGCTGAGCCGCGCATGAGACGCCTCATGAAAACGCAAAGTGTTAGTCCGGTATCAATGGCGTATAGGGACTATATGGCTACGACGTGAACCGTATCGAGTGAGGATAAGTGGCAGCGCACTTGAATGGGTGATTGGACGAAAGCGATGGTTGAGATGACAGGATGACGAAGTCGGTTGGTTATGATGAATCACCCGATGACGGAGTCTCTCAGCTGAAGTTGGACAATCCTCTCCAAGAGTCGCGATGGACAGTCAGTGGTGTTTGTTTGTCGTTCGAAGGAGCGCCGGGAATGTCAAGACCTGACAGGAGCCAAGAAAGATCGGAGCTGAGGTTCGAGGGGTAGGTATGGAAGGGAGGGAAGAATGCCTGAGACAAAAGGGCATTTAGAAGTTGAAACAAGCAAGAGAGAGGCAATGCAGGTCTCGTCGATGCAAAGAAGCCGGCGGCGGCGATGGTTAGCGCTGATAGTGCAGTATCCAACTAATTCCCCACGATGCCCTGCCGATCCCCGGTTCAGTTTCCAGCCATTGGACTTTTACGTTCAACTTGCCAACCACTCGATTATTATTGGAGCCACAGGCCACAGGAAGCTTACACTCGCTAGAGGTACTCACCACTGGTAGGTACCGGGGCACTCGGGATCCATGGAGCGGGAACCTGGGCTGGGAACGGAAGTCTAGACGGGGAATTCAGGGAACAGTCAGTCCAATGCTGCCCTGGGGAAGGCTGCTATTTCTAGGCCATTCCAGGTCATTAGTTATAATCCAATCAATTGCCTTGTCGCCTTTCGGGAACTGGTGACGCAGCTGCCCATGTCCAGCTTATCGTGTACCACGTATGTAGTGAGATATGGAAGGCATGCTCAGAGCCAATGTAGAAGAAAATGGATGTTTCCATGTTTGGGCATTCATCTTCTCGGGAGCAGAACTGCACGTTGCCGGGAACAATTCCCTTTTCAAGTCGTTTGCTTGTTTGTCTATACCTAGGTACTTTGCTTGCTTGCCAGGCGATTCCCAAAAAAGACTACACACGGGCTCACCCAAAACCAGTGGTCGTGTGTGTACTGTTTTTTGGGAACCACCTGCTTGCTTACTTGCTTACAACAGCTGCCCTCTGTTTGTACGGTACTGCGTATATACGGTATTGAATTGATGGCACGGCGTTAACATTGAAAGCAGTGATGGTTCATGAGAATGCGACAAAGTAACATCGAACTAAGTGGTGTTGTAATGTTCATCTCTTTTGCAACATTGGATGAACGGGTGATGACAAACTGACATGGAGAAGATAGTACTGGAGCAAGCTGTAAGTACCCAGCACAGCATTAATGCCTATACAGAGACGAGAGAAAGTAAGAATGGACTGAGCGTTGAGGTCGTTGCGACTTGTAAGTGTCTGTAACAAAGCCATCTGGGGTTGGGGTTAACGGTGCGCAGCGCGTGGGTTGGCGCTAAAGTGTGGGGGTGAAATTACAGACTCACCGCCTGCTAGTGCAGTGGCAGAATCGATTAAGTCCAGAAATTTTCTTGACCAAAAGTGCAGGCGGCTTGCATTCCCCAAGGTCCCCCTTCCCAAGTAAACAGCAAGTCAGACACCGTACAGTTCTTACTTGCAATCATCATCCAAAATGGCCCCAGTAACCCGCAGCAGAAGGGAGACAAAGGGTGAGTTCTATAAACAACGTCCCATTCTGAAGACAAGTTCTTTGTCCAAATGGAAATCTTGCGACTGAAGCTAATCCCTATTCACCATAGCCACCGAGTCGCCCGCCAACAAAAAGTCCAAGGCTTCTACCCCCAAGTCCGACAGCAAGAAGCCTGAGAAGAGAAAGGCCACCGAAGATGCCACCCCCGTCGCCGCCAAGAAGCAAAAGGCTACCAAGGACACCGTAGCTGCCCCTTCGCCCAAGCCCACACCCAAGACCGACAAGTCGACATCCAAGACCACCCCCAAGGAGGACAAGAAGTCGGCACAGAAGCCCGTAAAGGAGAACAAGAAGGAGAAGAAGGAGAAGCCGGCACAGAAGGAGAAGAAGACCAAGGAGCCAACACCCGAGCCCGAGGCGCAAGAGCAGGAGGACGACAACGAGGAGGAAGAGGAGGAGCTCGACAACGAGACCCAGGCTCTTGTCGAGAACCTTGACGGCGACGACAAGGAGGAGGACAACGAGGAGGCCAGCAAACAGATCAGTACTTTCAAGAAGGGCCAGGATGTCGGCAAGATTCCCAAGAAGAAGACCAAGGACGACAAGGACGCCAGTGCTACCAAGGGCAGCGGCAAGCGCGGTGTCATGTACCTCGGTCGCATTCCCCACGGTTTCTACGAGCACGAGATTCGCGCCTACTTTGGCCAGTTCGGCGAGATCACCAGACTCCGCGTTGTTCGTAACAAGAAGACGGGCGCCAGCCGTCACCGCGCTTTCGTCGAGTTCGCCGACGCCGAGGTTGCCGACATTGCCGCCCGCACCATGGACAAGTACCTCCTCTTCGGCCACATCTTGACCGCCAAGGTCGTCCCTCCCGCACAGGTGCACAAGGACCTCTTCAAGGGCGCCAACCGTCGCTTCAAGGTTATCCCCTGGAACAAGATGGCTGGCAAGCAACTCGAGAAGGCCCTGCCTGAGTCCAAGTGGCAGGGTAAGATCACCAAGGAGGAGCAGAGGCGGGCGGCCAGAGCTGCCAAGCTCGCCGAGATGGACTACGAGTGGGAGGCGCCCCAGCTCAAGGCCGCTGAGGCCAAGGAGCCCGCGCTCCTGACCGCTGCTGAGGAGGAGCCCGTCAAAGCTATCGAGGCTCCGGCGGCTGCTGAGGAGAAGATCGAGGAGAAGGCTGAGACCAAGGAGGAGGAGACCAAGGAAGAGGAGGAGCCCAAGTCGACAAGGAAGCGGGCCGCGGCCACTCCCAAGAAGGCTGCTGCTACTCCCAAGAAAGCCGCTGGCACCACCCCCAAGAAGGCGGCTGCCACGCCCAAGGCGGAAGCCACCACGCCTGCTAGGGCTACTCGCTCTACCCGGAAGACCAAGGCTTAGGTAGCCAGTACTCCGACGAGAGCCACGCGGTCGAGCACGCCGGGTCGAGCCACCCGGTCAATGACAACCACACGGGCCAGAAGAAGGGCTTGAAGAGAAGATTACGGATGGTGATTCATGTGTGAGGTCAATCAAGCAAGGGATGCCCACGCAATTGTACGGACAGGTTCAGGAAAAGCGCTACATGATGTTTGTTTTACCACCCACCTTCGGGCGGCCAGCTGGTTAACTCGGAATAATACCCCCGGTTAGGTCATCTACATAGTCACAAGTTACTGTGCGGGAAAAGGAAAGGGACGCCAGGCTTGGGATCATTTGTTTTTTTAACTTGTTTCTTCATTGTTGTTGTCCATAGAAGCAAATTTTCATTTTCTTTCATTGCATGGGTTTCTCATTAAAATGTATATGTTACATGTTTGTGTGTGTGTGTGTGTGTGTTTGGGTTTGGGTTTGGGATGTCACATTGTCTGATTCCATCAGCATAGTTGGACACAAATTTCGATGTTGTGTATCAAAACACCACATCTTTCCGTATGCAATGGATGAAGTGCAATGTGTGATAAAAAAAAATAGTTTTAAGCTGTAGGTTTGATGTACGCACCAAGCGAACCTGAACAAGACCCATTAGGAGAAAAAAAAGAAGGCCGATCAGGATTATAAAGCGCGCTGTGAAAATCTGTTCTACTTCTTCCTGTCTTGCGAACAGAGTCATTGAGTTCTTTTTCCAAGAAAGAAAAAGAGACAAATCCGACAGGTGAACATCTTCCCGGCCGAAGCTGGAAAAACGTTACCTGCCTGCAGGCGAAGGGGAAATATGTGAAGAAGAAAAGGAGAGAAAAAGAAGATTCTGAAAATTTGCGGATGGATTGGCTCTCTTTTATTCTAAAGCGTGGCTCGTGCGTTGGACCTGGATGTGGGTCGTGCGTCCACACTTGTAACTTTCCTAACTGCGACTATGCACGATTGGTGTGTATGTAAGTTACAGTCAATCAGCCGGAACGTACGCCTCTGTAACGACAAGACGTCACTCAGGAATGTAAAGTCGACGTTCCAGAGTGCCGCAAAGAGAAGGGATAGTTGTATGTCAATCCAAACAATGCTTTGTTTCCATATATAACGACTGGTTTCAGAAAGAAATTAAGCAAATGGAGCTTCATCGCAATTGATGAACATGAAGAATTCATGTTGGCTCCTATGTCCACTGCCGTCAAGGTACTCACTCAAGAACACACATGAGGAGTTACCGTACCGAACCAAACTGGACAGACCAGCCGAGATGTCAATAAGACAACTTCCGGTGTACAAGACGGATGCAACCGCCAGAAGACAGCCAGACACTCGTATCCAACAACCAACAATTATATTGTGCGAGGTGCCGAGCTTCAAAGGGTAGGTAGTCTAGGTAAGCTCGGTACCAGGTACCTAGGTATGCTGGGCCCAACATGGAGAAGGTGATGGGTGGACATTGATCAAGCGCGGGGTGCAGGGCAGTCAGAAGATGGAATGCCGATCTGCAAGCTGCCAGGTACCTCCAAACCCCAAAGATAGACGAGACAGGAAACTGGCTGATGAAGGTTCCCACTGATAGACTTCCATTGGAAACAGGAAGAAGAGATGTCCGTGGGGCTGAGTTTGTTGTGTGAGTGTTTCATATGATCTCAACGTCCCGTCAAAGCTCTTTTTATGGAAGTTTTGGAAACGAGTACACGCGTCCCCAAGTGAGTGAAGTACTTACGTACACGCCGAGAATGGAAGGGTGGAAGCATGAGTGGTGGCCAGGCACAAGAGCCGGACAAGGAAGATGTACCTCAATAATTCGGAGTACACATCACCCCTTGTTTAATTGTTAGCTTGGTACTGTTAACCCCCATAGAAAAGGACGTGGAGCAAGAACCACGCTAACAATTAAACAAGGGTTGATGTATAAACTTCACTGCAACAAATTCCAGAGACAAGGGCAAGCATCAGAACCAACGGGCAGATTTTGGAGTCCGGGTCGGTCCCAAAGCGGCAGTTCAGGGCAGTGACACTGACACTGACACTGACAGGCACCCGGACGCCCACCACGACTCGAACGGAGGACAATCCGCCCTCCCCGTCAGCCCCGGCTTTGCCAGCATTGTTGTCATGTTGTAAATTTCACTCTACCATACACGCTAAAAGGATCGCGGACTGGGGAGCCAAAACGCCAACCACACCTTTGGTCTTTTGGCAACCGCTTGGAGATTGACAATAGTGTACTGCACCCTGTCGTCGCAATTGAACAAGTGGAATTGACCATGTCGCCCTCGGCGCCGGTCACCAAGGCCGCCCAATCGGCTGGCCAAGGTACGTGACGTTGCCCCGAATCTGGACCTCCTCCTGTTACAACCATCCACGCCATCTCCATTCGCTTCTCGCGCCCATGGGGTCCCCCCGCCCAATGTAGTGTACCAATTACCCTGCACAGCACTAGCTAGCATGGCTGGCCAGAGGACCGGAATGGTACCTAACAGGACAGCTTTCTGAAACGATTTGGGCTCGGGATGGAAATCAAGTACACCCTTCTGATCTCGTTTTCGACTGACTGACGCCTTGCCATCTGCCGGCAGTCTCGTCGTCACCCGCGCCCTCGCCCGCCAACAAGAGGAAGAAGAATAACAACAACCACAAGAAGAAGGGCGCCGCCGCCACCAGTAATATCAAGGCGAAGCCGAAGGAGGGCGGCGGGAGCAACACACCAGATGCTGCACCAGATACCGAAGTCCTGTCAGACCAACCACCAGCACCACCACCACCACCACCACAAGTAGAGGCAGAAGCAGCGCCAGCGGCTGAAAGAGCAGAGCATACTGAAGAGGAAACTGCTCTGCCTGTAGAGGAAACCCCGGCCTCCTTGGTATGCGAATACCCCCGACCCACCAACATTTGCTATCGTCGCTCTTTCTTCCCTCACCCCATGTTTCTTTCCAATTGCCTCCGTCATGTTCAGTTCTCTATTTCTGTCGAAGGACTGTTTGTCATACTAGTTACAGCCGCTTCATTTTCTTATTTGAACGACATTTTCTAATCCCCTTACTCTAATCATAATGTATTTCGCCGGCTTGAACGCTAACAAAGGACCCCGATTGGGTCTCTACAAGGGTGTACAGAACACATCACCGAAACTCGACCAGGTGGAAGCACCAGCAGAGGACGAGGACACCGACATAGAGGTACCCGCAACTGTGGCCGACCACTCCGATTCTGAAAACCCACCGCCACCGCCAGACGGGGATTCCAATCCGGCCCCGGACCCGGACCCTGAATCCGAGTCGGCATCAGCTGCCAGCCCAGCAGAGGACACGACAGCAACAACACCTGCTGCTGCTGCTGCTACTGCTACCATCGAGATCAACGGACATGCTCCCGACAGCGCAAACGGTCACATCCCCAATCCCTCTACAACAACAACTGCTCCTACCATGTCTACTACAACATCCCCACCGCCGACGGAGGGGTCTCCAGTAACCAACTCTACTGCCGCCGACGAGACACCAGCAACCACCAGCAGCACCACCACCACCAACAATAGCACAGAAACCAGCGCCAAGCTTGAAGCCATGTCGCAAGACCGCGAGGCCCTCCGTGCCGAAGTCGAGCAGCTGCGCAAGCAACTCGAGAGCATACAAAGCACCCACGACGAAGAAGTGTCCCAGCTTCGGTCCGACCTCGAAGAATCCGAAGCCGCCAAGGAGCACGCCGAGACACAGTACCAGAACCTGCTCGACCGCGTGGAGAAGATCAAGGAGACCCTCGGCGAGCGCCTCAAACGGGACCGGGCGCGCGTGGAGGAGCTTGAGACAGCCAACGAGGAGCTGCAGCAGGCGGCGCAAACCCAGGAGGAGGAGGCCGCCCGGCTGCGCGAGCAGGTGGACGAGCAGGCGCGCGAGATTGACAGCCTGCGCAGCCGGACGAACCTGTCCCAGCAGAACTGGGGCAAGGAGCGGGAGGACCTCGAGCGCGAGGTGGAACACATCCGATCAGAACTCAAAAAGACGAGCGCCGCCATGGGCGAGTGGGAGGTGATCGCCATGGAAGAGCGCAGCATGCGCGAGGGCTTGGAGGCCAAGGCGACGGACCTGGAGGAGCAACTGGCCAACGTGCGGGAGGCATACGAGCGCGTCGCGGAGGAGAGGAATACACAGTCGCAGGCCATTGACGGGCTACAGCGCGCGTTGCAAGAGATTCAGGAGGCGCGCAAGCGCGAGCTGAGGGAGATGGTGGAGTCGAGCGAGGAGCAGCTGGCGGCGATGAAGAAGCGCGCCGAGGAGGCGGATGCGAAAGCCAAGGAGGCCCAGGATGCCAGGGAGTCACTCCAGAAGGAGATGGAGCGCACAGCGCCGTTTGAGAAGGAAGTCAAGGAAAAGAATCTCTTGATTGGCAAGCTGAGGCATGAGGCGATTGTGCTGAATGATCACTTGACCAGGGCGTTGAAGTACATTAAGAAGATGAAGCCGGAGGAGACCATCGACCGGTATGTTTTGATTGCCCCTTATCCAACAACCTAACTACCGATCACCAAACTAACCCACACACTCACCTTTCATAGACAAATCGTAACCAACCACCTGCTCCAATTCCTCTCCCTCGACCGCTCCGACCCCAAGAAATTCCAAATCCTCCAAGTAATCGCCGGCCTCCTCAACTGGACCGACGAGCAGCGCGAACAAGCCGGCCTCGCCCGCCCCGGTGGTTCCGGCGGGGGGCTCGGCAGCGCCTCTTCGCTTTTACGGTTACCCACCTCGCCATTCCACCGGACGCCCAGCTCCCCCTCCTTGAATCACGACTTCTTCTCCGACATGTCTACCCACACCAACAACAGCAGCACCATGTCTCCCACTGCCGGGTCGGTAAGAGAGGGCAGCACAGGCGGTGGTCGTGAGTCGCTGGCTGATTTGTGGGCTGGGTTTTTGGAACGGAGCGTGGAGGAGGCGTCGGCGCAGCCGCCAAACAAAAGGAAGGATAGTACGAGTAGTACGGGCACGGGGAATACGGGGAATACGGGGGGTTACGCATAGGGACCTAAGCTTTAGGGTCTAGTGGGAGAGGAGGAGGAGCAAGGCGGATGGAGAAACAGCACGGTAGACTCGATGACCATTGGTTCGGGTTGATCAAGGTGCGGCTGACCTGGAGAAACAAAAAAAGATAGTAAAAGATCTATACGTAACGGTAAATATGTAATATGATGAATGGGAAAGAAGAAATCTGGAAAGCGTTCATCATCAGAGACAGTGGGGTAGCGCCGTTGGACCGTCTTAGTGTAGAAAGGGAACAACGAACTGAGGAAACGGAAAAGAGGTGGTGGCTAAACAAAACTACATTGGGTATGTAGCGGAAACTGGTAGTGTCATACTGGATAGGAGTTACAACTAGCGTCAAACCAAAGAGATGTCAACATGCTTCTCCATGTTCTGGGTACTGGTACAATTAGTTATGAATAGCCTAGCATTGCCCAAATGCAGCGTAACTGGCTCTAACATAGATCATCCATCAGCTCTTGGGATAAGAACTCGCAGTATCCATCATATAGCATACCCACGTAGGCAAAGCACCTTGAATAGAGATCTATAACCGCTCTAGATACCGAATACCATATCCAAAACGCCATGCCAACTAATAAAACATGGTCAACCAAAACGCAAAACAAAAAAAGCACTGCATCTCGTACCAAAAGCCTCTCATCTAATCATCCTTCGACCTTTCTCCACCCCCACCATACATGGCCGCCGAAAAAGGCGGCAACATGGCCCTCACATAAATTTCCGCATCCCTCTCCACATTCTCAACCACCACCCTCTCCCGCAACGCATCCCTCACCCCCTCCACCACATCCCTCTCCTCCATGACTTCCCCCATCAGCCTCACCTCATGCTGCCAATACGCATTGCCCCGTGCCCTCAACTCCTCATCCCGACTGATTGTATTCTGCATCACGCCCACCGCGTTGACTTTTCCTTTAATCTGCTGCAACTGGCGCACCACGGTTTCCACGCGCTCGGCCGGGCTCGGGTAGTTGACGAACATCCGGTTCGTCGAACTTAGATACATGAGCGTAGCAAGCAAGCAGTCGAGGAGTGTAAGAACAAGAAAGCGCAGCGATCGTTGTCGCCAGTGGAAGAAATCGATTTCGTATAATCGCAGCGCGCGCGCGTTGGTCTGCGGGTTATACGAGCTGACCATGTACACGTCCGCACCCCCGATGACCAGGGAGGCCATGGTCGCGAGGTATCGCCATTTAAACCCGTCGCGACCCGTGAATATGCACGAAGTGACGAGGGCGATGACGCCCAGGTTGAAGAGATGCGGGGCAACGATGGAAGGGAGCGCGTAGTAGAGATACGACTTGGGGTCGTCGGAGGAACAAAAGGGGCATGAGGCCAAGACGTCAGGACCGAATTGTAGGTAGAGCAGACGTGATTGGAGGTTGACGAATTTGTGACGTAAAGCGTTGTCGGCGGCGGAGGGAGGGCGGATGGAGGCCAGGCGCGTGAAGAGCACGTCGACGGGGATTTGGAGGCGGGATTGCGTGAGGCGGAAGATGTTCTCGGGGGAGTAGATGGGGAGGAGGGCGAGGGCGACGTAGGCGAGCGAGAGGGAGAGGAGGAGGAGCAGAGCGCGGCGGACGGAGGAGGGAACGGGCCGGACCTTGATCGGCCCATAGACGGATTGGGGGCCGCGGCGGAAGTTGCGGTAGAGGCCGAAGGCTTTGGGGAGGAGGACGGGGGCGAAGAAGATTGTGAGGGAACGGATTCTGGAGAGGGAGACTTAGTATAAGTTCGTTCAAGATTAATCTGGTTGCTGCAACTTGAGGGAAAGGTAGCTGGTAAACAGAGGAGAAGCACTCACGTTCCCCAGGGTATCGTCATGTTGAAGGATGTCTAATTATTGATGTTATGGATTCTGGATCATGGTACGGATTCAAGAGATAATATGGATAGAGACACAAAAATGTTAACCCAAGGTAGTAGGGACCTACACTCTTCAAAGGTGCGTATCCCTTGCTTCAACTCAAACGATTAATGCTTGAAGAAAGATGCCAGATGGCGCATCCATTGACGTCGTGAGCGAGGCTGAAAGAGGCAGGCCGGCATGTGTTAGCCGCCGTTTAGGTTGTAGCGGCAGGCAGAAGTGCATCCGCTGCAATTTGGCTTGGCAGGTCCAGTGCGTGTGGATCCAAACCACAGGCTCCACCCATCCGTCCCCCACCGCGAAGCCTTCCCTGGGCAGGAAAAAAAAAAAAAACCTATAAATTTTTGGGCTGGCTGTCTCGTCTTCACCTTCTTCCTCTTTTCCAACAACGCCGGGTCGGATCACCACGCACGACGAGTGGGACTGTAACGAAGAATCGTGCCCAGTTAGTTCGGGCTTTACCGATGAGGTCTTCTCACCAACATTTGTCATGCGCTGGTCAACCGGCTTACGCGCGAGCATGCGCATGCGCATCATAAACTTCGTAAACGTTGGCGCTTTCGAAGCTTCGCCGATCTCTCCAATGGTCGTCGAAGTCAAAAAGTACGCCTAAATCAAGCCCAAGTACTCTGCCAAGAGTCATCTCACGTAGTGTTGCAGTGTTCCAGCTCCGGCAATGAAGAACTTTGCGTCAAATTGATGAGAGACATTCCATTTCGTAAAAGCCATCGCATCATCAGGCCTTGCTGGCTTTCTCACCAGTCAGCGGCTATAATACATTAATAGTCGTGTATACAATCTTCCTCCCATATGCTGACATAAACCGCTTCTATTGCTGTATGTTCAAAGTCCATCCTCATCATCACTTGGCTTCCTCGGCCTTGCTGTCACCACCTCCCGCCGCAGGCACCGCCTGCTTCGCCTTCTGCTTCTCTTGCTGCTTCTGTCTGGCAGCGACAATCAAGCCAACAACCGCCATGACCGTCTCAATGACAAGCTTGATCACACCCGTGCACGCCCACTGCCACACCACGATGCTGACACTGCCCAGCGGCGCGCGAGGGAACGAGGCGAACCATTCGACGTAGTAGGGGAACCAGCCGTAGGGCAGCCAGAACATGGGCTCGCGCGAGTACCAGAAAGGCAAAAACCACTGCAAACCCCTTGTAGCTACCACGCGCACAGTCGTGAGAGTGCGATCGAACTTGGTCTTGGCTGCGTCGAGTTCTTTCTCTGTAGTTGTTCGCATCACATGTCAGCCCACAGCGTTCTGTCTATCTCCTCGAGATTTGACGTCGTTGTCCGGGGGGGTATCCTACTCCTCTTCTCCAAGTCCTCTAGCAGCTTGTCATGCTGGCGGCGAAGGCGCGCCCACTTGGCGAACTCATCCTGACTGCTGGTGGCGTTGAGCTCGCGGCGGATTGCAAGATACTCCTTCTGCTTCTTGCGCTGGGCAGCGAACTGGGCCGAAAGGGGAAGCGGGAGAGATAGGGCGATGCGCCACAACTGTGATGGGCAACGCAGTTAGCTACTCCCGTGGCTCTTTGATAGTCATAGTGGGCATGAGATCAAAAGCACGTACAAGATTGTTGATCGTCGCCGCGCCGATGGTGTTGACAAGCTGGACGAATAGCTCGATGACAAAGATGACGACCAGTAGAGACGGCATCTTGGCGGCGAATGTGAGCTGGCTTCGGTCCGCTGCTGATGGAATCGTGGTGAGAGATGCGATCGGCCAGCTCTAGCTGTCGAGTATGCGACCTAGTTCGAGTTGTTGAAGACAGATGGAGGCAGCTCACTGGCTCATGCCACCGCCTTTCCCCCAAAAGATTGTTGGATCCTATGATCGAAGCTATGACGGAGCTGTCAGAAGGTGCCAGTTGTTCCCTGCAGCTGGAGGACACCTGCACAAAGGGCCTATCGGTCGCTTATCTCTTCCTGTGATGGTGGGGCGACAGGATGGAATGCGGGAAGGACCTGGAAGCCGCCAAGAAACTGAACTGCCCCTGATGGGATGAGTAGACGGGTTAGGGTTGGTGACCATCATCTTGGACTTGACCGTCAACAACACATCAGAGCACCACCTTCGACAAGCATTACTAGCTATTGATTAGCTTGTGCCGGATCCCTTTCTTACTTTCACTATTACCATGTCCAGAGCACTTGACAAAGCCACCACCTCCGCCTTAAAGGCCGGCAACCCTCAAGCAGCCTACGATTCCATCTCCTCCGTTCTGGTCTCGCTGCCATCTGACGGCCTTCTCGAGATTGAGATCCTTGGCAAAGAGGTTCCGCTGCCCGAGGGGGCACACGTACTCCAAGATGGACTTGCGGTAGGAGTGTCGAAGCTTGGTCTCGTTCAAGCATTTCTTGTTGCTAGAAGGATACTCAAAGATCACATCCAAGGCACATCACAAACTGACCAGGACTTGTCTGCCGCAACAGCAGTCATTCTTCTCATGGATCCAGAGTTCCTCACCGCTGCAAATACGCGGAAACGACTTATCCAGAGACATATGGCAGAGAGTCAAGGTGGAGATAAACGACTCGAAATCCAGATGGTATTAGACAAGGAAAAGAGGTTTCTCGACAGCTTACTCACAAGTCGACTTCATCGCCACACAAAGTCACCTACACTGTGGAACCATCGTCGATGGCTAGTTGAGACCTTTGCATCCTCACTAGGAATGTCCGTGGACGTCCCTGGGGATGTCACAAACATCGTGTTTGTGGCCGGAGAACGACATCCTCAGAACTACTACGCCTGGTGCCACGCTCGAATCCTCACCCATCTGGCAGAGCAACAGGCGGACAACTACGATGACTGCCTGAAAGGCCTCCTGGACGCTGTCAAGAAGTGGTGCTTTAGGAACCACACTGACATATCTGGCTGGTCGTTCCTCTTCCACCTGCTGGACCGCTGCTGTGGAGATGCTAGGATCATATCGTCGACATTTAGCGAAGTTCTCGACATGAGCAGGTCTCTCCGTCTCACCAATGAGTCTGTATGGGTGTTTCTTCGAACCCTGGCAGCGTCCGGAATCGTAGACGAGAATGCGCAGGCACAATTCATCACGTTAGGGCAAGAGTTATTGCGAAAAGCATCTGCCGAGCAGCACTCACCCGACGAGCAAGTGTTGCGGTCGGCATTGGACTGGTACGAGACTTATCGGCGCAGAAGAGACAGCTAGTCGAAGATTCGAGATTTGCATCGTTTCAAAGAGAAACATAAACGAAACGCCACAGACTTTTCGAAGACATACATCTTCGGCATTTGGCACGTTTTTTCGGCCGTGTGCTGTAGGCTAGCAGCACATCCAGGATCCAGCAGCAAAGAAATGGCTTACGACTATCGAAAACAAGGAACCTCTAAACGGTAATCCAATGTCTATCACTGCCCAGCTCCGATTTAAAGATGGCTTGTGGATCCCGCCAAAAGCAGTCGGTCTTCAATGACGGCAAAAATAGAGAGGTTATGGCCGTATGGACCCGAATACCTAGGTCGGTCGAGCGCTGCCACCACTGCACCTTCCTTATGGCCATGATCCAACTACTCTACCTATAACATCGTCAACAGTCATGACAGAAAAGAAAAACAGAGCCGAAAAGCTTGTCCCCAAAAACCCGAACCCATGCCGTCTGCCCTGCAGATGTGAAATTAATCTACGTATTTAGAAAGAAAAAAAAAAGCTCGTATGAAGAGAGTCAGGGTATCGCAAACCGATAACCGAAGCAATGTCTCGCCCTGTTATCTCGGAACAATACCGTGATAGTAACATGGGGATATATATTCTCCAGAGAGTCGAGACCGGGGAAAACACCCCCACGCCCCCCAACGCAATCGGTAGCACAATACATGATACGATTCGCATTGTCAGCTATATCACCAACCGACCAACCACCCAAACAACCAACCAACCGGCCTTGAGGGTGATTGACCCGCATGTATCAGAACGCAGAAACTCGGGTTCCTCCCCCATTGTTGTGGTATGATTTCGAGACTCGTCATTGTTGCGGGTCGTTGTCATGAGCCATTGTGTGTAACCACATATAGTTACAGGTGTGGTTTCAGGCTCTCAGCATCCAGTCTCCAGTGAACTTCCGGTTGCAGCGAAGCTCGACCAAGCGCAAGCAATGTTCATCTGTAAAGTTTCAGATTCAAAGAGAGGGACTGCTCTCTTTGTGACAACATTATTTGCTTCAGAGTCCAGGGAGAAAAATCATACCTACCGAAGCTTAAGAAACCTTGGGGATGGGACAACACGACATCTTTGTTTTGTGGTTGTAGAAATGTAGTGTACGGCTTGAGGCGAGGTTTCGTTCGGCTTCGGCACAAGCGTCCGGTCCGTCAAGGTCACGGATGGCTTAACTCGTCCGAAAGTCCGTCTTGGTTTCCTGATCCCCGGATTTAAAGGGACCAGTGGCAGTGGGAGCAAATCGAGAACGTCTGCGCTTTCAAGCCTAATTTCGCAACTTGGCACCCGTCGGCTCGGCGTTGTTGTCGCTGTTGTTGTTGTGCGTTGTCGCTATACTGTACATTGTGGGCCTTCCATTCCCCTGCTCTCTCCCCGGTCCAGTCCCAACCGGCCCTCTTGCCCCCCTTGCTCCCGTGTTGCAGGCACTGGCTTCCAGCCCCTGTCGTCCCCAAATTGACACCCCGCAGCCTTAGACCCGAAGCGGCCAGCGCATGCTACGCCAACAGCAGCCGCAACGGCAGAGACGAAGAAGATGAGGCGCAAGAAAGACAAAGGGAGGAAAAGGAGAAATTATACATGATTCAAGACAAGGGAAAAGACATACCAAATTTGGAAACATTGACAAGACGATTGCAAGATACGAGATCTGGCAAGCATGATCATCCAGGTTACCGTTGTCATTATCAACAACATGGTCGTCTTCGGTCGTCGTTGGTGTTGTTCACAAGAGTACCGTTTATAAATCGTCGCCGAAGTTCCCGGAGGGGCGAATGTTGGTGTCCAGACTGGGCTTTCCAGACTCCAGCGGCCAGCCAGACACCAAAACAGTTCAATTCAGGGTTCCAGGTGGCCCAAGTCATGAAAATGGAAACCCATTTTCTTGCGTTAACTGATCTGACAGGGAGCCGAGTGAGGCGTTCCATCCAGAGTGGAGGTACGCCGCAGATTGGGTGCAGACGCACAGACCAGAAGATGGAGCCGAAATGGCCTTGTGCCATCTCCACCCGGAGCTTGTTCATCTGTTGTGATAAGTCTGGCCAACCGCATCTCGGGACTGGGGGGAGCTTCTCCAGAGAGACAGAGGCTGCGCGCACGATCAGGGAGCAGGGTCCTATCTAAAGAAGCGATCTTCTTATGAAGATGGAGCCGCGGACCCGCTCGTCGGCAATGAATGACCCTCGCCATGTTCGAGGCCAAGAAAGAATCTTGGATGATGTTGATGTTGTTGATGTGAGTGAGTGTCGACTGTCGTTTTCATTTTTATTCCCGCTTACATACTTTCAAGAATCATTCCTTGGCATTTTGTTACGTTGCTTCATTGCGGATTACTTGAGGTTCGCTGTCACTACCTACCTACACTACACCCCTTCGTTCTGTACTAGTATTACACCGGCTCGAGAGTTCGGGCGGTACAACAAAGAGGCTACCACAACCCCCGAACTAGCGTGACGTCCAGTTGTCCCTCCGGGCTATTGCTACCGAGCAAGTATGTCCATCGCAATTGGGGCTATCTTGTATCTCTGGGTTGTTTTAGCGTACGGGTAGAACTAGAGGCTCTCTCTCTCCGCACTTCTCGAGACAAAACCAACGGTTTCTTGGACCGAGTCCCTGGAATTTCAAGTAAACAGAGGGGAGCAAGGTAAGAACATTATCATCGTCAGTAACGATAAGCCCTCGAATTTCCCAACTGAAGGGGTTATATCCGAGTCAAGAGGATCTTCTTTTCCAGAAACCCCAAAACGCTTGACTGGTTGTGGAAGGAATTGGCAATCCATCGATTGGCTTGGACGGGAATCCTCGTCCACGAGGGATGCAGCCATGTCTCGCTCGCTTCCCTTTTCGTTGTGGCCTCCCAGGCTCCTCCTACGGTGGCCCAAGTGTGACTTGGGTCGTTTATCCAAAAGTTCTGAAAACCTGAAGTCTAACCAGCTGCAGGCATTAGGCTCGCCCCAGAGGGTGGCTAAGTTTGTAAGCTATCTCGCGAAGTCAATTCCCATTGGCTCTTATTAACTCCTATTGATTCCCATTGACTCCTATTGACTCTTATCAACTCCCATCAACTCCCATTAACTCCCATTAACTCCCATTGACTCCCATTGACTCCCATTGACTCCCATTGACTCTATTGCTTCATTGCTTCATTGCTTCATTGCTTCATTGCTTCATTGCTTCGGACGGTAGGTCTGCTAAGACTTTAGGTAGTAGTGCAAATGGACCTTAGCTCCTTTGAGGTAGGGTGATAGCGATAGGGCAATGCTAATAAATGGCCCTATACTTGGTTCCGCTTGATTCTTCTCTAAATTTTTGAGTTGGGGTAAGGTAACAATGCAAATGGATCCCCCCCCCCCCTCCCCTCTCCCCCCTTCTTCCGGCCGGGGCTAAAAAGAAAAGAAGAAAAAGAAAAAGAAAAGAAGAAGATAAAGACGAAAAAGAGAAAGACAAAGAAAAAGGGATGAAAAAAGGAAGAGGTAAAAAAAGGAAGATAGGAAAGAAGTTGGAAAGGTTGGAGTTAAAGTTCAAGGTCTGGGCGTGGTTGTTGAATTTTATAAGTATGGTACACTAGAGGCGTTGATATAAAATGGCCGACACTTGGCTTCAGCTGGGAGCTTGGACCAGTTTTATAAACGACCTAAGTCACACTTGGGCCACCGTATCCTCCTGATATCCACTTGCCAAGTCTAGAAAAGGCTGCATGTCCACTATCAGTTCAGTGCATTGCGGGACGGGGGCTGGATGGCTCAATGGTAGGTACAGTGCCTTACCTTTAACGGTTCATCACACATCCAATGTCCCCATTCCATTCAAGTTGACTTTCTCTTTCTCCAACTCCCCAAACACCCACCACCACCACCATCACTTCCTCCTCTCCCGTCTTCCTCCTCCTCCTCCTCCTCTACCCAAGTACCCTGACAACTTCCTCCGCCTGCATTTGGCTATGCCAGGGGAGCTTCGGGAGACTTTGTTACTTCGTACTTTCCTTTGAATAGATACTACTACCGGGCGGGTGTTGTCATTTTTTTTTTATTCCACTCTTTGTTAGATCCACCAACGCCCACTCATACTATCCGCAGTGTCGACGGCGGGCAACAAGCGCAGTTTTACGATCACCATCCAGACGGATTTCCTCCTCCACTAGGTCTTGGCCTACATACATACATCAAGCTTCGGCAATCCAATCCGCCGCCATCTGCACATCTGCCACAAGCACCGCGCGTCCTACCTACCTTTTTGCCTTGCATTAGCATCTGCATCAAGCATATCAGCATTTGGTTTTTTCCCGCCACAAACGATCTCGAACCGATATTGACCTCGACGTCGATTCGTTCCACCCCCTCACCACCACACTACGATTTCTCCATCTTGTTCGGATACATACAACCGCATCGCATCGTTCGGCAATCTGTCTTTTCTCTTTTCACGTTCATAACATTATCGGCGACCACCAATGCACATAATCACAACCGTTCACTCATCTTTCCCAATGCTTAAATAATCGCTAATTGCAATAATTCCATCTCTCGCGACCTTGGGTCGGTCAACAACGAAACCTAAAGTCATTCAGTCAGAAACCATCTTCATTCTTTGGGGTTGAAGACTTGAGGCATAACAACTAGGAGCCTGTGCATATCACTCACGGATACCCACCGTCAAAGTGTTTTAGGTCATCGACACATTTGCCGATATCAGGACAGGAGCCCAGTATCCGAACAACGACCTCGATTGTGGTGGATTGACTCGCTGAGGGTCAGTGACCAGTGTTCTCAACAATGGTTGGGATACCTAAGCTCCTAGAGCTTACGCTCTTGGCCACCTCAGCTTGCGCCTTCTTCATCTGGCCTCCTCTACCATGCGATCCAGGGGAGCCTTGTTATGTGAGCGGTAGTAACGATGTTAGAGGAAAGACGCTTGTGGGAGCTGGAGGTCAATTCCATTCTCCATCGCCGCCTGGAGGTGAACCCGCACCGGACGGGTTTATCAGTCTCAGTGTGGAGCAAAGAAACGCCGATGTACGTTCTGTTCTTTTCTCGGATGTCCAACGGTTATTCTCAGCAATTGATGCAGGCTAACACGCTCAATCTGGTAGCCTAATGAGAGTCACGAAGCTGGCGCTGCCCGAGCTGCCCGAGACGCCAAGCGAATTGCACACAGATTTGCTAGCTTGGATAGCACGCGAGTACCAAAAAGGAGGTCCGGCAGGCTGGCAGCCAGGACTAATACGTATGCCGTTGTCGAACCCGAGAGTACAAACAGGAAGGATAGCGCGGGCATCTACCACGACCCTTCGGACTACGCCTATTTCGCCAAAGTTCAGTTTGGTTCGTCAAAGAAGCCGTTGTATATGCTCCTAGACACCGGTTCCTCGACGGCGTGGATCATGGGCTCGACATGCAAGAGCGACGCCTGCATCTACCACAACCTTTTCGGGGTTGACGACTCCAAGACGCTCAAGCTGCAGAGCAAGGAGTTTCGTCTTGCCTATGGAACTGGCGCTGTTGCCGGCACTCTCGCCCGTGATACCATCTCGGTTGCCGGAATTTCCCTCGATATGGCCTTCGGGTTGGCCAATGAGACATCTAGTGACTTTACTCATTTCGCCTTCGATGGCATTCTTGGCCTCGACATGGCCGTGGGGGGCACAGACGGTTTCATAACCGAGCTTGTGAACCAAAAGGTTCTGCAAAGCAACATTTTTGCCGTCACTCTGGGCCGAGCTTCGGACCCAGTCAACGAAGGTCAGATCACGTTTGGAGGTGTCGACCCTTCCAAGTACACGGGTGACATTACCTACACGAATCTGGCCAAGGATAACAGGGGCGCTTGGATCATTCCCATTGACGGCTTTGGATTTGGAGGTAAAAAGGTGACCTTCCAGGGCCGTACGACGTACATTGATACGGGCACTTCGTTTGCCTTTGGACCGCCAGCGGATGTCACGGCTCTCCATAAGCTTATTCCTGGTTCCACGACGGTAGACGAGGTCACATGGTATGTTCCGTGCAGCGACTCTCCGATTGAGGTGACGTTTAGCGGTGTTACCTACAAGATTTCGGCCAAAGACTGGCAGGCGGGCAGCGGCACGTCGTGCAGAAGCAACATTTATGGACGCGAGGTGGTGGCAAACGGCTGGTTGCTCGGAGACGTTTTCCTCAAGAACGTGTATAGCGTCTTTGATGTGGATAAGAAACGCATCGGATTCGCTGCCAAGGTTGAGCCTGTTACGATAACGACCACATCGGGTGCTCAGACCAGCCAAACCGCTTCTGGTACGACCTCTTCGAATGATACTCCCACCTCGGCCGATGCCACGGGCCAATCTACCAAGAGCCAATCTGCAACTCCGAGTGGGAAGGATTCCGCCGGTTACCAGCTCAAGAGCAACGCGTATGCTCTGGTGCTGGGTATCACCGTCATGGCCGCCGCTATCGTGGCTTAGTAGCACACCACACGGTGTTTGTACAATATTCCGCATCCTTGTTTGGTTGTCTGTTTTTCGTTTCACACACACACATGCCGCATATCAATAGCAAGCCAGCGAGTTATTGAAGTTTCCTGTAACATATGATACCCTCAAGTGTACCTTTTGAGAAAGAAAATGAGTTAGTTGACAGCACATCTTTGGAAGAAGAAAGCTGGGTTTGAAAAAAAAGAGAAAAAAAATAGATGATGTGTATAAACATGCAACATGCAAGCAAGCCTTCAGGGTTAGAAGATGATACAGCGGGCGCGGGTGTTTTAATACTATGGATTGGTTCATTTTGGGTGTCTGTGAGCTTTTTTTCATGGACACTGCACACCGGATACATGTGCATACATACACAGGGGTCCAAGCGATGAAGTATCTAATGTAATGGGCACACATTGTCTTTATAGAGAGGGAGAATTGATAGTGGTATGGTTGCTTGACGTTGACGATGACGAAAAGTTGAGGCTCTCGCTGTTTTCTGTGGGGAAGATGCAGCGGGCAGCCAGATAGATCCCGTCCCGTCGGCGGTTTCTGTTACCGTACCCCAGAAATGTCTGTGTCGTGCAGTGTGGGTGGTGACTGCTTGGGTGGTTGGTGGTGTGGTGTGGTGGTGGTGGTGGTGGAGGAGGAGGAAGGCCGGGGGATGTGGACCTGAGCTCCAATAGGACGGGTGCCAAGGAGGAAGGACGGGAACAAAAGCCCAGGATTTATTGGCAAATCCACTCCCGCGTTTGGGTTTCAATAGGACTTTTCTTCTACACTACACCATGGTACTCATGAGGATATATTTCTGAAGATGTGATTTGTGAATGGAGTGGAAGCACTTTGTTAGTGTACAGATAGCTCAGCCCAGAGAGGCTCAATGGCCCTGGAGAATAAAGCTTGGGTGTTGTCGCTACGGTAGCCCCTGAATTTACTAGACGAATAGGGGATGATGTTTGATCCCCTGTTTATCACATGACAGGAGGCCCCAAGTCCTCAACTGCTTTGGGTGGCCTGGAGACCTGGAGTCCCCTAAATCGTGCAGCTGAAAGTCCCTGCCGGCGGCCCGATTTAATCAATTGAATTGAAGCGTCCGCAGGGGCACTCCTCCGCACTCCGCATCCGTTGAGGTAACTCAGCACGGGCATCCCGCTATGCCGCATCCCGCTTACGATTTACACGTATCCTCCCCCAAGCTTCCACTTTGTCTCAGACAACAGCAACTCCACAAGCTTCCAGCAACCAACACCGACTAATTGTCCTTTCTTCTTGTTTCCTTTTTTTTTTTTCGTTTATTGAACACCAGAAACCTTGTTGGTAGCTGTCTGTGTTTGCTTCAATCCGGCCCCAACTTTTCTTTGCCCTGTCCATCTGTTGGTTACTGCTGCTAGCTGGCCTCTTGATACCTTCTTTGACTTACACCTCCACCACAACAACTAGACCGCGGCAACCGCTCGTTACCTACCTAGTCACTCCGCCCGCTCCCCCGAGACCGAGACCGACGTTCGTAATACCTACCTCTACTACTACCTACTTGATCATAAAGCAACAGACCGACAGATCGAATACATACCCGAACGATATACATAGACAAGAAGACAATGCCCTCGATAGGAAGGGACTACTGCCGAGTTATATAATAAGAAGAAAAGAGAGAGGGGGGGGGAGAAAATATACAAAGGAAAGACGGAAGAGCCAGGGAACTGAAGCAATGGGCAAAGCCGCCCACGAATCGTATGGCGCTGGCGCTGGCGCTGGAGGGCCCCGGACTGCTTCCACCCACAAGAATCATAACGATGAAAATGTCGGGTTACTATCTGGCGGTAGCCCCAATCTGCTCGACGATGATGGCTACGACGGCGACTCTACAACAATAACAGGGAACGGGGCGGGGGCGGGGCCGGGGATAGAGACAGCAGGAGAACAACGAGAGGAAGGCAACAACAGCCCCCCAGTAGACCCAAGACCAGCACCAGCACCAGCACCAGGCCACATCAAACTGCCCCGACGACAATCCGCCCTCTCTGCCCCTCGAACCCCCCGAACCCCTCGCACCCCGAACCGCGTGCGCTTCGACCTACGTCCTACCACCTTTGGCGACAACAGCCCTACTACAGCCGGAGCAGCAGCGCCCAATGGCAACAATGGCGCCCCAGAAGACCACCACCACCACGCCCGCGACTCGTTCGATTCCTACTTTGACATAGACGACTCATCATCGGACCAGCAGCCGCTCACGTCCTTTTCGGACTACCACCGCCAAGGGCGCGTCCCCTTGCTAACGGGCATCGAAGCCCCCTCCGTCACCGTCGCCAACAACGGTCCCTGGGGCTCTGACGAAGATGTGGCCTCATGGGCCGAAACGGAGCGGTCACGCCCCAAATCGGGCTTGCGCATGGCGTTTATGAACATGGCCAACTCCATTATTGGCGCGGGCATCATCGGGCAGCCATACGCGTTCAAGCAGGCCGGGTTGTTGTCTGGGATCGTGTTGCTGGTGGGATTGACGGTCGTGGTGGACTGGACGATTAGACTTATCGTGATCAACTCGAAGCTATCGGGGGCGAATAGCTTCCAGGGAACGGTGGAGAAGTGTTTTGGACGGAGTGGGTTGATTGCGATTAGCGTGGCGCAGTGGGCGTTTGCGTTTGGCGGGATGGTGGCTTTTGGGGTGATTGTGGGGGACTCGATACCGAATGTGTTGAGGGCGATTTGGCCGGGACTAAGGGAGGAGGGGGTGAAGGGCACGTTGGTGGGTTGGTTGGTGGGGAGGCAGGGAGTTATTTTGGTTTGTACGCTGGGGGTTAGTTATCCGTTGGCGTTGTATAGGGATATTGCCATGGTGAGTTTTACTGTTTTTTTCTTAGGATGGGAGGGATTAGGGGCATGAGGGGAGATATGGAGGGAATGTGGTTGAGAGATTGCGACAGTGGACGGACGGACGGCTAATCTGGTTTTCTATGATAACAGCTAGCAAAAGCGAGTACCCTCGCTCTGGTCAGCATGGCCGTGATCTTGGTCACAGTCCTGGTACAAGGCGGATTAGCTCCAGAAGCGGACAAAGGGACATTGGCAAGCTGGAATCTGCTTATCATCAACGATGGCATATTCCAAGCTATAGGAGTAATTTCCTTTGGTACGAGTTGTCCCTTCTTCTTCTTCTTCTTCTTCTTCTTCTTCTTCTTCTTCTTCTTCTTCTTCTTCTTCTCTCCACCAACATTCATCCAAACAAAAGTCACTAACACCACCGCACGCAGCCTTCGTCTGCCACCATAACTCCCTCCTAATCTACGGCTCCCTCAAAACCCCCACCATCGACCGCTTCTCCCTCGTCACCCACATCTCCACCGGCGTCTCCATGATTGCCTGCTTGCTCATGGCCCTCGTCGGCTTTCTGACCTTCGGCGACCGCACCCTCGGTAACGTCCTCAACAACTTCCCCGCCGACAACACCATGGTCAACGTCGCCCGCCTCTGCTTCGGATTGAACATGCTCACCACACTCCCCCTCGAAGCCTTTGTTTGTCGCGAAGTCATGCTCAACTACTGGTTCCCTGGGGACCCCTTTAACATGAACCTGCACCTGCTGTTCACTTCTAGTTTGGTAGTCAGCGCCATGGTGTTGAGCATGATCACTTGTGATTTGGGAACTGTGTTTGAGTTGGTCGGAGCTACTAGTGCCGCGGCCATGGCGTATATATTGCCGCCGTTGTGTTATTTGAAATTGACCAAAGAAACCGGAGGCTGGAAGAGGGCGGCGGCGTGGGCCACGGCGGCGTTTGGCACGCTGGTTATGGGGATCAGTATGTTGCAGGCGGCTGGGAAGATGATGCGAGGGGAAGGAGGCGCGGGGCAGTGTATGTCTTAGTTTTGAGACTCGAGACTCTTGACTCTTGATGTAGTCCTTAATGATCATGATGAAGATGAAGATGATGATGGGTTGTATAGGGCTGGGATGGATACAGCTGTATTGTATTCTAGGGAAGGAAAAAAAAAAAGAAAGACATATGGACACACGCTGGCGTTGAGATTCCCAGTAAGAAGAAGACGATGCTCTATGCTTGCCTTTCGTTGTGCTGGTACTCGCTGAGAGGAGGGAGGGGAAAGGAAAAAGGAGGTTTGTTTGGTTTGGATATGACGAGGTTTTGGGGGGTGGGGATATAGAACGGCATGAACGGTATATACACAGGTACCTACACCTTTGGGATATGGACATGGTTTAGTTGGGTATTCGATGGTGTTTCAATGTCGGATTACACATGTCGATACATAGTTCTATGGCTGGCCACGGGCAAATCCAGACTCCCAGCATCTAGTAGGGTGGTAGGGTACCACGACGGGATACGAGGGTTGTCCTTGCATCTCTCTTACCATCGTACATGCTCACGATATCATGAGCTTGCGTATTTACCGAACTAGATGTAGACGGGGTGCCTACGAATATACACTACTTACCTTTCTTTCATAATGTAGTTCATCCGAGGACGAAACGAACTTGATGCACATGAGATGAACCATGGTTCGACCTTCTCCCGCGTTTCTAGTTTGCCTTATGCTGTACAATGAATGGCATTGCCTCGTCGGCGAACGATTGGATATCTAAATTCCGCCCAGATATCGTACTTGTAATCACCATTCCTACCTAGGTAAGTGCTATATTCGGTTACTTGAACGTCTTTTCCAGAGACATTGTTTATACTTGTATCATATCATACGAACCATCAACTTTGTCGAACTGTTTTACATTGATTGCACAGTACGTGATTTTCTTTTCTTTTTCTTTTTCCTCCTAATTTGTCAGTACGGTACTGTTCTTTCCCCTTTCCTTGCACGAGTAATAAATAAATCGCCCGGTCCGTCGTCACTCTTGCTAACCGGGCGGGCATCACGGACGGTTCAAGCTGAAGAATGGTACACACAGCAGGTACAGATACAACAGCCCTACTTTTCCACCTCCCTCTAAATCTGCTCCCGCACCATATACTACATACACTACAAACCTATCATTCCCTCCCCCCCTCCCCCCACGATCATCGAATACATCAATCATGCACAGCACATCGTAGCGGTGGTGGTGGTGGCGGTGGTGGTGGTGGTGGCGGTGGTGGTGGTGGTGGTGGTTCACCTGACTGAAATAACCAACCAACCACTCAGGACCCTGGAAATTGCTAATCCAGCAGAATAGGTAGGTAGATTGTGGGGTTGCCGTTGATGCTGTTAGTGCAAGTGGGTACTGGTTGCTATGTACACTACATGTCTAAGCTTTCAAAGTTGCCTTTGGGGGGGATCACCGCCCCTAGTTCTAGTGTAGTGCTAGCGTAGACCCCTTTGAGACCCTGGATGATGGGGAGGAGTGTGATTGCTGATAGGTATGGTATGGGGCTTGCTACTGGATGACACTTCGTACCTAGTCAAGGAGGCTGTCTACGTAGTGTCGTGTGAAGCCTGGTCAGTCAGTCAGATCTCGAGATGTACACCAAAGAGTCTCAAGAGTGCATAGAATAAATGTGCCGCACACCTACTGATGAAACTTCTCAGAAAAGGGAGGGGGGCTCAGGTGGTAGGGATACTATCTTATCTAGCCAGCGGCTGAACAAGGCAGTAAGTAGTAGGAGTACCTAGAAGGGTGTGCCTACTTATCTTGCTCATTATACACACACACACACACACACACACACACACACACACAAGATACACAAGACAATCAACAAGACCTGACCTAATGGAGGTCACTAGACAACCACGACAAGGGACCAAGTGGAAAGGCAGCTAGCTAGCTGTATGTAGCTACGATACGATACTGTAGCTGGGTGGTCTGGTGGTAATGTGACCTTCAAAGAGGAGACACCAAAAAAAGTATAAATACTAGCGTTTCAACAACTTTCCATTTTCTCTTCTTTCTGGTTATCACCTCACGTTCACGTCTCTCTCTTGCCTCACCTGCAGTCGTTGACAATTAAATTTACACCCAACCCAACCTAAACACCCTCCAAAAATGCACGGATCAAGCTGCCCCAAGTGCGGAGCCGCCTCGGACGGTTCTTCCAAGTCGTGCGGTTCCTGCGGTGCTGTAAGTTCAACAATCCATCCATCCATCAATCAATCTATTATTCTTTCTCCCTCACCCATTCATTACCATCCAACCTCGCTTGTCCCGAAGTCCACACACCCACCCAAAAAGAGATAACCCGATAACTGACCTCATCACTCTTTGGGAACACGTAAACAGTCCTGCCCCAACTAGGACAAGCAATCCGGCATATATCAAGACGGGAGGCAATAACAACAAACAACAACAACAAACAAGGTCACCACCATGAGATGAGCTGAGCTGAGTCCCGATCACTCCGGGGCGGGGACCCGTCTTATGCTTCCCTTACGGATGGCGAGACTGGAGTGGAGTGGAGTCTTTCTTGTGTGGGATGTACCTAGGTACATACCTACCTATCTACCTATCTGATATTGATACTTTGATACTTGGGAGCGAACAAGAAAAAAGACAAGACAAGACAAGACAAGACAAGACAAGGCAGCAAGCAGCCCTCTGTCCTGGGAGGAAGAAAAGCAAGGGAGAAAGCGAGCGACGGACTTTTGTTTACGTCGTTCGGTTGGTTGGTTAACTTGACTTGACTTGACTTGGCTTGACTTGACTACCTTACCTTGCTTGCCTACCCGAGGGTAGAGCTAGATTACAACCAAATATTTAACCTCCTGCGTTGAGTAGGTTGTCAAGGAACTGAAGAACTGAAAGGAACTGATAGCGGGGAGCGTATATATACATACGTTAGAAAGTGTTACGTGTGCCCACCTTTCCTTCCCTCTGTTGGCTATAATGAAGAAGTCCCAGAGAGTGTTCGAGATGCAAAGTATATGATGTATGGCACATCATAGCTTACTTGTAAGTGATAGCTTCGTTGGCTGTCAAGACAATCATGCCTTTCTGGCATACCTCACGCGCCGAGTGTGATGACTCGGGAATATAACTAGGTATACCCTTGATAGACATGACGTCCTTCATTCAATCAACTGTTTCACGTTTGGGTCTGGAGCTGGCGGCGGCCTCTCACCTCGGATTGCATACCCAGTCGGCAAAGCGTGATGACTACTGAACTTCGGACTGAAAGACTAGGTAGACAAACGGGCTGACGTAGAAGAAGTCTGTGCTCGTGTCAATGGTTGACACACGTATTGCAAGAGAGGACGGGTAATGCATGGTCTGAGGATGTACAATAGGTAACAGCAATTGTCGTCAACGGTCTATGGAAGTAGCAGGGACATTCGGCGGCCTCGCCACGCCGATCGCCCAAACAATACGGAACATTCGAGCTCAAAATCCCAATTTGAACCATGCAGCAGCAGCAGCAGCAGACGGAGACAGATAAACAAGAACGCGATAAAACTAGAGATTAATAACAGACAGGTAGACACAGAGAGAGAGATAAGAGACAGACGCACACGGGCAGTGACAGAGAAAGAGAAATAAAGGAGACAGGTAAGGGGAGGGCCAGAGACGCGGCATGTGATTCCAGAAGAAACAAGAAATATTGAACCGCAAAACTCCTTTCTCCAGTCTCTCTCTTTCCCTTTACCGCCCTCAGGTGTCCTCCGTTTGTGTATACATGAACACAAGCCACGCACCCGTCCACGCCGACCACACACACACACAGAAATAGTGGAAAGGAGTCCAGACCCAGTTATCCTCCCTAAATATCGAGTAGTAAGGCCCATAAGTATCCCCGAAATCCCAAGCCCCTCCCCATTTGCGCTCTCCACACCCCTTTCTTCTTCTCTCTGTGAAATATTATCCGCTCGGTAGCAGCATCGACGGCGTCATTGGCAGAGAATTATCAACTAAGGTGATGATCATCTTTCGCTTTGAAAACCGTTGCTTGATTACATGTTGCGAGGCTATCCGGGGAGGGCTTGGTGCAGATGATGTTGTTCGTCGTGCGATAGAAATAAAAGCATCTCTCTAAAGAGCTGTGGTTTGTTTAGACCGAGCTCTTGCAGAGGCCCCTCTTCGTCTTTGTCTTCTTGAGAAGGGCGGCTCTTGTCGCGTTCTCGAACACCTCACGGACACCCTCGTTGGTCTTGGCCGAGCACTCGAGGTACTTGTGAGCGTTGATTCTCTTCCTCAGAGCCTCACCCTGTTGATGAGCGCGTTAGTATACATTCCCGAGCAAGCGGGGGGAAAGCACTTGGAAACAAAAGGGGCATCATCAGCCGCCAATGTCTCAAGCCTCACGTACCTCTTCGGGGGAAACGGGCTTCTGGCTGGTCTTGCGGAGCTCCTCAATGGTCTTGGGGTCGTGGCGCAAATCCTTCTTGCAGCCAACGAGGATAATTGGGACGTCACGGCAGAAGTGAAGAACCTCAGAGTGCCACTGTTCTGGTTGTCAGCAAATTGAATCATCCAAGAGAAGGGCGCGCCAAGTGAGCGGGCGGGATACTGACCTTCTCGGAAACGTTGTCGAGCGAATCGGGAGAGTCGATGGCGAAGCAGATCAAGACGACGTGAGAGTCGGGGTAGGACAGGGGGCGGAGACGGTCATAATCCTCCTGACCAGCCGTATCCCATAGCGCGAGCTCGACGTGTCTGCCATCAACCTCGACATCGGCGACGTAGTTCTCGAAAACGGTAGGGACGTAGACCTGGGCGCAGAGAGTTAGCTGGCTGAGCAGCGCTTATTCGGATGCGGATATGATGGCGACAGGGCGGGTGTTTCGAATTTGATGGCTTGATGGTTTATCGGGCTGAGGAGATGGATGTATCCTGTTCGGGGGGAGCGAGACGCGGCAATTGGCAGGAAAATGCGTGTTTCGTCAGGCGGTTGGGGCGGTGTAGCGAACAAACGGTCGAGGGCAGGAGGTGTGTAGATGGACGTTTCAGTCCCGACAGACAAGTGTGCCTGACTTACCTCGGGGAAGGTTCCCTTGGAGAAGACGCTGGAGATTTGGTTAGCAAAAGGTTGTGATGGGGGGAGAGCGGCGGTGACGACAACGACGACGACGACGACGCCGCGCGCTGAGGGCAGCATCACTCTCTTGGATATGGATAGGGGAAATGGACATACATCAACAAACAGGTCTTGCCGCAGGCACCATCGCCAACGATGACGAGCTTTCGGCGGAGTTCAGCAGACATGGCGTCGGTTTGGTGGTTGTGTGAATAGGGGAGGAGAGATTAAGTTGTTGAATGGTTGAGTGTGATGTCGACGGACGGTGCTTTGTTGTCGACGGGTTGTATGCAAAGGACGGGAGAGGGTATCACGCGGCCTGGATTTGGTCGATAAAAGATGCAAAATGGAAAAGGGAAGGAAAATGGAGATGGGGGTGTTGGGTGGTTGTTGAAGGATGGACGGTGGTGGTAGGTAAGGTAGGTAGTGGCCGCTGGTGGTGGTGTGCTAACCTGTTCAAGTTGTGAGTTGTGTTGTGACGGAGACGGAGACGGGGAACGGAGACGGGGGGACCACCAGATAGCCAGGTGCAGGACTCCCACGGGCAAGGTTGGAAGAGGGTGGAAACCTCCTCAGCCAGCGAACCAGGGCCGGGCAGTCAGACTGGGCTGCTGCCGTAGGTGGGTGGTGAGCGAGGCAGTGGGCAGCCCCAGAGAAGCCCCAGGGAACGGGCGGGCTGTCCAGGCACAGGCAGTCACTCAGTCGGGTTCACACAGTCCCGTCTGGCAGCAGTCGCAGCCTGGAGGCTACAGGTACTGTGTGGTAGAGGAAGGCAGCGAGACACCTACCGACCAAATTTTTCATCCAACACACTAGGTACCTACCAAGATACTGCATTTCGTGTCGGAATACCCCATCACTTGTACAGGAGCCGGTAGGGGTGCGAGACGAGCCAAGAGCAAAGGGCCAGACAAGGGAAGTGTTGGCTTGATGTGACTTGTGAGTGGCCCAGATCCTCAGCAAGCGGTACGTACCGATCCCCTTCTACAATTAACGCCGTCACCTCCATTACCGTAATTCAGCTATTTGCACGCGAAAAGAGAGCTGATTTTGGTGATATTAATAGTGGACCGACGTTGAAATCGTCGTCGTCATGTTCCTTCCTGTTCCCCTTTTTCGCTACCCCGGACTTGCTGCATAAGGCTAATAAGGCCATCTCCCGAACATGACTCTCGACCTTTTTTTTTTTTTTTTTCTTCAACTTTGATGACAAGCGCAAAAGTGCACGGTGGGGACGGGCCAAATTACCACTCGAACCACTTTTAGACATCCATACCGCAGTAATCCGACACCCGACACGCTGCGCTGGCTCGGCTGGCTGTCGATCAAAGGGGGAAAGCACGCGCTGCTGCCGTGGCCCCCCAGGATTTTAGTAGAGGAAGTGGAAGCTGAGCTTTGCGAGCGAGCGAGCGAAGGCAGGCGAGGCGAGTCTCCAGCAGCGAAGATGGTCCAGTGGGCGGCGGCGATAACTGCTAATCTCCAGACTGCCTGCCCAGAACTGACCCCTGAAGGCCAAAAGGAACAGGAACAGGCACAGTGCGCCATGGGCCTCTTCCTTCCGGTCGCCTATTTTGGGTGTCCCTAGTGTACACTACATAGGTAGTAATTTACTGATAGCTCTGGGCTTTCTCAGCCATCCATTATCAGGGTCCAGGACTCTCTTGACAGTAGTAGTGAACATGGAGGAAGGGGACGGAGTGGGAGGGAGGACGGGACATGATATTAAAAACATGGAAGCTCCTGTCTTGTCGGTATACGCAGTATGTACACCACACTATACCCCATTTCCTCTCGGCTGTTTGATACACTACACAGTATATACCAAGAGACGGAGCGGTCAGCAAAGTGTCGGTGCCCAGCCGCATCTAGATAGCAGACCAGTCTCTTGAATTGCGAACATCTCAGTTGCCATGGCATTGACGTGAGCTTGTTGACTTGGTGGATGACGAAACGGGATAGGAGAAGGGAGGCTGGAGAAGGAAGCGTCAGCTGCCACCCGTCAGCCGTCAGCCGTCAACAACCAATTGGTCATAGTGCCAGATGTCAGATTACAAGTCCTACCACCCCCATGATGGTTCCCAAAGTCCTACCCGTCGGTTCACTCTGGTCCCCTCCATTGTCCAACGAAGTGAATTGTCCGGGGCTGGGAGGTGACGGGCGGCAGCCACCACTGCTTCGAGAGGACGGAAGGAACGCCAAGAACGAGAACCGATTTGTTCGATTGGGTGGAGTTTTCCATCTGGATGCGGGACCCACTCTCGCCCGCTGTCGGGGTACCTTTAACATTGAACTTCTTCGCAGTGGAAGCGCACTCAGCTGGATGCCGGCCAAGTTGAAGAAGCATGTCGAGCATAAACATTCACATTTCACTTTCAGTCGCTCGGCATGATGAGGTTGGGTTGAGGAACAAGACCGTTACCTTCAACTTGCCTCACTTGTAAGGTACCATAAGATACTGCCTACGCAGTAGTGTACTGGAAAGCTGATGATTCGATAGTAGATCTGCCAGCCGTCATGTAAGATACAGCAGCTGGCAGCGCTGAGAAACCACGGCCGTCGACCAAAATGAACGGGGCCAGGAACATGCACCGACCGCACCGACGCGTGCCACGGCTGTGGAAATCCTGGACCCTGGCAAGTACCCTCGTACCGATGTGTACCGCCGGCCGGACCCGCTACACTTTTTGATGGCTCGGCGGGACCGCAAAGCAAAGCCGCAAAGTGAAGCGACTCGGACCTCAACGGCGCCGCGCGGGACTAGAAATCACCATTTCGACGACACCCGGACCCGACCTGCCCCGGACCCCGCGACCGCCTGACTTCCCCGCGCTCCGCCCATTCGCGAAATCCCCTCCGGCCTCATCCTCCTCCTCCTCCTCCTCCTCCAGATACCCCAGCGCGCCGGACACCCCCCCACACACACATACACAACCATGGACAAGCTGCTGCGGCGTGTGCGCATGGCCGAGGGCATGGTTGCCCGCCGCGCCCAGCGCAAGAACGCCCTCCTGAAGCGCATTACAGAGAGAAAGCAGAACAAAAAGAACGGCGAAGCCTTCACTGAAGCCATCCAACAACGAAAGGCCGCCGTCGAAGCTCGCAATGAGGACTGGATGTTGGGTCCCCTCGCCCCCCGCCGCGAACTCGACGAGATAACGCTGAGCAACGGCAACTTCTTCGGCTCCCTCTCCCCCACCCGTGCCCTGCTCGAGAGCGAGGTCTCGGAAGAAGAGAGGAAGGCCCGCGTTGCCTGGTGCGGTTCTCCCAAATTCCTCTGCATTGCCCCCGGCGACCGCGTCGTGGTGATCGAAGGCCACCACAAGAACCTTATCGGCACCATCGAGAAGCTCAACACCCGGAACATGACAGTAGAGATCCAATCAGAGAAACTCAAAGTGAGCCCGTCCACCATGTCTTGATCATCATGTGCCATCATCACCGTAGATATAAATATGCTCACCAATGTGTTGTATTTCCTTTCCAGACAAACACGACCGTACCCCAGTTTATGCAGAACGACGCCGACAAGCCCGTCACGCAAATCTACGCCCGCCTTCCCATCTCCTCGGTGCGCCTCGTCCACCCGCTCAAGGATCCTCAGACGGGCGAGTACCGCGACGTGATCATCCGCGAGCTGCGCCCCCGCAACATTGTGCACGACCGCCCCACGCGCACCCGTAGCATGCGCCGCTTCGTCCCCGGCGAGAACATCATCATCCCGTGGCCCAAGCAGGAACCCATCAAGCGCGAAGACCAGCCGGCCGACACCCTGCGCATCGACGTGGACGAAAAGACCTTTGTGCCCACCCTGTTCCGCCCGCCCGCGCCCCAGCAGGTCCTCGACGAGCTCCGCAACAAGTACTCCATCTTCCGCACCCGTCATACCCCCGAGTACATTGCCAAGAAGGAGCAGGAGGAGCAGGAGAAGGAGGCCAAGAAGTCGGCCGCCAAGGCCATGCTCACCCCCGTCCAGGAGTATAACCGGAAGCAGCGCGAGCTGCGCCGTGCTCGTGGCCAGCCGGCGTTGACGGAGGAGATGCTGGCCAAGATTGGTGAGGTTGTGGCGAGGAATAAGCTCGGACACCACCAGGCCGCCGGGCTCCATCAGCCCAAGGTGAAGGAGGAGACGGTGGCACAGATCGAGAAGGCGGTTGAGCAGTTATCGCTTGGTGGGGAGGAGGATGCGGCCACGACGACGAGCCCTGAGCAACCAAAGGTTTAAAGGGGGTTTTGGATGAATGAATGGGGAGTGTGGGTGTGGTGGAACATGCTTGGCCGTAAAGATTCCTTCCTTAAGAAACTTTGCAAAGTTGAGAAAAGCTTTGTGCTGAGTGTGAAGAGGAATGAATAATGGGGATCAAGTCTTGACTGGTCGAAAAAAAAGCGGCAGTTCCAAATTTTTGTGTGTATTTTTAGTGTATATGGTCAAAAAGGTATACAAAATGCATTTGGGTCAGATCAAAAAGGGGGGGCATTAGATGGGCGGAGATACGAGATTCTTCAAGTGGTGTAGAGGATCAAAGACCCCGAACCTCACACCAAATCGATATGGTCTTTATGTGCCTCCAACCGCAAGCATAGAAAATATCCAACGTATCTCAACTCGGGAGGATGGTATTAGCCGGACTTGCGCAGCATTTAATGCGACAATGGGTTCGACTGGGCAGGCAGTTCATATCTGAGCTTTTCCTATAATTCTATTACAGGCAACAAGATCTTTCAACATTCTTTTTATCCTTTTCTTGTAAGCTCGATGCGGTTTGTCGAGAAGAGGCTCATATAAACAGCTATGAAGAAAAGAGGTACTTTGCACACCTTTTGTTTTCTTCTCTATCGTAATTTTGAGACAACCTACCTATGTAATCGGAGAAACTATCAAAATCTTTGTTCTTATTGGTTTTTTTTTGTGTTTTGAGTTCAACATTTTAGATACTTTCTCCTTCAACAGTAACGACTCAACCCCCTTTTACTTCATCCATCCTTTTCCCTCTCTATCCATACATCCAGCCACCCACAACCCCTTTCTTTCCCTAACGACCACCCAACAAACTCAACCTCTCAAACTTCTTCACCACCGGCTTACCCACCCCGCGTCTCATAGCCTCAATACTATCCGCCAACACTGCATCACCACCCGTCGGTCTCCACTCAGCACCTTCCCATCCAGCATCCTGCTCTCCTGCTTCCTGCTGTTGCTGTCCATCCTGCTGCTGCTGCTGCTGAGGCCAAACCTCCTCCACAGCCCTTACACACCCCTCCACAACCTCCGCCATCAACCCCTCCACCGCTCTCGCCCGCTCACTCATCCCCCTCCTCACCAGAGCACACACCAACCTCTCCACCTCCAGTCTCGCACTCCCCTCCACTCTCTCCACCAACCTCCGCACACTATTCACCAGATACTCCTCCTCGTACACCGTCCCCTTCCGTCCTCTCGCCCGCTTCTTCTCTTCTCGCTTGCGGTTCTTGCTCGTCGCCCGCGACACGTTACTCGCCACCGTGCCCGTTACTTGCGACCCTTTACCGGTGTAGCGCGTAAACAGCGAAGCGGAGGTGGACACCCTTGACGAGGCAGCTACTGAGATGTCGTCGGGGATGTCTCCACCGGTACCAGTGCGCGCGCCAAAGGGGTTTTCGCCTTCGTAGAAAGCTAGCGGGTCCTCGGCGGCTTTGAGGCGGAGTTCGGCGATGCGGGGCACTTGGGCTTTAAGTTGCGATTTGCAATCGGCGAGGAACTCGGTAGAGGAAGAAAAGGCGTCGAGGAGGCCCGGGTCGAGATGGGATTCGAGGAGCTCGGGCTGGGAGTGCAGGGAGATGAGCCGGAAGGCGTCGGCGAAGAGGTAGCCCTTGCAGAGGGCGGAGATGGCGGAGGGCAAAGAGGCCAGGTGCTCGGCTTGGATGGTGGCGACGGCGGCCCAGTCCTTGGCTTCGCGGAGGGCGTCGGCGAGGGTGGAGGCGATTTCGTGCCGTTGGTCGGGCGTGAGAGAAGGGTCGAGGGAGGAGGTGAAGAGACATTCGCGCCAGGAGGAGGTGCCGGCTTTGAGGTAGCATTCGGTCGCGGCTGGGTAGTCGCCTAGGGACTCGTAGGCCAAGCCGGCGTCGCGGAACTTGGAGAGGGAGCGGAGGTGGGCGGCGTAGAGGGCGGTGATGGTGCGGAGAGGGGTGGGTTCGTTGCGGTAGAGGGCGAGGGCGGAGGGGTAGAGTTGGTGTTTGACTATGTAGGACTCGACTTCGTCGGAGTAAGTGTTGGCGATGGCCCGGAGGTGGACGAGCGCCTTCTCGTGGAAAGAGAGGTGGTCGTCGATGGTGAATTGCCGGCGGAGAGGGTCCATCTTGTGCAGCGACTGGATGAAGGGGAGGTATTCACGCGGGTCACGCTGGGATTGTTGGGCGACAAGAAGAGTCAGCTCGAGGTTGTAGAGCGAGAGGGCGTGGTCGTAGAGTTTGTTGACGTCGACCAGGAAGCAGATATGCTCGACTGCGCGCTCGGCTAGGGTTTCGTCTTCTTCCATGAGGGAGGCGACCACCTGCAGACCGTCCGAGAGGGCGGGAGGGTTCTTGCAGACGTGAGCGGTGATGATGTTTTGCAGATTGGCGTTCTTCTTGGCCTTCAAGCTGTGCAGGACGGCGTCACAGATGGTGTTGATCTTGCTGGTCTTGGGAGCAGTGGTCAGGGCTGGCTGGATAGGGGCTGTGACGACGCCAGCCTTGGTGTTGCGGTACATGGTTTGCGTAACATCTTCCTCCTTGAGGGTGGACAGGAAGAGGTCAATGTCGGCTGCGTTCTTGACTTGGTCGAGGAACAGGCCAACGTTCTCAAGCAACTGCTCAGGGCGGTGATCGTAGAGCAGGTTCATGTCCACACGCTGGGTGCGGCATGTGGTAAAGGCAGCACCGTACTCCTTCTGCTCGACTAGTTGTCTGATACCAGCCAGTACCATGGCGCGTGGATAGATGGTCTCGAGATTACCGCGAGGCATCTGAAGTACGATGCTCATCCTGGAAGGCATAGCCGTGACGAGGCGACCTCCGCGCTCAATGCTTCTGCAACGCTCATCGGTCTCGGGGTCATCCAGCGGCACGTCGAGTTCTTCAACATTGGCCGTCAGGTGGATAAACTTGACAAAGTGATTGCTGGTCGTGTAGATAAGATGCTTGTCCGTGACGACAAAAGATGTGCAATTCTTGACCAACTGACGAGAGTCGGCGTAAAGATGACCATTCCTAGACAGACCAAAAGCGATGAACTGGTCTTCATAGGTTGTGTAGGTGGCCCATGGGAGGAGAGTAGGAAACTTGCCCAGCACAGTCTCACCATTTTCCACAGAAACGCGGGTGATGTTGCCCTGGCGATCCTGAACGACTGTACCATCCTCAACCGATGTTTCATCAGCAGAAGTAAGAGTGACAGCCTGCAAACCAGTGCCAACTTCACCAAGCATCAGTTCTTCGTTAAAGTCCCAGGCGGTGATCTGTAGCTGGAAATCATCCAGCGAGAGTACTTGAACCTGGGAAGGAGCCGCGAAGGCGATCTGTAGCTGACACTTGTTCTCGAAGTTGTCAAGCGAGATAGTCTTGATCAGCTTCGGAGCGGCACGGTGACCAGCAGGGCCCTGCTTTTCAAGGGCAAAGAGGTGCATGCCCTTTTGGTGCAAGACAGCCATCTGGAAAGCATCTTTGGAGAAGGCAATGTCCGTTACCGGGTAGTCCACCTCAATATCGTAAAGAGCCATGGGGGGAGGAACATTGGCCGTTTGGAAAGGAGTGAACTTGATGGTGCGTCCGTCAATGACTGCGACATCTCCCATACCGCCGTACATGGGGCCACGGGCAATGGCCAAGACAAATTCGAACCATACCGCTCTTTCTGTGGAGTCGTTAGCCTGTGAACAGAGATGTTTGATAATATGCTTTGGTGTACATACCCGCAGCGGCTACAGCAAAAAGAAGCGGCTTCTCCGCGTGCCACGAGAACCAAGGGAGTGTCCAGTGGCTTTCACCCTGGAACTGCGACGCGAGCTGAGCATAGTCCGCACAAGGAAGCTCCTGCTTTAAATACCAGTGATAGTTGCCCATGGTATACAGCTGAACCCTGTCTCTCATGATGACAGCGAGAACAGTCGAGTCCGAGTTCCACTCGAGCGCCAAGTCCTCAGCAACTTCGGGCCGGTCCTGAGGAATCTGGAGAGTAAACTGTCCATGTCTGAGACCGTTTCTCTCAAAGAAGACGACATCGACATGATCGGAGAACCGTTGGATGCCAGCCATGAGGTTACCCTCGGGCCGCCAGCTGAGACTGCCCTCCAGACCATCAACCGGCTCACTGACGCTGTCCAGCTCGCCGTCACGGTTGTACACGCGGATTACTCTGCGGCCGCCGCTCTCTTGAGAGAAGAAGTTGACAGCCACATAGGCGCCGTCACCCCGCCAGCTGATACTGCATTTTTGGAGGTTGTCGTTGGCGCTGAGTCTGCCCTCGTCTACCTTCTCGGGGATGGTAGGATCCCTAAGAGCCTTGGCCTTGGCGCCCCTGCCCTGGAACTGCGTCTCCTTCTTACCCCATCCGACGGAGACGTGCTTGGAAAGCTTGAGGTCGTCTTCGGTCATGGTGGCGGAGGTGATGACGTCGAAGGCGCGGCTCATGAAGAGGACTTTGGCGTCGCCGGTGGCTACGATGAGGAGTTCTTCGTCGGGGGACCAGCGAGCACCGGCGACGGAGGGCTCTAGGGTGCCGACTATCTCAACGTGAGCCTCGCCAGGGACGCCGTAGTCGTCCTCGACAACGGTAATAATGTCACCGCCGGCCATGATGACGCATGTTGTGAGGGTGTCGGGGAAGTAGTGCAGGCTCTTGATGGTGTCTGGCTCTGGTTCCGAGCCATTCTGTCTGAGGACAGGCGCGGCATCCCATGATGCTACAAGTTTGGATTCACTACAGAAGATTGGAACGGAGGCTTAGCTAGTGTTCTATCCATGAAATGACTGAACTACAATATCCAAGCAAAAGAGAAAAAAAAAACAGTACGAGCACAGTCATCATCATGTATTGTGTGAAGAAGGTCTTACAGGTTCGAAGGTTCAGAAGAGTCCTTCACGAGCCTCACCAGCTCGACTCGGGAAAAGTCTTGGGTAGGGCCATGAGCAAGGATGATCTCATCGCGAGATACGTCCCAGCAGGAAGCCGAGATGGAGTTGGAGGGCAGGGGCTGTTCTTGACCCGGCCTGTATGCGCCGTGCCCGATGTTGCGCAGATTCCGCATTGCAGCTGGCCGATATGTGTGTCAGGCAACGCCTATTCTCTACCTACACAAAGCTGCTTTCAAGACAGCTGGGCTGAGGTGAGGGTAGGAGTCGTTTCGGTCTTTACTGGATGGGCAGATGGGGTACCTAGAGGTTGTATCGAGACTAGTGTGAGATTCAAGGCCAGCCTTGGTGGTGATGCATGAACGGATATGTGGTTCGACTAAAAGGGGAATAGGTGAAGTCAGAGATTTTGGAGATCTGAGATCGTGTAAGAAGGTCTGTATTTGGTTGTATTGTCGGAAACTTTCAACGGCTCAAAGACTGCCCAACGACAACCCCATCTCAGACTGTGAAAATGAAAAAAAAAAAAAAAAAAATAAACTGACATGAAAATGGTTGAGTGGCAATTACATGTGAACGGAAGATATCTCAAACTTTTGCATTACATTGAGTTGAATGAAGTACATGGAAGTATGTAAGGGCAGGATGAACAAGTGTATGAGCAGTGTATGTGCAGTGTATGTTCTGTAAGGTGAGGCTTGACGTTTTTGTTGGTATCATCAACAGCCCCGCCTCTGTCACGACGTGTGTTATGATGTAGCGAATCAATAAGCAAAGAAACAGAGGGTGGTAAAAGGGACCCAGTACCTACCAGTTAAATGAACCCTTTGAACTGTCTCAAAGATGTTGACTCTGGGTGGTGAACTTGGTCTCACAACTCAGTTTGATAGACCAGTTAGACGCTGGCAGCCCTGTCACCTTCTAAGACTGGAGGTGAAAAGAGGGGTTCACTGATTGCAGGGAGCGACAGTTTTGTTTCTTTTGGTTCGGAGTTGCAGTTTCCTGACTTGTGCTTTCAGGATTTCACACTTTTTCGCCCCTCCTTGACTCCTTCAATTGAGTGATGATTGGACGAATCGCAGTCGAGAAGGCGCCTGTTGCGGCGGGGATCTGGTAGTCTTGTCTAGGCACAGCACAGCGGGCAGTAGGCGAATCCGGGGTTTGGTCTTAGTTGGTCGAATTGCGCTGAACCCATGCAACTAAGGGTTCGTACTTGAGAATGGATACTCGATCGAGCGATGGGGTTTTGACCGTGGTAGTATTGAAGATGCAGAAGACGCAGAAGACGACAGTAAATCCAGTTTGCGGCAACAGGAGCTGGCCGAAAAACATCTGATATCGGAAGAGGGCTTCTGCAGTGCTACAGGTAGGCGCCGTTGAATGCCCTGGATATGCAAATTGATATACACCGGTAGCCAGGAACAGTCATGACAGTCACTGACAGTCACTGATAGCACCTGTGTTCTTCGAGTGTCACAACAGCAGGAACACCAAGGGAGATGCTGCTCCAGTCTCAGATTTGTGGGCTTGGGAGAGGGGAGGAAAACGTCTGCCGTATGTTTCTGGGTACTTTGGCATGCTGCATGTTATGGTGCAACTGTCATGTACTCGGTACTTCAATCAAGTTCATTAAAGTGTGTGCAGCTGGGTGAGGTCCAGAAGCTTTGGCAAGACTGTGGCGCCACTACGGCTTAAGTCTGACCAATCGCAGAGCATCGCGGTCTGCCGCTTCGCTCCATTTGCCTGCCATAACCACCTTATTGCACCACCAAAAAAGGGAGAGCGACCCAACAAAAACGAACGACCATCGAACCAAACCAAACCAAGACGGGAGGGAACAGAACGATGCGGAGTAAATGTATTGTCGTTTGTAACAAAAAGAAACAAATAAATAAACAAGGCAATTCCACATCCATTCGTTCATCACTGAACCCTCTCTGTCCATCCGTCACATCATTGCTCCATCGCAGACTCTCCCTCTCCCCTACTTTGACGACTACAACCAGTAGTATCAAAACCCATCAAGCGAGAACGCGAAGAACGAGGCGAAACCGACCGGGACGAACTCGGCTTTACACGTTTGGGCGCGTCGGTCGGAGCATTCATTGCACCCGACCATCCATCCTGTGCTGCTAATTGCTAGTACATATCTGCACCTGGCCCAACACGGCCATCGTCCAAACTCGACCAGTCCAATCTGATATTTATACCCAACCACCGGCCGACACATCGCGGACGGGCCTCTTCTCTGCTGCATCTTACGTACATCATTGCTCTCCCAACATCTAGGATCTCTATCTGATCTTTGGGGATCAACCTGGCTTCATAACAGCTTGGGGAGCGTCGTTCCTGTCCCGCATCCCCGCGCGCCGCATCCATACGTCAAATCATACACCAATTGCGGGAGGTTACACCGCTGGCTATCTTAATCACCAAGCTTCCCCGGATTCTTCTTATCTTGTTAATGTACCCCGGACTGTCACTTTCAACTTGTACATTCATCAATTGCTTCCAACTATACCCATAACCATCCAAGGAGTGAATTGAATCCATACTACATACCGTCATCATCATGGACGTGGCTTACAACCAACACTCGAACGCCGCCCGGCGCAAGAACCGCTCCTCAACAAACCTCAACTACCTCTCCCTTGCTCCCTTGACCTCCAAGCTCCCCATCGACAATGATGACTTCCTGGAGCAGTACCACCAGCAATTCGAGCACGTACCTCACAGCACTTCCTACCTCGCGGGCAAATCTGCTCCAACCACTCCTCGTCTGATCTCCCATTCGCCCGGTCCCCACCCTGCCCGCGCCGCTACCATGACAGGCACCGGTATGAACCACTCCCGCGGCAAGTCTGCTCCGGCCGCCAGACTACCCAAGTCCAAGTCGACCACCCATCTCGGCAGCAAGAGCGGCGCCGCTTCCCCCACACACAAGCGCCGAAGTGCCGCTGCCATTGCTGCCGAGAACGAACGCAACTTGTCTGACTGGCTCCTTCGCGCCGGTGCCCTCATCTCCACCGAGACCCGCGAGTCCAAAGGCCAATCATGGCTCGTCTCCCGCGCCAGCTCAACCTCCCTGACCGGCCTGCACAATGCCGAAGAGGAGGCCTTTGAGCGAGAGCTTGCCCGCGAGCGTGAACTGCTCCTTCAAAACACCGCTGCCAACGCCGTCTCTCGCAATGCCAGTCGGGCCGCCAGCCGCAATGCCTCGCGACGAGGTAGCATGGTAATCAACACCGGCTACAACACCAACATGATCGACGACGAGTATTACACCACCGCCTCACCCATCCACAGCCGTCTGGGCAGCCGCTCCCACAGCCGAACCCAGCTCGCCCGCACCCCCAACGAGCGTCACGCTTTCGAGCACGGCGCCGGCTACTTCCACCACCACGGCGTGCACAACAACAACAACAACAACAACAACAACAACAACAACAACAACAACAACAACAACAACAACAATCACCATCACCACGAGGTGGGCATCACGGAAGAGGACGACGAGGACAACAACGGGCCTGGTCCGGACTTTGTTAACCTCGACGAGAAGCTCGAAATGGCCCACTACAACCAGGAACAACTGCTGCTCGACAGTGACGCCGCGTCCTCCATCATTGAGGACGAAATCGCCGTCCGCCGCCTGGTCAAGGACCGTAACATCGGCTCCTGGTTCGGGCGCGTGCTGGGTGTACAGCTGTTTGCCGTAGAGGAGGAGGACGACGAGGAGGATTCCTCAGACTCTGACCGCGATGACGATGACGACGGTCATCTGGCGTATGGTAGTAGCAGACAACACTCGGAGGGACAGTTGACGGAAGATGACGGTGGCTCGACGACCGAGACAGACTCGTCGAGTGAGGAAAGGAGGAGGCCGCACGAGAAGCAGAGGAAGGACCAGAGGCGGTTTGAAGATGCGCAGCTGTCCAAGCTGGTGGATGAGCGGGTGCCCCCGCCCAAGGAGGAGGGTGGGACATGGCATGATGCTGCTTGGTTGTTGACTGTTGCTTCCAAGGTCATTTTCTGATGGACCAAGATATGGGTTTGAAATCCACAGAGACAGAAGTTAAAAGCTAACTTGAAAGATACAGACTATGGGAATACAAAGCGGGAAATGGAGTTTGGGTTGGCGGTTTGCTTGGTTTTATTCTTCCATGTGTACATAGGGGGTTTTGTTTACTTTGTCATCTCATGACTTGATCAGGTAACGGTTGTCCTTTCGAAATACGAATCACTTACCTATACGCTCTTTTCGCCCATGTCGGTTATTATGAATGATGGCCCTATATCCACACATATCTTTGGACGAGCATCCTACTTATAAACCATCATTATATCGAATCATCTACATAAGCTGCGGTTAAGGTCAATGGCCCTGCTGGTGCTTGCCTCTCCAAGGCATAAACATCGTTTTCATGCCAACCTATCTTTGCCCATGATGATCTAGATCCCATATCATTTTCTCTTCGATTCCACTACACAACAGGGAAAGACAGGGCTAGAGGAACGTACATGATACTAAAAGTGTTAGAGGTAACTAGAGTATATACTCTTTGGATACATTACCCCTAGTCGCCACCAAATCCTGACTCTAGAACTACTCCATGTCAATGGACAGACTGGCTGTACATAGTCCACAACACAAGCACAATGTTTGACAGCAAGTGTTGCCTCTGCCCCTTTTATATATATATATATATATATATATATATATATATATATATATATATATATATATATATATCCTCTTATGAACTACTAATCTATCTACCACTTGAGGTAAAAAATACTCTGAGAGAGAACAAAGTACATCCAAGCCAGTAAATCAATAGTCAACACATCATCTCCCCCTAGAGTAGGTAGGTAGGTAGGTAGGTATTACCAACTAACAACCTCTACCAACAGCCGAATTTCAACTATCTAGTTCCTATCAGCTTGAGTTTGATATCGCGCCTGTTTCATATCCCTCCTTTTTATATATATCACAATCAGTCATCCTTCCTCCCCCTCCTTCTAACATAATCAATCATCTTTAATCCTAAACAGCAGAGTCCAAGTGTAGAAGATACACGGTAGGTGCATAGGTAGTTGTGCTTTTTTGTGTCCACGATTATGTCCATGTCTATGTCCATGTCAATACGATCACGTCACTGACCCTGCTTCCATCCGTAGGGTAGGTAGTAGGTCTACTTAGTCTAGGTACTTAGTCTACTATTTGTTTCCAAGTTCAGGAAGGCGGCGGAGAGCAGAGAGCAGAGAGCAGAGAGCAGAGAGCAGAGAGCAGAGAGCAGAGAGCAGAGAGCAGAGAGCAGCAGTGGTGGTGCTGTTGTAGAGCCCGACCTGGATACTATACACTATACTACAGAACGGCGGATACTCACATACCTTATGTTTTGTACTGCCTGCTGGATAGGTAGGTGACAACAACAATATCCAACACAAAATTTGGCTACCTAATGTAAAAACCGAACGTGCTTGTCTAGGAACTTCAATGCTCTGCTGCGCGTTCGCTTTTGGTAAACAGTCTATAGTATCTATATAATGTATGTATGTAATGTACATATTTGAATGTTGTAAGTAGGTATGTCATGACACGACGGGTATGTATATGGTCACGGTATGGATCGATACCATGAGCCAAGATTCCGGTTTCGGAGTACACTAGGGATCCCCATTCTCGGTTCCGGGCTCATTCATCGTCCTGGCTCGTACAGTACATTATGTAGATGGGTTGAGGGCATTCGGAATCCAACACATAGAAGAAAAAAACAAAAATATTTGGTGTTACATCGATAAGAGCGTAGTATAGTGTATGTACTGTAGTGAGGGATTTCACAAGCTGTGGTGGTCCTCCTCAAAACTTTTTTCTAAGATCTCGCCTTGTTGTCGTCGATGTTCACCTCCCATACCTACCCTGCCTACGTAGGTAGGCTTGACCCACCACTCAAGATCATCCCTCCGATCTACACCAGGAACGCCGATACTGATCGACTGCGCAGTTTGGTCCAGGGGTCCGGGTGTTATGTCATGATCGTCGCCATGGCTCATCATAGCTTTGACATTTGTTTACATTATACACAAAATTTTTCGAGCCGCGAGCCGGATTTTCGTCACTCCTCTTGTTGCTACACTAGTGTATATGGATTTGTCAATTACCTAGCTGATCAACCATGCTAGTTCGTCTCTTCCCTTGACTCAGATAAGGGGCTTGGGCAGCTTTCCTGGACTCTTGTATTCCGTCAAGTGTGGGCTTGTGATAACTGAGCCAGACCGTGGAGTGGTTTACTTAGCTTTTGTTCGGTAGCTCGTGGAGTCGTCCCCACTGGACTTATACTATGGAGAGGCTGACATGGTGATGAGCGCCTTGTTGAACGGCCCGGCCGTGGTGGGCTAGGAGGCACGGCTGTGAACAAAGTGCTCCAGGTCAAGGCCTATAGCATGGGCTGCTTTTCTTTCCAAGTATTGCTCCCAATCACTACCTTACTCACTTGTCGATGTAAGTGCATGTTCGGCTCTTCTGCTGCTGATTCCTTGCTGGAAAACCGTTTTTGTTCCGGTCTATCCTGACCATCCTTTGATATAATAAGAAAAGAGGCGCTCGGTTTTCTTACCGTGATAAGTCGCCCGTGGCTTTTTCCTTCCTTTTGGCGTTATTCTCAGGGCCTTGATATTTGTAGTACCAAGGTTTCCCAGCAAACGGCAGCTTCTCTGTTTGCCCTTCAGATCTCTTGTCCCCATTCCATGAGGCTTTTCAGCTCGTGAGGCCTCCCTCTCACTTTGTATAGTCCCGACCAGCTGTGTTTAGCATTCCTTCAACTGACGTACCTCCGTTATCTTGATCGCAATCTGCCGAACCTACCGTTTACCTTTCCTGTCTCCGTGGGTCCTGTCTCGGTTGTCTTCTTCAACTAGGAACGGCGTGCCGTACTGCCGTTCACCTACCTTGCCGAGTTTGCTCTCCTTGGCTCCGTCCGGTCCATACGCTCCTTCTCTTCGGTTTTTGTGCTCCCCTCCCCCCCGGCAAATGTGGAGAGAGCGTGATTGTGATTGCTGCCCAGCTGGATCCGGATGAGGAGGCTCGGAGGGTAAAAACAGGTTTTTTTTTCTTCGGAACAAGGTGTTACTATGCATGTGTGTGTGTTGCTATGCATGCAGGTTGGTCGCGGGATTGTGGACCGCTTCACCCTTCCCCTCTTCTCGAACGCAAAGTGTTTTGAGTTTGTGTGTCTGTAACGTAGGCTATTCGACTTCTCGAAATCTATCGTGGACTAGCCACTGGACAGGCTGGCTGTTAACATATCTCTCGGTGGCTTTTGGGTTTTGTATCCCTCTCTCCACTGGCCCCTTGTTGCGGACTTGGCAATGATGGAATTGTGCTTATCCCACGACGCGACAGACCGAATTCCGGCTAGGCAGGCTAAGGCTGCTACCAATCTCAAATCCCTTGCTCACCGCCGACGAGGCCTTGAACGGCGCCTGGAGACTGGGGGGATGTCAGCTACCGTGTTAACGCATTCCCCGCCAAACGGGGTGGGCGGAGCTTATGGCCGCCTCCGATGCTTAGTGCCTCATGACCTGTGACGGCAATATAGCCAGTGCTTAGCAGGATACGATCCGATACAAGCATCCCGACGGGGTACCCCGGACCGTTTTCTTTCTCGGCGACAGCTCCGGCTCCCGCAGAATGGTTGGAAAAAACTCTCTGCTTGTGCTGCACATCCTAGCTAGCCGTAGAGATGAGGACAAAACCGAGTTAAGTATATATCGGAATGGGAAAGGAAAGGGACACCAAACAGTGGATGGAGTGACACTCGCCTCATGCCAGTCAAGACAAAACCTTCTCACCCCAAATCCCGAGTAGTTGCAGCATGATGCCATTTGTGATGTCATTCCCGTTCCGTCTCATAAATGTCTGTGAGGTATCTCTCCTTGGCGCGGCACTGGTAGTGTAGAACGTGCTAAGCATTTCCTGAAGCACACTCTAGCAGCCCTACGCGAGAGCCTTGGAGCCGATAGGCTTTCCCTTGCGGGTCTCATTAACCGAAGGGGCGATTGGCCAAGAGCTGTAACTGCTGGATCGGATACTGTGCTGGCTCAGCGCATGAGGCCTATGTAGCGTAAAAAGGTCTTGCTTCTTCTCCGCCACTCAAGTTTGGGCTGGGAATGAGAATAACGTCTTTGACTAGTAGCAAGACGCTGTGGGTGATACACTGCAAAGCCGAGTCTGCACCGTAGGTACTGTGCTCCGTAACTGACGAGGTCGGCCATGATGATGATCCTTCATCCAATCCATGGGAGCGACGAGAGCCGTAGTAGGGTCCCACAACGGGCGGTTGGCAGGATGGGCGATGGACACAAGGTGTCGGTTCGGGCGTCAGGGCGTGTGATCCGTCGGTTTGTTGCGAGGCCGGAAATGGGCATGAACTTGCCAGAGAAACATGATCCTCGCCGGACTTTCCAAGATGGTGTAAGCTGAGTGCCCATAAACCGTCATCGTGCTGTGCCGGAACCCGGTCGGCGAGGTCTAGACCACAAAAGAACAATTAAAGCTCCGTTGATGTCTGTCACGGTGGATGATGTCGGGTCGGCGCTTGAGTCAGGTGAAACGCACGCACGCACGAGTTTCGCTGTTGAAGATTGGTGGTGGTTAGGGATGAAGCGAAACCAGAGTTGTTCGTCTTTTGGTTGGCGAATTTTGGGAGAAAGTTGACATGGTGCAGAATGAAAATGGAGATTCCAAGCAACAGCAAAGTTCAGTTCAGTTATTTGCTGAATTACCTTTTTGTTATTATATTCAATTTCCCAGGCCAGCTAACTTGGAAGGCACCGCCCACAACTTGGAAGGCATAGAGGTCATCGTGACTTCCACTTGGAAGTAAGTGGAAGGCTCAGGACGTTAAGTCGTTCCTTCCTTGCACAGCGGGCTGTGATTGGACGAGCTGCCAAAACGGAAGTCCAATTGGACGGTGAGCGGCAAAGCTCGGACCGTTTTGGTCGAGTCGCCCAAGGGGTTATTGGTTTAGCGGGACGCCAAACCAACAGAAGGTTATGCTAAGGGTCCATGCATAAGCGGTGCCACCAATGACGCCAATGCTCCGTCAAGAGGCGGAATGACGTCGGGGAGGAAAAAAGACAACGTTCACCGGGGTGGGTACGATGGGCCACGGGAAGCCCCACCTCACCCTGGGCAACGACAGGATGCATGAGAGAACCGCCAATTGCATCCCAGCGTTTGACTGGCTCATCACCGCCAGATTTCGCGCACGATGGATTTAGTGGGGATTCACGGAGGGGTAGGTGGAGTGCCTGTGATGGTGGGGTTGAATCCCATGTTGGACCCCTCATCTCATCCCATTTTTTTTCTTTGACTTTTTTCCTTTTCTTCCGGCGCTGGAACACCAGCTATAGTAGGTGAAGTTGGCTTTTACAGTCCGATGCTGATTTGTTTGTTAGCTGGGTACACTAGGCATATCTACTATACTCTGTCCACTAGACGAAATCTATCCTTTATAGTCCCAAACCTCGCAAGGACAAATTAAAATAGCTGTGTACAAATTACAAAGGCATTGACAAGAATTGATGTGGCATATTTAATATTAGAAATAGCCTTTCTAAGGTAAGATCACGCATTAGTTAACTAATGAAAACGTATAGGAAGGTTGACGCAAGGTCTCGAGCTAACAAACAAACCAGTACTGGACTGTATTGATCCAAAACGAGATCTTGTGTGTGCGCCTGTCATAGCGTCGGGTCGGGTGGCAGCGGGAGCGGAAGGGAAGGGACAGGAAGCCTTACTATCGCAAAGGTTTCAAGCCTTTCGCAGCATAGCGGATGGAACGAAAAAGAAACGCTTCCGGATGGTGTAGTGCAGCTATCGTCTCTTACTGGGATTGTATACCGTCAGTTCCGTCCGCAAGGTCATCCCCGCCAGCGCAAAGCATGCGTGAGAATTCCTTTAACGGTGAGAAGGGACCATTCTTGCTAGATCTTAGAGAGACTTGTAGAGCTACTTGGCGACTTGTTGATGCAGCAGCTTCAGGCGTGGCCATTCGTCAACTACACCCCTGGCCTCTCCGTACCAGCTCACGACATCCCCTGCAGTGACAAAATGCTGCAAAAGTTAGTATCGTCAATATATTTGCAGGGCACAGATGTATAGGTGGATAGAGGGAGGCCATCCGACTAGCCACTTGCTATTCTTGGCAAAGATGGCCCTTTTCATCGTTAAAGGGATTATAATGTGTAGTGATTGTCTTTGAGGGACTTGTGCTGTGGATTGGTGATGCAGTGGTTGGTGGTGTTGGGTCAGGCAACGGAAGTCCATCGTCCCGTCACCTATCCTGGCATGCGTCAAGACGACTGTGTGAAGACAAGCACCCGGGCAAGCAGGCAAGACGCCAAGCTGATGGAGGGGGTTAGGATTAGCTCCGGGGTTGCGGAGAGCCGGCGAGAGGCTTCTCCTCCTTTTTGAAATTCTCTTTGTCAGTCGAAGATGCTGAGTTTTGAGCGTTGTTGTCGCGGTCTCAATCCTGGTGGTTGTTTGATGCCAAGCTTGCGTTCTTGGCTCGGCCGGCCTGCGATTTGTATAGCTCCACATGCTATGTATGTACCTAGTTCCCTCGCACTGACGGGACTGATCCCATGTCCAGTACAGTCGCTTTTAACAAGCTGGATGAAGCTGCATCCCCTCGGTTCTCGTAGCATACTACCTAGTCCGACACTTCAACTCTTGTTTCACTCAAATCGTGACACATCGCGAAGAGTCGGCCAAAGCATCCACGGCATTGTGAAGGACGTTTTGAGGTCACAGATCCTTGTCTAAACTCATTCTTTGCTAAAGGTTAACGTGCTTGGAGAAAGTGGCAGGGTGGGTGTGCGGCATGAAGGTGTGTAACAGTGAAAACGAGGTATGAACCCTGCGTTGAGCGGCGATGAGGCCCAGTTTGTTAGATGGCTGAGGGTAGGTAGGGTATGTGGGCATTCGGGGCTACGTTCGTGACGCTGCACTGACGGGAATTGCACCAAGCTGAAAGTTTGATGTCGGGTCTATGTTCCAAAAGGAGATCGGTACTGTACGCAGTCGCCAGCTACCGGCCCGGTCCTTGTCCCGGTCCCGGCACCGGCCCCGGTGCTCCTCCCTTATCTCCCGAAACACAGGAACTGTGCGCTCTTCGTTCCCACCCCCGGCTTCCCGCCATCTCACCGGTGAAGGTTCCCTTCATTGTGAATATGTAAAATGAACTTGGGTTTGGATGCGCGAAACCCAACTCACATCGGCTGCATCTGTGTTTGGGTGAAGCACGGCTTGATTTTCACTCGATGTTGTTTCAGTCAAACTAGGTAAAGCGCCAGGAACATCTGACCTACATAATAAGGGCTTCGACCAATCTGCTGGTGAGCGATGGGGGTCGCAGCAGGTTTCCTTGGGAACGATCCAGTGACAGGATTGGTTGAGTAAAACCATATCGACTGAAAAAAAAAGCAGTACGGTAGTCAGACGGTCGGTTGTGTACCTCTACGCAGTACATACTATGTAGATGACGAGTATCCCCTAGTTGTTTCTTTCTTTCTTTTTTTTTTTTTTTTTTTTCTCTTCCGAGGAATCAGCACAACTTTACGGAAAGTCACTACATTGAAAAACGGATTGAGCTAGTAAATCCAGCGCGCCACAACGGGACTTTTTGCTCCGGTCAGTATTGTATCGGGATATAGTGAATTTGATGTAGCGGTTGAAAGAATGTGTCGTCGAAAGGTTGGGTACCTAGAGGTAAGTTCTTGGTTGGCTTTAGTTGCAAGGTGCGAGCGAGAAGGTACTTGAATTCATAAAACACATTGTTCAGATTGATGCTTCGGTCCCACCATTATCTCTATCGGCGTTATTATGGGATGCTACAAGACTATTGAATGGCCGTCAAAGCTTGTGTTGTGGGCATGTCTCGTTGTTCGATGTGATAGCGTCTGTTGACTTGGCAAAGTGGACAATGAACACAGGTAGCTGAGGATACCGCTATCAACCGAGAAACAAATTGTGGCACACAGCCGAGGTTTTGCACGTCCGACCACTCTATATGGTATGGCCCCATGGAAGCCACAAACAGTACCAACAGCAGAAGAAAAATCGTCCAGCATGTTGAGCAAGTCTGTTGGCAAGTTTCCCAAGATCTCAAGGTGAAGTAACGTAGCGTCCTAATTCCGATCACGTCGTGACTGGGAGAAGGAAGTACCGGCGGCGGTTTGGCGTCCATCAAGATCTTCATCTCCCCCAAGGCTGTCCCATGTTGCAATAATCGACAGCCTGTTCACCAGCACACGACCAGCCTGCCACCAAGCACTTTAAAATGCCACCCGAAAACGGAATGGGAGTCACGTTGCGGACGAATTGGATTTTTGGGACTCGTGGCCAGGGCAAAAGGGGCACCGAGGGTCCGAACTCTATTACGAAAAAAAAGACAAGCCGCTATCCTACTTTTTTCTCAATGGTTCCTGCAAATGTGGCCTGACTTGCACAGTAAAGAAGGAGATGGAAAATGTTATGCCTTGTTTTTGACGGCGCCCAACGCCGCCATGTGAGATGTGCAATCACCTTACCACTTGGGACCCCTGAACTCACAACTAAGACATTTGTGGCACCCATTTTTGGAGCTTGGAAGGAGCTGAGGACTGAGGTACCTACCACCCTTCTGTGTAAGCGGCAGCTCACACGAGCTGTGTGTGTACATACTACAGGTACTTAGCGTCGAGATTGGCCCGAGCCAGTTAGTGAAATCCGTGCAATGTACCCAAAATCGCTAACATTGAAATTGGGGTAACGATGTGGAAGCAACCTGCCTGCTCTTTTCATTGTTCCTTTTCATCCTTCCACTTCCCCCGCTTCTGCCACTGCAGGAAAGGCTACCAGGAACTGACGTATCATTTCGGGGTCCCTCCATTCTGGATCTTTCATCGTTTCCTTTTGTAATCGCCAATGAACCATCAATTCCGATACCTCAGTGTCTAGTGACAACCTCGCAGTCTTTGATCATCGTTTTGCAGTTGAGTCAGATCGTTCAGGTGGTTCAGCTCGGCGCCAGCGGCTAGGAAGTTTGACAAAGCCCGATATCATAGGGCGTCATCATACTCGAGGCACGCGATATATAGAGGTAGGTATTACTGCAGTGGTCTTAATACGTAAAAGTACCTATACAATTCAATCTGTGCCTTTTGGTTACCTTTGAGGTACCGTGGCTGCCCTGCGTGGTCCGTAGTGTACCAGGGAGCCCGACTAGGCGCTCCACCCCACCGGCGCCAGAATTCCACACGGAACCTGGAACCTCTGGGCCAAACCCACCACGCGACCATGCGAGGGGTAAAGCTAAACATTGTGCAGTTAGAACCTCGAGGCATGACGGGAGGAGGGTCTTGCTGCCCTGGGAAGGAGGACCCTTTTTCGCTTTTTCTTCATCATCTTCCGTCTCGTTGAGGTTGTCCGGGCATGCTGCCCATCTCCCACGCCAGGCATCTGGTATCAGGTCCATATGATCTCTCTTCAAGTTCTGTCCCAACCTCAGCACCTCAGCTGTTGACTGCCCGTGCCCTTTTCAGGTTCCTGTGCGAGTTCCTCTATTCAAACCTAACGTCACATTGAACCCTCAAGACCAAGCACTTCCCGTCACCTCGTTCGTCATTGAGCACACTTTCTCTCTGCCTCTGACCTTTCCCAACCTGCACACCACCACCAATCCAATCCAACATCAACATCAACATCAACATCGACCACGCTCCTCGAAACAACTTGACATATTTAACCCAGAAACGTCAAGGCTGTGTTGCCTCATCAACCTCCAACTAACTGCCCGTTGTTGTCCGACGACAAAGCCAAAGCCCCTCCCAAGTGTACCCCCGCCGTTGCCCTCGTTGCCCTGCTCGTTGTTGCCCATTGGTCTGCGTTCCGGTGGGATCGTCGCCCAGGACCTAGCCGCTGAACGGGTTCTCGTCGCCTCCATTAAAAAAGTGACCCTCTTATTTTTTTCTGGTGCTGCCTTTTCCAGCATCTGCTCTGAACCCTTCTTCCACCTCAGTGTGCTTGTCGCCGTTATACTAAGAAGCTGGGCCCCACCCTCACTCCGCACCTCCTCGCTGTCTCCGGTGACGCGCGCAAATAGGAATCTCGAAAATCTCACCCCTGTCAACGCCGTCTCCTCTCGCAATCTGCTGTCGCTAGTCCGTCCGTCAGACGCCGCCCGCCTCTTGTCCAGCCCGCTCGCCGTCCCTTTGACGGCCTGTACATGTAAGTTTCTCCTGTGTTACGCCGCCCGTTTTCGACAAAACATCCGCACTCCCATCATCTTCGTCACCGTGCTGTCTCTTCAGTTTCCATTGTACCTCGAAACTGACCTCGACCCCGTCGTGTAAGCCTTCCCTCTTCGAGCCTCTTCTCCATCCGCATTTCTGTATTCTGCATCTTCCCCGCGCCCCCGATCCCTCCCCGTTCCAGATCAGCAGACGCCCGGGTCCCCTCTTCACAAGGTTCGTGCCACATACAGTCCCCAGGCATTACATTACACACATGCACAATTTCCACCTTGGTGTGTTCACACACGAGTCGCGAGCACTTTTCAGCTCGGGGTGAGAAGAAAGAAGAAAATAAGGCCCTCCCTTTCCCCCCATTCCCCCCCCCCCCTCCCCCCTATCCGGTCTTGTCCGGGTTGAACTCCTCTCCCAAACTTTTTTTTTTTCTCTGGTTCCATTACGTCAACGCGCTTTGCATTGCATTCGGTTTCCGCAGCCCACCATGCATTCACATTACGATGACGATAGGGTTCGTCGACATGGTGCAGCTTTGGGTCTACTCCTCTTTCCGATCTGCAACTAACCACGAGCGCAAATACACAGGAAGATCAAGACATAATGCCGGATTTCGGAGAGCACGTCGACAATGGGATCTTTGAACAGATCCTAGAGATGGACGATGACGACAAGCGCGAGTTCAGCAAGTCCTTGGTCACCAACTTCTTTGACCAAGCTGAGGAGACCTTTGTCAAGATTGAGGAGGTTTTGTAAGTGCTCTGGGCCGGATCAGGGCCGCACTGTCCTCTTTCGGCGCCTCTCATGCTGTGCGAGCTTGACTTGATGCTTCTAGAGGACCCGCGGAGCTAATACGAGGGTTGCTTGATCAGGAACAATGAGAAGCTCGACAACGGCAAGAGGCTCGAAACGCTGTCGAGTCTGGGCCATTTCTTGAAGGGTTCTTCAGCCACCCTCGGTTTCAACAAGATCAGGGATTCGTGCCAAATCATCCAACAATACGGTCACAAGCTCACTGTCGATGGAGCTGCGGAGCCCAACGAACAAGTTTGCCTGGAGAAGATTCAGGCTGCCCTCAAGACAGCCAGGAACGACAAAAACGTGCTGGCGGACATGATGTTGAACGAAACACACGGCTTCTTCCAGCCAGATGACGAATAGTGGGATTCAGGATGATTCACAACACTTCCCTCTGGTTTGCCGTGCTCGTATCTGGCGCTTTCTTGGGCGACGAAGGCAAGCATGCCTGCCTGCCTGCCTGCCTACGTTGGAACAGCTTCGGCGACACAACAGTATGGCACTCTTCCGGGCGAGTAGGTCGAGATGTCAGGGCGCGGGAGGAAAACAAAAGGTACAGCAGTCTAGAAGACGCGAATCGGAATAGAATTCAGGGGCCATTTAGATCCAGCCATTCCGCAGGGCTTGGAGCTATGGGAGCCATGATCACTACACGTGGGCATTGCGCACCGACGGCGTTCTGCGAATCAGACGCACGGCTCTGGCTCATGGGGGCGCTGAAAAGGGCATTGTGGGATGTTTACGGGAAGGCTTCGAGACATAGCAGGCTTACCATCCCGAGGTATAGGTGGGAAAGATATTCCAGCATGGTCTCTGTTTCGGACCCTTTTGCTTGTTAGAATATCGGGATGTTCGATACGTTATTTGTCGCTTGGTGGATCAGGGAGGTAGTCACGGTTCCTTAAAGACAAGAGTAGCCTTTGTTAGTAGCGCTTTCCCGGGTATCGGATCCGGTTCATACAGATAGTACATATCATGTAACATCCTCAAGTTGTCCTGTCCGTCAGGGGTAGTGGTTGGGCTAACTGTTTGAGTTCGTTCTTGTGATAAGGGAAAAAGGCAAGGTCTAAGACATTATGGCTCGGAGACTTCCGGTAAAAATGGTTGGCTCGAAAACGCACGGGCCTCAACTCCGTTTATTCTCGACATGGAAGAAACGCCACCAGCGACAAGACGGAGCTCCGGCTGATTGTCCACCGGCCGGCAATGAAATCAACTTCATCGAACACCGAACCCAGATCTACACCAGTTCGCCGACCAATCTAACGTCCACATCCACGACCGGATATTGATGGACACTCAAACAAAATCAATCATTAATTCTTCCAACTCGCTTCCTGATTTACTTTTTTAGTCATACCGAGCCCTGGACTTTTACCATACCAGATCACTGTTCCAACCAGGAGATAGCCCAGGTGTCTAACTAATCACCCACTACCAAAATGGAAGAGTCAAAGAGACAGCCACAACCAGCAGTCCCAGCCGCGTCTACATTATCATCATCATCATCACCACCATCAAAACTAGCACCACCTCAGGAGCAAGAGCAACAGCCTGCGGGCGACGATACAGCCAAGTCCAAAGGCAAAGGTGGAGGAAAAGGCAACAACGACAACACTGAAAATAACCAAAACAAGAAACCCAACAAAATGCCACCGAAACCACCCCCAACCCACTTCCTCTGCATCCCCCTCGTCACCACGGCCTCCCGGCCCCATCTCACACGCAGCCTAGCCGCCTTCAGGGAGGAAGTGACGGCGCCCAACCCTTCCAGCGCATACGGAGCGCTGCCGGTGCCCGAGCAAGCCATCAGGCCTGTGGGAACTGTGCATTTGACGTTGGGGGTTATGAGTTTTTTGGAGCCCAAGGTTGGGAAACCGGCTAGACAGAGACAGGGGCAGGGGCAGCAACCTCAAGGAGGAGGAGGAGAAGCTGGTGGCGGGATGGGGGGTAGTGGAATGGGGGAAAGAAACGGGCCGCAAAAAGATTGCGGGAGTAGGAACAGGAGCAGAAGTAGGAGTGGCGGTGATGAGGAACAGCCGGAACCAAGTGGAAGTGGAAAAAGTGAAAGTTTGAGTGGCTTGAGGAAGTTGGAGGAGGCCAAGGCTTTGCTGAAGAGCTTGAAGCTGAAAGAGATTTGGCAAGGGGTATTGAGGGAGTCACAGACGCAGGCGACAGCGGTGCCTGTGCCGCGGGATGTTGAAAACGGTAATGGTGGTGGTGCGCCTATTGCTATTGGGACGGCAGAAGTTCCAGACGAGGGGCTGGAGGCCGGGATGGGGACGGTTGTTAGGGACGTCCAACCTCGATCTCTGTCTGAAACGGAGATGAAGGAGGAGGAACATCCGAAGATCACGTTAAGGGGTCTTCACTCGATGCAATCGCCTTCCAAGGCAGCGGTACTCTACGCCCCGCCTGTTGACCCACTAGGCCACCTCCAGCGCTTTTGCGAGGAAGTTAAAGCCGAGTTCGTCCAGAGGGGGTTAATGGTGGAGGAAGGCGGGAGACCGCTTTTGTTGCATGCTACGGTGGTTAATACGATTTACGTCAAGGGGCGGGATCAACAGCAAGCAGCGGGCAACAGAGGAGGAAAGAAGGGAGGCCATGGCCACCATGGTCATCATGGTCACCACGGTCACCACGGTCATAGAAGAGGAGGGGGAAACAAAAGGGAAAGACTGACGATAGACGCGAGGGAGATTCTGGAGAGGTATGAGGAGTATACATGGATGGAGGGCGTCAAGGTGGAAAAGGTGGCTATTTGCAAGATGGGGGCGAAGAAGGAGATGGTTGATGGGGTGGTGGTTGACGAGGCTTATGAGGTTGAGGAGGAGATCGAGTTTTGAAAACATCGGGCTTTAGAGATTGATGAACCACAATTATATACTAGTCAAAAGAAAGAGATGTACTGGCAATCGGTATTCCTCGATCCAGTCCGACAAAGGCCCGAGGGATCCACGAGCCACGCTAACTCGTCTTGTGCGAGAGAGACGGATGGAATGAAGCGAAAAAGATGTAGCCGTAGATCTCCCGTTAGGCTATCGTACTTACATGTACACTACGTATCGTGCTTGGGCTCTTCTTCCCACGGTTGTATCTACTGTGTGTAAGCTCCGAAGCTGTACATTGTACGTACAAGTACATACATACATACACTACACTACATGTTCGGCCTGAGGAGAGGGGCAGAGGGGCTTCCATGGGTCAACCCCTGAATGCCATGTTTTGTTCAACGGAGCTGCCCGCCGAACGTTGCTGAAGGCACAGCAACGAATAGACCATGATCCCTGTCAGGTCCTGTCCCATTCATTGAAGGGCCCCGCTTTTTTGGAAGGAGTGCCGAAGCCGTAAAGTGGCAGGCAGGATTGACAGGGGTTAGAGGACCACGGGACTTGTTAACGGCAGGCGTGAACCGTTGACGCAGAGCTGAAGCTAACCGAACCAGCTGATGAACAGAACTCTTCTGGTGGGAAAGAGTGACTTGACGTTATGAATTGATTGTTTAGGAGGGGCAGGCACAAGGAAGGCTGCTATACTGGGATTCAGGCCGCTGAGTGCGATATTTGGACCTCGGCTCTCTAGGCAACAACAATCGCCCACATTGGCCTCAACAGCAAACGCGACTACGACGACGACAAAAACAATAACATCTTACAACGAGACATTGCAGATCAGCATGTCGCGTAACGAGCAAAGCAAAAGTCAGAGCGCGTTCTTTTTTGTTTCCGCGTTACGGTAATTACTCGAGCGTGTCTCTGTCCACACAAAGTTACTGTGTACACCATCAAGATGCCTCGCAAGACTCTGGGAACCCCGGAGAAACACCGCGTTTCTTCAGAAAGTCCTCGCAGTCCTTCCTTCATGCGCAGTCTACGGAATGCCGGCTCTCCGTCAACATCGCCGTCAAGAAACGCTACTCGTAGTCCACGACCGGGTAGCTTGGCTCAAGCCATAGCTCCGCCGGCGCGAGCATCACTGTCTCCTTGTCCTTCTCCCGATGCCCTCGGTAGTAACACAAGCACGCCGCGCGGGACTAGATTCATGGTTACGGAGGGAGGTACCACTACGGATACAAACACAACTACAGCTACAACAGACCCCTCCAGCTCCAGTTCAAGCATGAGAACCTCGCCCTCGCCTATACCCGCACCAAGATCAACAACACCTACACCCACAACAACCGAAGACCTCCTCAAGCAAAAAGACGACCGCATAGCCCACCTCGAGCTCTCGTACCAACGGACCCTCGACGCTCTCACCAACGCCTCCTCCTCACTCTCCTCCTTCTCCTCGCTGACATCCACCACCGCCCACGAGCTACGCCTTCTACGGCTGGAAGCCGACGCCCTCCGCGCCGAGCGCGACGAGCTCCGCTCTGACTGGAACGCCGCTCAGCAGAGCTTACGCGAGCGTGAGAACGAGATCCGCGACCTGCGACGGCAGATGCGCGGGCTGAAGGAGTGGGTGAGCAATAGCACGCGGGCGGAAGCGACAGGGGCGGCGCAGCAGGTTAGTGATGAGGTGCTTGGGGCCGCCATGGCGAAGCTTGGAAATGAGTTGCAAAATTGGGTCTTGGTGAATTTCAGGAGGGCCAAGGTCAAGACTGAAGGGTTGGAAGGGGGGCGGATGGAGGAGTTGGAGAAGGTGGTGCCCATGTTTGAGGAGATATTAGGGATGGGTGGCAAGATACACTTGATACAGAGTGTGGTGTCGAGGTTGTTGGTAGAGATGGTATTTCGGGCTTATTTTGTTGGGTTGACCGGAGAGCAGGAGCGAGTGGTTAGGGAGGCAGAGGGGATGCTTGGGGCTATCGGTATGGTACATTACATGCACCCTTGGAGATGGGATTGAAACTGACCTCTTTGGCTTACCCAGTGTCAACACCCGAGTCTATCAACCAGTGGCGCGCCTTGACTCTTTCCACCCTGAAACGGGAAGCCGACCAGAAGCTACAAGCCGAGACAGCCGCCATTATCGACGCCTTCGTCAACAAAACCAATAATCTACTAGATGACATCACGCAAGTCGATACCAAAGCTATTGAGGCACGGAATCAGGGGCTGAGACATCTTGTCAACGGTGCGATCGACATGTCACGGCTTCTCGTCGTCCAGAAAGCCATATTCAAGGTCAACATGCCTGAAATCCTGCCACATCAACGAGTGCTTTTCGATGCAGCCACGATGGAAGACATCGGTGGCGAAGACGAGGAGAGCTTGTCGGATAGGGAAATTTGCTGCGTCACGTTTCCAGGAATCATCAAACAGGGCGACGAAAGCGGTGGGCAGCTCCAATGGACCAATGTCATCGCCAAAGCCAGGGTGCTTTGCAGTCCGGAAGAGTGAAGCAATGCTTGAACGACCGATTCGATAATTTCACACGATTTTCTTGTCTGCCGCTTCGTGGTTGACGAGCTTGCGGTCCCAGATGAAACGAGCTAAAGTTCGCGAACCAATCCGGCATCAAGATCAACAGATTAACAACTCCTGCTCGGTGCGATTACTGGCCGTGGTATAATGTTCTTCATATGTCGATTATTGGTTCTGGAAGGGACGTTGTGCAGGAGTTATTCCCGCGGCCCGGAACGAAGCGGTTACCAACCAATTCGGCACGTTGATGAGTTGATGCCCAACGTACCGAAGCCGACAGCCTAACTACATGGGGAAGAAATGCAAGCCCCGCGCCGTGGCGATAGTTTTCGTGTTGGGCACGAGCCGGCTATCTGGGGAAGAACCTCGCATCTCTTGGAGCTCGGAGAGATTCACGTCACACCTCAATCAGCTCCCTCTCAACTCAAGGCCATGTGGACGTCTCGCCCCCCAGAAGACGTGTCAGGTTACGCAGCGACTATCCCCACCGAAAACACATCTGACGGAAGTCCCAGAGATGAGGAACGCCATAAGTCTGTGAGATGTTCCTCTTCTCCGTAAACATCTGCCACTCAAGGACAGCAATAGCACCGCGTGTCCATCCGCATGAACATGGATTGAAGAGACGCAGGAGACATCTTCCACGCATGAAGAGGAGAACTATGATAACTGACGCACCAACCATCATTTTGTCAGAAGATGGGACTTATCAGCTTCATCATTTGATTTGGGCTAGCAGAGCCTCAATATCCATTTTTTCGCACAAGCAAATGCCCCTTAAGGCTAGCAACTGACATGGTTGGTGATGCAAAAGCCAGATGGTGGTTACTGATTATCACCAGGGGATCGCCATTTCGGCGTCGTGACATGCAATCCAGCTCTTCCGGGAAGCCCACGTCTTCCGAGTCCTTTGCGGTCTTCTTGGCATGACTACATACCATTCCGCTTTGCCCATTTCCCATCCATCCTTTTGTCTCTCTGCATCTCCGGGAGCTGACCCGGAGATGATCCCGTCCCCCACCGTTCACTTCTACTTGCCGAAAGCAGAAGAGGGTGGTCAGAATGGTATCGGAATAGGTTCTTCTTCGCAGTTCATGTGAAGGATATTCCTACGATGAAACCTTCTTCACCGGGTGAGCTGTTGACCTACACAAATGGATACCAAGCAAGGTTGTGAAGGATCGACTAAAGAGATGGCTGGGTTTCAACCTTTCCGCATATGCGACGTTTCTCGATATGCATTATCCATCTTATCTTGGGATTGACCGATGCCAAACAAAGTGGTCATGAGGAATCCGCAACACCGAGCCATGGGTCATAAGCACATCTATGCGAGTCGAAGATGCAAGCACTTAGAATCTCCTGGCGACGATGCTTACCCAACGCACTGGATAGCTTCGCGATTGGATTGACAAACTATCTTCACATGTTGGCTTTTTCTATGCTCAACACGGATTGGCTGGTAAAGCCGGATATGCAAGCCGACTGAAAGGTGCCACGTAGATATCTGTACGTGCTCCAGACGCAAAGGCGTGATCTCTTGTCGCATATGTCTGGCTTCCTCTGGGGATAGGGGTTCTTGAACCCATCGCAGAACATTCTATATAGAGGTTCACGACGTAGGTACGCTGCTACGTGTTCCACGATCCGAAGATGCGGCAGAGACAACAACGAGGGGGACAAGGGAAGGGAAGATACCCTGCCGAGCAAATGTTAACATCACTCATGGAATCCAATTGAATGGTCAACCAAACGAAAACGCAACAAAGGGGTTTCACACCCGCGTGGAGTTATGGGTACTTTGGATATGGCTGATAGGAGCTCCTTGATTTCACAATGTGAAATCAATATTCGGCAACTGTCTCCATCCCGTCGGTTATGCTACGCTGCTGCAGACATCCACTCAGTTCCTCGAACGAACGGGTCTGAACCTGCAGACTATTGTATGCTGCACTACCGCATTGCTTTTTCCAAAACCTGCATATCGTATGAAGCAGCAACGAAAGCCACATCATCTCAAGCCACCTCACCAAACATTCTTTTTTCTCCCCCTTGTTCGGCGTCCACTGCAGGTTCTCCGCACACCCACCATGTATCCCGTTCATTGACTAAGAAAAAGGCGAACAGGTGCTGTGTTGCAGAGCAGGTTGGGAGAAAGTCTTACAGGCTTTCATTTGGGTCGCATGCCGTCTCCGAGAAAGAGGGAGTAGGAGACGCATCGGCATCGCAAATCTTTTTCTCGCCGCGTTTCCATTCCGGGTATATGAAGGCCGGTTGATTAAACCTGGATAACCTTACTGTGTGCTCTTGGCAACTGTAACCCAATCTTCCTCCTGTCCTGTCTGTCGTCAGAGATGAGATGGAAAAGAAAGGGTATAACCGGCAAAGTCAAATGCGGATAACACGCCCGTCTGGCTGGCGCTGGCACGACATCACGTTTCATCGTGAAGTTGATCATTCCGCTCGAATGGAATCGCCCATCTGAGGTACACATGTTTGTCGCCAGTCAAGTGTTTGGTTTGATCATGGTTGCTGGGTAGGCATCCTGGAGAAAAAAAAAAGAAAAAAAAAGAGGTACACTAGAGAGCTAGTGCCAGGGGTACATCCGTCCCGAGTACCATTTGCCCCTTTCACCCCTCCTCCCGAAACTTATATTCCACTAGACAAAAGATGTGTTGTCTCTCTTCAAGAGGCCAGAAAACGCGCGAAACAACCGGGAAACCAACCAGCTCCCAAGATTTCAGTCGGGCAAAACGGGAGTCAACTCGACAAGGGGGAAGGATGGGGAAAAGGGCGGGGCAACAGCAAAATTTCGATTATCCAACTGGCCGTCCTGATCTAAGGAAGAGAAACAGAGGCCCGACCCGATAGTGATACACCCCACGGACTCGTGGTGGGTGTGTGGGCCGGCGAGGGAAGGGGGAGATATTCGAGTTTGACGTTGTGGACGCGCATTAGGCTCACTTGCCATACGCGGCTTGAGGAGGTGGTCATATGAGTGCAATCCAGGTAAAAGACGGGAAGTTTTCACATGGGAAACCGGGGAGAGGTGAGGAGACTGAAAGCTCGCGATATAACATCTCCATCGGCCCAATTTCCTCTTCCTTTTTCCATGGAAGAATGACTATTGCTTTCTCAACTTCCATCTAGGACATAATCCACAACGGACATCAAGTTCCCTTCGACTTCCAAGCTCCGGAGCTATATATTTCAGCTTCCACCGGCTGCTCAAGTCTTCCCAGAACGTCTCTTCGTCTTTTCGATGACACTTTTTCCTACTCCAAGATAACATAAACCCCGAATTCTTTTGACTTCCAGCTACTAGCTAGCAGCTCTTTCCTATCTCGATCCCATCAAGTGTCACTTGAAGCTTTCAAGGGCTTGTGGTACACAACTGCAATTCCCACCTACGGAAACACTCGATTCGCTAATGTAAGTGTTCCCGTTCTCAAGTGAGAACCATGCATATCCCCCCACTCTCTCTCTCTCGGCAATGGCACCTATACACAGTGCTGGCTACCACGATGGCCTTGTTGTGTACACCCCAAGTACTTGCCCCGACGCCTGTGCCCCAGAACAAGCTCTTAACATCCCCTCTTCTTTATTGTTTGCCTTTGCATCTCTGTCGAAGATGAGTTCCAGTCGCTCTTCTTCTCCCGGTGTCACCAACTTTGGTTTATCTATGAGAGTCCATGTTCTGACTTAACGACAGAGAACAAGTGATATCTTGATAGCCAGTTTCAACGGAACGTTTCACACGGCCTGGTTTCCAGATCTTGAAGGGACCCCCACGTTGGAGGAAGCAGATCACTTTCTTGCCCTTCCCTTTCCAAGACTTCCCCGCTGCCGCTTGTCCGGCTGACCTTCGTCGCCATCCCACTCTGGTCAACCCCGCGATGCCTTATCATACCTCAGCAGAGCACATAGAGGACTACTCCAGGAGCTACAGCCCTGGACAGAGAAGACAGTCCTCATATGACAGGTACTACGATGACGACGACTCGTCCGTCACCGATTCCAATTACACCACATCCACTGCACCCTCAAGACGATCGTCCACGGACCTCACCGTCCCAACTCGCGCTCCTGACCATTCCCCTTGGGTAGGAATCAACGAGCCCTCCGGCCCCGAGCCAGACTCCCACGAACTATGGTGCGAGTTCTGCGGCATTCTAAACTGCGACGAAGAATTTCACATCGGCGAGGAGAACCTCTGGATCGACCACCACCTGCACCACCTGAGCCACCAATTGCCCAGCAGGTTGGTCTGCTGGTTCTGCAACGACTACGACTTCACCGTCGACGAGCGCGCCGATAGAACCGAGCGCCAGCAGAACTTCCTCCGACGCATGTGGCACATCCGCGAGCACATCTTTGACGACCCTCGCCTGACTTGGGAGCGCATGCGTCCGGATTTCTTCATGGCCGCGCACTTGTACCGCCTTGGCAGGATTGGAGATGAGGTGTACGAGGATATCAGGAACTACACGGAGCTGCCGCCGCAGTTGAGGATTCCCGGAACGCCGGGGTCGGTGTCATATGATAGGTACCACCAACATGGCCAAAGCCAGAGTCGGCAAAGCGGACCACTTGGCCCGCTGACTCCGCCGGATAATGATGATGGGTGGTATCGATCGCCACAGGAGTTGGCGCGTCAAGAGCGCAGGAGACGGAGGTCGGAACGCCACCGTCCTTGAAAGGAAGGAACAAAAAAACGGTTCCATGACTCAAAGGAAAGAGAGATGTTACTCTTGACCTCTTCTCTTGCTTTTGGTCGTTGGCCGTTGTCAGTCAGTCGGTCAGTCGCTCGCTGACTCAGTTGCTCATCCGGTCAATCTTCTTCGGGGCGGTTTTGTCTTTATCTTCGTCTGGGCAGGTCCATCGTCGAGCCAAAACACGGAGGAAGATTCGTTTGAAAAACTCCGATACCCCTTTCATTCTTCCCTCTCTCTCATCTTCTATTCTTTCGTCCTTGGTTTCGTTTCGTCGTTCCCCAAGTTCGGATAGGGCCACCGACGTACACGTCATCATGTTCCCTGATTGATTGATGTCTGTCACGGGTGCTGCTTGCATTACACCTGCACCTGCGGACGGGGATGCGATGCACGATGCACACATCCGAGCAGCAAGCATGTGGATATCCGACGGGATGGGATATGAAGTATGGATCGGTGGGCTTGGTAGTTGGCTTTCGGGCTTGTTGCTTTTGAGCTTTGGGCTGTCGTCTTTCTTCCCTGTCTTCCTCTTTTTGCTGTTTCTCGCGTATTGATGATGATGATTATGATTGATGACGACTGCTTTCCTTATCTTGTTATTGTCGTGTTTCGCGGCTTGATGGTTTATTATGATTGAGAAAATCGATCGGCTGGCTGAGAGGATTCGTGACCTCTATCTGTTTCTGTCGAGACTTTTAATACATTTTCTTTTGGATGATGATGACTGATAATGATGATGAAGTTGATGACGGCGGAATTTTTTTGGCTTTGGCTTTTCGTACTGGTATTGACGGCGGGCGGGTCTTGAGGGATTGTCAACATAGTCGATCGCTCATGAAGCAATCAATTTTCTTTAACTTCACGGTTTGGGTTCGAGTGATGCGTGAACTTTGTTGTTGGATGCTGAGTGTATCATCCTCATGCCCCGCTGTACAACCGGTGATGCTGGGTAGAACAAGAGGAGTAAGAAAGAGCGGGCATCACTCATCAGTGAAGAAAAAGGCCGTCGGACAGTGACATCCCACTTGCCAGATCGGACATTAGAGAACTTTAGGCAGACAGGCCGACGGGCGGCGGCCGAACCATGTGGTAGGTTGCTCCTTAACTCTTGCGTTGAAGACCATGATGAGGCCAAGTAAACTACCAAGTGGGAATGAATTCGACAGCAAAGGCTTTTTTATCGCCTTCAAAAGAAAGAAAAGCGAACAAAAAACGAACATTGCACAGAAGCGAACCCAAGTGATGAGGCTCACTCACATGTTTACACCCCTTACCCACGCCCGCGCACCGTTCGTTATTGTTGGCGGCACTAGTCTGGTTGCCTTGCGGCCGCCTCGTTTCTTTGTTGAAAATATGTACATAGTTGTTCGCCCATGCCATGCCATGCTACCTCACCGCATCCATCAACAACGAATAGGATGCTTTCTATGATTCCCCTCCGATTTGTTTGATTTGTCCCAAATTTTTTTTTTTTTTTTTTCATTTTCTTTTTTTTTTCATTTGAGCCTCCTTCCCTGTTTCAATCGGGCAACGGACGGCGGGTCGATCGTGCTGGCAATGCCTCCTTTTCTTCTGTGCCGTGACTAGTGTTGTAATCCTCTTTGGTGATAGGGGCACGGGAGTGTGGCTGTGCATGCAACGGAAACCTGAGGGTTGGTTACCCGCCCCATTCCGCTCACCGAAATTTGTATGTACATGGTGTACGGAGATGATACATAACTGTCCAATGAGCACCAAGTCAAGGGTAGATGTCGGTTGTCGGGTAAAGTTTTGTAAAAAGGAAGATGAAGTGGCTGTGTGGTGGTGGTGTTGGTGGTGGTTGACATGGTGCGTTAGGGGAGTAACATCTTCTGGAAAGCCTGTCAAGAACGAGGAGGGGCAAAGCCTGCCTTGGATTTTGCATATACTCAAGGTCTAAATGGTATCCTTAAAAAAATGAAGAAGATATATAAATACAAAGAAGTTGAATTGTAAGTCTTGAGTCATATCGCATAAAGCGTCCATCATTAACATCCCATCCTCCTTGATACTCCAACTCAAACAGAAACAAAACCTACTACACCTTCCCAGCAGCATCCCCTCGTCCCATAATCCCCCCTTCCCTCTCTCGTTCCTTATTCCACCTCTTCTCCCTCTCACCCTCCCCAAGCTGCTGCCCGCTAACCACCTCATTCATCCGCTCCGCATCCCCATGATACATCTCCGCACTAGGCGCCGTCGGCCTCATTCCCTTTCCATTCTTTCCCCTATGGAAGAACCACAAGCTCTGATCCGCCCCATACCTGACCAACTTCTTCAACGGCACATCAAACACGTGATCGAGCTCCTCCAGCGTCTTGCCCTTGGTCTCGGGGACCAAGAACAGGGTAAAGAGAAACCCAATGATATTCCACCCTGCATACCAGCCAAACGCGCCCTGCGGCTTGAAGGCCGTGACCATTCTAGGCCAGGTAATGGACAGAATAAAATTGAAGAACCAGGTCGTCGCCGTGGCGAGGGACATGCCGATTGGCCGGATGTACAGCGGGTAGGCTTCGGCCGAGTAAGTGAACGGCACCGGCCCTTCGCCTGGGGAGTAGACCATGCCGAACAAGTAAATGCCCAGCGCAATGCAGCCGATGTGGGCTTTGGAGTCCTCGGGGATCCAGAAGCTAAAGCCGGTGAAGAAGAGGAAAAGGGACATGAGCGGGAAGGTGGTCAGCAGCAGGTTGCGCCGGCCGAAAGTGTCGATGGTGTACATGGCCGGGATGGCAAACAGCCAGTTGACGACACCAAACCCGAGCGAGGCGGCCAGCGCCGACACGTCGCTGAAGCCGGCATCTCGGAAGACTGCCGAGGAGTAGTAGGCGATGATGTTGACGCCGCAGAACTGCTGCATGAACATGAGTCCCGACGAGGCGATGACAGCGTTGCGGTTGCGCCGCACGGTGAAGAGCTCCTTCAAGCGGTTGCCCTTTTTGACGCCCGACATGGCTTGCTTCTCGGCTTCTAGGAGGGTGTGGGTGTAGAAGAGGTCGCGGGCGGCTTGGACCTTTTCGAAGCGCAGGCGGCAGAGCGCCCCAAAGGCGTCTTGGTGTCGGCCCTTGCTGAGGTACCAACGGGGCGACTCCGGGCAGAGGAAGGCGAGGCAGACGACGATGACGGCGGGGATCATGGCGGAGCCCATCATCAGACGCCAGTTCAGACCTAAGCCGATGCCGTGATCGGGAACGAAGTAGAAAGCGAGATCGGCAATGTAGCCGACCATGATGCCGAAGGCGGTCCACATCTGCCATTGCATGACCAGCGCACCGCGGAGCTTGGGAGGGGAGCATTCGGCGGCGAAGATGGGGGTGGTGGCTGACTTGGGACCGATGCCGAGGCCGAGATAGAAGCGGGCAATGAACATGTGCCACCAGGTGTTGGTAAAGGCCTGGTGGAAGCAGGCTACGGCTGAGATGATGCAAGAAACAAAGATGGTGCCTCGTCTGCCAAAAATTCTGTTCATCGGTTCGGTGAGCCAGCAGCCGATAAAGGCACAGCAAAGGTAGGGAGCTGAGTTGACGAGACCCAGAAGCCAGGTGTCTCTCTGGCTATCGGTACCAATGCCAAACTTGTCCTTGTAGAAGAGCTGGGCACCGTTGACGACTGTCTCGTCCATTCCTTGGACGGCGGCGCACAGAGAGCAGACTTGAAGGATGAGTGTTAGCATTATACTGCTTCACTCTTTGATCATTTGGAGGATTACATACTAACAACAACCCAGTAAAGCATGGGTGGGTTAGACCACTTGTGAGTTGTTTCGCGCACCAACACCTCTTTCTCCCGTTCAGTAAGCTCCGGGATGAGGTCGTAGTTGCTCTCATCGCCGGCGATCCTGGCTCCGAGTCGAAAGGCCCTGATGTCCTCCTCGCTGGTGAGACCGGCCATCATTGCATATTCTTCTCCCATGGCCTCGAGACGCTGAGGGCTCAGACCAGCCAAAGGATTCGCTATCTTTTTTGAAGCCTCTAATCGAGCGTTCTGGTTAAAAGTGCCGGTGCGGTCTGCGTGTTCCGCAAACGCGGTTCCCGAGACGGATTCGGACGATGTTGAACGGCGGTCATGCTTCTTCTCGTTGAGGCCACCCGTAGGGGCTGCGGCTTTTGTTGGGTTCGACGCCATCTTGGGTAGGGTGTTGTTCTGTCTCTCACTGGAGACACTTGGGAGTCTGAACCTATGGCAAGAACATCAAGGCAAGTGAGAAGGGAAAATGGGTTGAAGTGTCAACTCCTGGATGCTGGGCGCCATGGCTTGGCTGTATATGATACATATATATATGCATATCTCCATGGCATCCGAAGCGATGTCCGCTCGGGCTGCCAGGGACCTGTGCTTGGCCACGGCTATTACCACTTGACAAATCCAAAAGCCGAGAGATGACACAGATGTAAGCCCAAATTCGGACCGGCCAAGGCCAGCCATGAGGGAATTATCCGGGGTAATCCGGGGTGATTCGCGATCGACGTCACTTTTCCCGGATCTCACAACGTCGGGGGCCTTTTTCCTTGGGTGTCGGCGGCTTTGAAGGTGGTGATCGTTGTGCTTATCGAGCCTGATTCAGGCTGTCGCTCCGTGTGTGCAGCGGGACTACTGTGTAACGTTGTGGTGAGATTGCTGATCGGCAAAGAAGCAGCCAGGTTGGGTGGTAAAAGTCAAGCTTTGCGAGGCCTCGGAATGCCTTCATTGGTAACATGACGTCGATCGTCCGGGGAACAGAAAGAAAAAAAAGTTGGAGAAAGTCAGCAAAAAGTCTGGGGTTTGGGGTTTGGGGGAGGGTGGGGGTCAACTGGGGACCTATGCTACCCTACACGGGGTTAAGCACGGCAATAACACATGGGCGTGTGATCGCAACCTGATTCTGTTAAGGCGCTGCTGCTTGATCTAACCCAATCCGGCAACATGTTTTGACTTGGTTTCCCCCTTGTTTTGTCCATGACTCGTTCAATTCATGCTCATCACTTGTGACACGGTTGAAATAACCAGATTTGTTTGTTTGTTTGTTTTTTGGACAGACGCCTTTTGTATTCCTAGATTCCTACGTTTACTTCCTCGTGAGATTCCTACGCAACACCAAACCAAGGGGCAGCCACTGTCGTGTCAGGCTGCACGCGCCACGCAGCCCCCCCTCCTCCTCCTACCAATCCCCAAAAATCCAACACTTCCATCCCCATATCCCATTCCTCAATCCATCCCCAACTTCCCCCTAAAAAGGCGGTCCACTCTGCCAAGTAACAGCCTTGAACGGATACCAAGGTCCCTCATCAGCCCTCACCCCATACCTTCCTCCATGTCCCCCATACCCTCCATACCCTCCATACCCACCACCACCACCGTGATAAACAGGATAAGGCTGCGGCACCGGCACATGCACAGGCACATGCACCGGATACGGCGCCGGAACATTGACCCTCACAGGCACCTCGACCGGAACTCGAACGGGGACTTTGTAAGGAACTTCGACGCGAACAGGCACTTCGACTTCGACTTCGCGGATCTCGCGCACGGGGATCTCGTGGTAGATGGGGACTTCGCGGTAGATGCGTTCCGGACGGGTCTTTGCGGGACCACAGCCGGGTCGGGGACGGGGTCGGTAAGTGGCTTTGGGTTTGGGTTTGGACGAGTGGCAGATTTGTTGACTGCTGGCGGGAGGGTGGCATGTTGGAGCTGGAGCTGGATGAGGTGATGGGAACGAAATGGCTGGGTGGCCGGGTGGCAGATGGGGGTAGTACGTTGTTGGCTTTGGCTTGGGTGGTTTACATTTTGCAACAACGGGTGTTTTGGGTCGTGGTCGTGAATGGCAGGATGTCGGAATTGGGTGCGGCGGGAATAGGCAGCTATAGTCTTCGAACTTGGTGTGACATTTGGTGACGGCTGGCGGTCTCTTGCAGGAGAGGGCGGCCGAAGAACGCTTTCTTTTGGGGTGCTTGGTTCCAGAGGTGAAGTGCACGTGGAGATTGTCGGGTTTGCGGTCTTGGGATGACGATGAGGTTTGGGGATTATCTGATGGGCGACGACGACGGGACCTTGATCTGGATCTGGATCGGGACCGGACCACGGTAGTCACTCGTTGAATTCCGGGTGATGCACCCTGGGATGTGCTCCGGATTTCCACTCGGCTTGAGGAACGTCGCTCCATGCTTCGTCCTCGCTCCGCATCAGCATCGTCATCGCTACCGCCGCCTCTTAGTCGATATCCTTGATACTCGGCTCTCCTTCGTTCCCGGACTCTGTCTTGATTAGATCGTCTCTGCCTTTGTGCCCTTTCCTCCCTCAGTCTCTCTAGCGAGTCGCTTCGATCTACCACCCGCCCCGGTGTCCCAAACTCAGCTGCCATCAGAGCCCGTCTCACTCTTGCTTCCATCGCGGTGTCCATAAACTCTGGGAAGAGAGATCTGTCTAGATGGCCGGGTAGCAACCCTTCTCCTCCTCTTGCTCCCCACCTATTCAGGTTGTCCATCGGCGCGGTGATCTGATTACTCCTGAATACATTCGAGAGGAACTGATGCTGGCTATCAGGGTAGCTGAGGATCAACTTGATCAGGAACTCGGCAAAACCTCTGGGTGTGAGGCATGGAGATGGCAAAGCGGCGGTGGTCCGCGGTAGAGTGCGAAGACGGTATTCAACGTCGAGGTCGTCATAAAGTCTTTGGACCCGAGTTATGGATTCATCACTGGTCTCATTTCTGAAGACATCTAATGCGCAAGGTCAGTAACTCATCAACATAGCCCACGAAACTCTCTATCCACTGTCAAACAATCGCCAACAGGGCGGGGATAGACACTCACCCCAATACCTCCACTCCTCGTCTTCCCTCGGCCCCATCATATAATACCTATCGAAAAACCTCCTCATCCTCCTCGGGCTGATGAGATCCTCTCTGTCCAACATCGTCGACCGGCCCCCAGGCATCTCACGAACCTAAGCAATCCTCGACGTTAGCACATTTACCGTATCAACCCGGCGCCTTCTCAACAACCTAACCCCCAATAACCAAGTCAAGAAGAAAAAAAAAAAGTAAAACTCACAACCCATCTCCCCAAAGCCGCCAACACCTCCCTCAACCTCTCCGTCGGCCTCTCCTCCGCATCAAACAACACCCCCCACGCCGCCCTAGGCATTTCGTCTGCGTCTGCGTCTACGTCTACGTCTTGGTATGCAGTGGTGGTAGTCACAGTAGTAGTGTTGTCGTCTTCGTCGTCGTCGTCAAAGCCCCGAAAATCTCTTCCTGCGCGCAGCCCGTTGCTGTTACTAGTGATGGTCCTGATGGCGATTCTCAATCTTCTGTCATTCACTTCGTCTTCGTTGTCGTCTTCGTCCTCTCCAACTCGCTCTTCCTCCCGCCGGAATCGTACCCTTTGAAAAGGCTGCCGAAGAAGAGCAGGGGACGGAGAGCGGTTTGGGTGGCGGATGAGTAGTCTCGGAGCAGGGAACCGTCTCGGAGCAGGGACGTATCTTGGGGCGGGGAGGTATCGGATACGACCGACTGGTGGGAAACCTAGAAAAGCTGGTGGTGGAGGAACTGGTGGCGGGGGTGGTGGTGATGGCGTACGGTTACGGTTACGGTTGGGGTAGAAATGGCGGACTCCGTGGTATAAGGTTACGCGGGTTTTTGTTCGCGGTTCCCTTGACCTTGATCTTGATCTTGACCTGATCCTGTCTCTTTCCTCCCTTCCGCCGCGTGGGCCCGCGATGTTGTATGCCAGGTCGTCGTCGTTGCCAAGGATGTCGAAGTCGTCGTCGTTACCGTCGAACGAGAAGGCGGTGGACAGGTATGATGACGATGATGGTGATGGAGGTAAGAAGGAAGAAGAGGAAGAGGAAGCGGAAGAAGAGAAATACTCAAAAGCAGATGGAGGGTCAGGTTCCTCGAAACTAACTCTTCTCCTCACTCTCAGTCTTAGTCTCGGTATCGCGTTTGGGATCGGGATTGGGGAAGACGGTCTAAATCTGGGTGAAGCTGTTCTAGATCCTGTACGAGACCCACGAGGAGGAGACCGAGCGTGGATGATGTCCAAAAAGCGATTTGGGTCGTTGCGGTGGATAGTGGTCCTTCTACCAAAGCCAGAGCCGGACATGATTGGAAAAGAGAGAAGAAAAGGAAAGGATCAGAACAACAAAAAGAGAAAGAGTACAAGAGGCACCAAAAAAAAAAAAAAAGGCAAACTTCCTGTGTCGGGAAGTGACCTGTGGGATTTTGCTTTTGTTTGGCTGGGTCCAGTCTTGGTTCCCGAGGAAAAAGGGGGGGCTGTGTATTGTGTGTTGTGTGTGTTGCGTGTGTGTGTGTTCCTGTGTCGAGGCGGGCCGATGAAAGACTATGTTTGTCACTACACAGCTTCAAGTCAGTCAGCCTTTGCACAACCCTCTTAGTCGGTGAGGTGGTGGGTGATAACTGCGGCTCAAACAGCACCACCAGCACTTGGAGAAATGGTGTTCTTTTCTGTTGAGTTGGAATGTTGTCTGTATGTTGTATGTTGTTCCGTGACGTGGTTGGTGTTTCTGGACATACCTCAAGTGTGTTTGTGGTTGGATGTTGAGGTTGTATTGTGTTGTGTATTGTGGTTCACGAAGGCAGGCGTGTTACGATTTTCTCTTGTGGTAGCTGCAAAGTGTTTTCCAGATCTGTATGTTTCTTCTTCTCTTTGACAGTAGAGAAATGGGAAAAGAAGAGATGGTTTGATGTTTAAATCCCTTTGCCCGCATCATTTTCCACTACCAAGCGTTGATCATGAAGAAGCCCAAAGAGATCATGACAAAATCGCCGTTTAGATACAGATGCATCACTCCCAGTAACTCGCTTTGAGAGAAGCATAAACCGACAAAAAACATTTACAGCCCGCTCCAACACTCATGGTAGGCTGGTGAGCAGGATGCACTTACACGACAGCAGCTGGCTAATGTATGGCTTATCGTCTGGCCGGTGACACATCTGTTTGCCATGGCTTCAAAGGACTAAGAGAGCAACACGACTGAAGGAATTCTATCAGTATCATGGAAAGGCGAATGTGCTGAGCCACATATGTACACGTCGTTAGTATGGCAGAAACTTTGTGCTATCCATCATGCCGCCTACCACGCCTTACCCATGAGACATCTTCCCGAACTCCGAGAGAGCTCTGCCTGTCAATTTGACCCCTTTGTTTGTTCTTTTCTGTGCACCGTTGTGCTACTGTTCGTCCGTGGTCACTCTTGAGGGACCATACTTACATGCCTATAGGACTGATTGGCGGGCTTAACTCAACGACCGCCTTGTCGTTCAAGAAATGGAATGACCTCAAGTGTCTCGCCATCTCGGTTTCACCACGCTGTATTCATCTTCAAGCAAGTACCGCAATTGTTGTGATGATCTGCCTTTACCATGGAGAAAGGTTAATCGAAGCTGGCAAGATGTTGTCAACCAGGATTTCGAGAATGCTGTCATGCATAAATATCAACGCTGGCATTTCTCGCATAAACTCTATCGCTACCTTGGGCGTTTTCCTCCTTTACCAAGATGACTATGTATGACTCCGCGACCATCTCGCTGAATATAGAATCTCTCATAGCAAGAGAAACGCAAAAACGTAAGATCCAGCTGGACTATTGACCATATTTCCGTTGTCAATCAAGAAAATCCTTTCCTCAACGACCCTTGTTTCGACACTCCCATTTTCTTCCAAGACTGGCAACGCCAATCAACTGAACCTGAACCAGCGTATATGATCTGGCATTTCCCATTTTGGGTACGGATAGGATGCGATCTTACAGCTCGTCCTCAGACTCGCCATCAAAAGAGTACGCATCATTGTCGTAATCATCCTCGCCATCTCTGAGGTAACGAGGGACTTCGGGCAATGTTTTGCGACCGGGCTAATGACAAAGAAGAAAATTGATGTTAGAAAACTTACAGCAAGACTATTCGGGTATGACTTACCAGCTTGACCCAATTACCCGACAGAGACTCCTTAATGCGATCAACCCTCCACGACTCCTCAGCTTCGAAAAACTCCGTAACAGTCGTGTGATCGGCAATGAGCTTGCGCTGAGCGGTTGGACGGTCGTTGTTCTCTTCGTCATCGTCTGGGGCAGCAGCAACCGAACCTGAATCTTCGGGGCCGAGAGTGGATTGTCCGTCAGTCAAGAGAGCGTCACTCGGGACATAACCTGCATTGCTTGAGGTCGAAACCGCAGTGTAGCTGTCGGAAAAGAAATCCTGAGCGCGCCAGGCATTGACACTGGGAGAGGAGCTATCTTGGTTCAACCGGGCCGCCAAAGCGCTGGTGGCGGCAAAGCCATTCTCGCTGCGCATATGGGGCGGTTGATTCTGGCTGCTGTAACCTGTACCGGCCTCCGAATACCTCGAAGAGTAAACAGACTGGCTGCCAGTGATAGCACCCGAGACAGTGCTTCCGGCACCATAGGCAGCAGAGAGAACAGACTGATCGTCGCGGTAGAGGGAATCATCATCATCCTCCTCGTCCTCGTCTTCATAAGCCAGAGCAGCAACCAATCTGGCCTTGCGGCGGAGGCGAGCGCGAGCAAGCTCCTCCTTCTCTGCAGTGGTCAAAAGAGTGTTTGGAGCAGGAACAGTAGCATGAGGCTGGAGGTATAGCTGATGCTGAGTGCAATCAATGCACTTGTAGGTGCGCAGCCTTCTGGAATTCTTGCTGAACTTCTCCAAGGGCAAAATACGCATGCAGCTGCCCTGGCATTGCTGGTCCCTAGGATCATGTCCTGAATGGGCTTTGCACGAGATGAAGGAGTTGTACGCTGTGACTGCTTTGTTGGAACGGCGCATGTTCTCGTACTCTCTAAGTCTCTTGGGGTTGAAAGCAGAGCGGTCCTGCCACTCCTTGCCGTTCATGCATCGGATCCTGTTGGTGAGCTTAGCATCATATCCAGGACGTACTGGGGAGATGTACTGTGGGAACATACTGCCCAGTCTTGCCTTGATTGTTCGCACTGGTGGGAAGGGTATGGTCAGCTAAAGCAATTTCACTTCTGCCTTACGAGTTGCCGGAGAGGGCTAAAAGCTTACGTCGAAGCTGCTCCAGGTCTGGCCTGGAAAGCCGGGCTCTGCACAGGAGGCGCCGACATCGTGGGCTTGTCGAGTCAGCGAGGTGAAGCTTGAACGCTTTGTGAGCAATAGCACACCTGTGTTGCTCCGTAGATGGAGGCGTGTAGTAATAACAATAGGGCGTGGACGGCAGCTGACGTCGGCGACAGTGGCCGTTTAAGACTCGTGGTCAAGATAATAATGAGAGAAGAGGAGAGGAGGAGGTTGAGGGGAGAAGGGTTAAAATAGAAGTTCGAGTAACCCCCATCTGTTTGCTTGGTGAGGCGGCAGGCACGAGGACAACGATAAACTTCGTTGTTGTTATGGGACGGAAACCTGGAAATGGCGCGAAAAGGTGACTGCCCACTGTACCTACAAACACAGCTGCACTTGAATGAGCTGAGGGTTCTTGTGGGAATTTTGTGGGAAAGACACGATTGGTGATGGGGGAGGAAGGAACGGTGGACCATCGTACCTGCATATTCAGTCCCGGTTTCTGCTGGGTACAGTAGTCTCCTTGCAATTGGAGGTGACTTCCTTGGCTTTCTGGATAAAGCATGCTCTGGAGTTGAGGGAAGAACCGCAACTGCGGATGGGAACTGAGGACTGACAAAACTACATGATCAGATTGCCAATCCCATGACTGGCCTCGAGCAACGTGTCTCGACAGCATTTATTATCATGTTGGCCTTTCTCTAAGCTCAAGTTGTTATCAATCACAACATTCAGTTCTGCTGAGAGCTAAAAGTCTTGTTGTTCGCGGTCTTGAAATCACTTCAGTTGGGACCCAACACATATCTCCCACTATATGTCATCTCGGATAAAGACTGTGAAAATAGTGAAGGATCGACGCAATGTGTACTTTCATTCATCGTCTTGGAACAGCAGAATCACGCTGGAGAGTAAACGCAGAGTGTCTGCTTACCGGAGACACTCCACTTCCTGCAGAATAGGTGCATTGGATGGTCGAGTATCATGTCCTTCCTCGAGGGAGTGCAAATGGCTCCGAACTAATACCTGCAACTCTAGACCAAGGCAAACGGACCAGCATTGTACAAATAATCAAAGAGACCAAAAGACGGAAATTCAGTCTGACATTCTATTTAGCTTTTCGCATGATATAGATGCTTTCACAGAAAGGGAATAGTCAGGAGTGTCAAGAAGGCATCAGCCGATGTTTCAATGAGTGACATCTTGGGCTCTATCCTGCCAAGACTGAAAACGACAGACATCTGCTGTCAAAGACACTCGTTATTTCCAGGAGAAAAGAACCGCGTCAAAGAAGAAAGACGACCGAGTTTGAGCGACAGTTCGTTCAACTACCCACTAGAGATAGGACAAGTGAGACATGTTGGAGAGTCAACACTCCGAAAGGACAATCAGACGTGAAAGAAAGAGCAGGTCACGAACTAGCCGTTATGCATAGGGGATATACCATTGAGAGAGATATCAAGCCCTCTGTATCAGATACCCGCCTTCACCACGGACTCCACAACTCCGAGTTTACCCCTTCCGGCCAAAAGCCCAAAATATGGGATGTTGACCAGTTCGGTAAACCCCCGAGTGGCGCATCGGAAGCGAACGACCGGCTCGGAAGAAAAACGCGAGGGTTGATCAGGTCAACCCCTACGACCGAGCACCTCAGGCTACCGTACAAGTCCAAAGGGACCGCACCGGGTCTGTTTCTCAAGCCAGGGAGAAAGTTGACAAGGTTAGTACCTCCACCCTATTCCGTATCACCCGTCCGCCCAGCCGGGCCGGTAGCCAGGCGAGGAAGTCCAGAGCCTCTCCCGCGATGATCCGCAATATCAATGTCTCACTCTTCTTGACTAGCTTTACCTGTTCTGTCAAAGGATAAATGTCATAATCCAATGCCCAACCGGTGCCCAGTCCCCAGCCTCCAAATAGCTGAAATTGATCAACTTTAGGGGTTTATAATTTGCCACCGTCTGACGACCATTCAGTCTGATTCAAAGAAACACAATCCTGTTTTTTTTCTTCATCACAAAACTGCAGTAACTGTCGACTCTTCATCACCGTAGCAACTCTCGTATAAACCGGAACCTAGACCCTCGGATCAACAAGAGGCGAAGCTAGCTACTAGTTACACTAACGGACGGAACTTTCCCGCATTAACCCTGTGACGTGAGTGAGGAGATCCTACTTAAGCGCACGCACCACCCAGCACCCACAAGAAAACTCGCTCGTCAATCGCTTTCGTTCATCATCAAACATGATCCACGGCCCCGGAGCCACGGCACTCAGTTTTGCACGTCCTAACGTCTAGACTCCTTTTTTTGAAGGTGTCTTACCGGTCGGCATACCAATATGCTTAGCATTACAGCAGAGTAGTGTAGTGTAGTGTGAAACCCCAAAAGTAAAAGAAGAGGAGGAACGTCCGGATCAGTACCTAGTCAGTGGTCACGAACTCCATCAGAGCAGTCCATCAGGCCCCCTTGTCATTGACCTTGTCGTTAAAAGTGGTTCACGTGATCATCGCCGACCATGGCCCCCGGCCCATGCCAGTCACTTTTTAAAATGATGGATGTTTTGCAGGTCTTAAATGGACTGACAGAGCCCTGTCCAACAGTGTGAACGTGGTCAGTCGGTTGGTGTTCTGTCTGTGTCTGTCTGTCGCGTGCAGTTCTTTCTCTTCATGGAAAGCTGCCGGGCGCCGCGGTCCCGGATTCAATCCAATCAATCCCGTCACTAATCCCAATCCTCCCAGTGCCCCCCCTGAGAGGGAGCCATCCAAGTCACGTTCCAAGACGTCCTCTGCCTCTGCCCGTCGACTGGCGTAGCTCGCATGGGGTTGGATGCATGGCAGCCGTTGGCCAGCTGCCAGGTCGCATAGGGGCCCAGTGGATCCGTTCAAATGGCGTGCGCTCATGGGGTGGAACCATAACGGCACTAACTCCTGCAAGTGCTCGGTGCTGCAGATGCAGCTAGTGCAAGCCGCCGGGAGGGCTTTGGAAGGAAAGCTGGGGCGGGGAACTTGTTGAAAGGTGCAAAAATCGAAAAAAAGGAGAAGAACGCTTCGAAAAGAACAAGTTGACGATGATACTCACCATTCCGGCTCTTGTTAGCCGGCTAGGGACTTTTGCGTAGGGGAAGGTGTTGTTGTTGCGCACAATACGATCTCGTCCGTCCGTCCAACTGCGAGCGACACTGAGTGATGGGGGAGCGCTTCTTGTGTTGAGTGTGCGTGACAATAATGTGACAGACAGTCACAGCTTTCACACTTGATGTTACACGTACCACTTATGTGTTCGAAACCCGCGAAAAAAAAGAGACGGACGTCACTGGCCCTCACTTGTCATTCACAACGGAGAATAGAGAAGCGCTTTGGGGCTGTACTGGCGGGTTAGGTGTGTGTGCAAATATGTGAAGACTCTCGGGAGCCGGCGTCAGCACATGACGGCGGCCGTACATCCGAGGCTTACATAGGTAGGCACACCAATGTCGAAACAACCATAGTATCAACTTTCTCACACATGCCAGTATTTTTTTCTTGTTGGTGTAGTTATCACATGCTGATATGACTATCACTGCTGGGCAGGTGACAGCCAATGCCAGATGGTAATAATCAACCAGAGCTTTTAATAGTGCAGCAAGGAGATCTAAATTCCTGTTCCCATCCTGGTTCGCATAAATTTCCTCCACGTTTCATGTTTTGTCAAGAAATGGGAAGATGACCAGGAGACGTAGCATTCGATACTGTGATCGTTCACTACCTAGAGATACATATTCACATGGATCCTTCTTCCTTATTTACCACAATATGCCACAATCTGATGGCGCTTCGATTTGCGGTTTCAAGGGATACATCGGATGGGACAGAATCCAGAAAGAAGCGTGTTTGATATCAGGAAAGCTTTCCACATCTGATGGTACCGTTAGCCGTGAGTGTAGTTCTTCAGTGGTATGGTGTTGACTTCAAGACCCATCTCTACCTAGAGGCACTAACAAAGCGGTTGTCGGGTGTCGACAAGGAAATTGTTTGTTGTATAGTTTACTCGGGTTCGGTCTATTTTTAAGATTTAACTTGAGTTCTAGTCGTGGTCGTCTCGGTTGATGCCCCCGCGGAGGGATTCGCGTACGGGGCGCAACAATCCTCCTCAGTCACTTTGCGCCTTGGGGCAATTTCGCGGCATGCGCAATGGCTGGGTGGGGAGAATGTAGAAACTGCGCAGTCGCGGAAGACCCGGCTGGGGCGGAAAACTTTATAGATCATCGTAGTTTTTGCTTTTCCCCTTGTCGAAATGCTGATGTACGGCCATGTTACTGCGAATCTGTGATACCAGCCTGTGGCAACGACTCAGCCCCTGCGCTCATCTTTGCTGATGCTTGAAATGCAGAGATAACCATGTGGTGATGTCCAGGTTTACACGGACCATTATCGCAATTTGGTATACACTACACTAGACGTAGTATTGGCTGTGTGCTGAAAGGTTATCCTGCTGTGTGACCCCCCTGTAGCTCGACAGATCGTCCATTGAAATGTCCCCACGGCACTGGGCGAGCTGGGCTGCGATTTCACCCTCAAGCCCATCATACACTTGTCGAATCTGTGGCAAGAGATGTACATCCTCTGCTCAGGTGTGGTAGCGAAGCAAGAACTTCGGCTTGGTTGAAGAAATCAGAAACGATGACATGTAGTGTAGTTCTGGCGATCAAGCAAGTCGGTTTGATGCTCATGATGAAACGGGGCAGCGATGGGTTAAGTGGCGTGAGCACAAACTACAGCCAGGCACCAGATGATTATGATATGTATCTCGTACCCAGTGGCTGGGTAATAATTCGCTCCTCAAGCTGGAGGGATGGGTGTATCGTTGATATTTTAGGTGTAGCACCGTGGACGAGGCATGGTCGCTGGAATCTTTGGCCGGATTACAAGGCCGCCGTGGAAGCGTGGGTGCGGTGCCAGGAGCCAGGCTCCCAGGCACAAGAGGCAAACACGGGTCCAGAGTAATGAGATCTGCAAGACACCGGGCCCTTGAGATTGAGCGGATGAAAAGGTTCATCAACTGTTGGTTCTATT